GTACCGATTGCGTCTGTCGTGATTAATCGGACGTGTATATATGTGCACGCATACATATATATATATATATATGTATATATATATATGAGCGCATGCGTGCGCGTTCTGTGCTAGACAGCCTGTCGCCTCCCGGTGTTTATGACATACATGCGCGAGCTTGGGTATGCCTGTTTTGGGCTTTCACGCTGCTGCGATTACTCCATGTTATGTATATGTTACTAGCACGATTGTTTAGTTGAACCAAGATTTTTCGGTTGCATGCGTTTGAATAAACTTTTTGCGAGGGCTTACACAGCGTGTCATGAGTTTTTGGGAGTTGGAGGGTGTAAAGGACTTTTGCAAGTGTAACCTGGTGGGAATCGAAACTTGTTTGTAGTTTGAATTTCGTGGTAAGAGAGAGCGAGAGAGAGAGAGAGAGAGAATGATGAATGGATAGATATTCCTTTATTTGTCGTAAGATAAAATATAAATGATTGCACGGATCATAAATATAAATATTTCAGCTCAATATAAGCACTCCTATATAAAACTTTAGTCAAGAAACTATGAGGGTGGGTCAATAAGTCCTTAGAATATCCAAGAGATGGCGCGCAAATGATCACATCTTATGTTGCAACAGCAAGCGTCACTTTTAAATAAAGTGCTGTTAAAGTTTCAACCAGATTCATCGAGTGATTCCCTTTTTATTGTCGATCAAAGTGAACAACTTTTGCTTATTGTTAACAATGGAAAAAAATCAGTTCCAAGCGTTATAAAGTATTTCTATTTAAAAGACCTTACACCAAAAGAAATCAAAGCTAAGTTAGACACAATTCATGGGTAACTACCCCTATTTTTGTAACTGTTTACAATAAGGTAAGCAGTTAAACGTGGCCGTATATCGATTGTAGATGAACATCGTTCAGGCCATTCTGTAACGTGAGCATCCCGGAAATGATCGATAAAATTCACGATGTGATGTTGAGTGCTCGAAGAATAAAATTGCCCAAAATAGTTGAGGTTACAGGTGTTTCAAAATGTACAGTTATTTTAATTTTTCATAAGAAAAATTTCGGCACAGTGGGTGCCGCGTTTGCTCTCAGCTGAGAACGGACGCAGTTGCTCGGTGACCGTTGAGGCCCTCTTGGCACACATCCACCGTAATCCGGAGGATTTTATGCGTCAATTCATAACTGTAGACAAAATATGGATAGACCACTACACTCCCGAGACGAAGGATCAGTCAATACAGTGGATTGTGAAAAGTTAACCAGCTATAAAGAAGGCGAAGACAGTGAAATCTGCCGACAAGGTTGTGGCCACTGTTTTTAGGATGCACGTGGAATTATCCTCGATACTTTGATATTAAGCGAGAAAATCAAGGAAACCGTCTTTATTTGAAGAAAAAATTCTGTTTTATCAAGACAATAAACGAGTGTACACTTGCGCAGTTTCAATGGCCAAAAGTTCAAATTAATGAACTATCCACCGTATTCACCAGATTTTGCCCCCGGTGACTTTTTTTTATTCCCCAACCCACAAAGGAACTTTCAAAACCATTTTCTTCTGATGGCTTAAGAAAACTTGAAGGACACCTGAAAAGTGTATCTAGCTGAAAGGAGATTATGTTAAAAAATAAAAACAAAACTACCAAAAGAAATGTTTTTCTATCTTTTTACTGACTCACCCTCCTATCATAATCAGATATAAAATAAGTTAAGATATAAACGAAGATATAAATAAAAATGAAAAATACAATGGAGGATAAAGAATCTCTAGAAGTCTAGAGATTCTCTCAGTCATTCATAACTTTTATAACACAACTGTTGTAATATTTCACAAAGAAGTTCAAACTAATCACTGCATCCCGGTTTAGTATGACTAGTATATTTTGTAAATAGGTATTTGAGTTTAGTAATGCTGTCAGAATAGAAAGACATAGAAAGAGCGAGGAAAAAAATTAATAAAGTCGAAATTCTGTGTTATCACGTTAAGCAAAAACTTTGAAGAAATAAATAAGATACTTCACATGAAGGTACAAATCGAAATCATCTTCGTTTCGAAGTACCTATGAAAACTCAACAAATGCATAAATCCTACGTATAACAAGTATCTCTCATATAAAAACAACAGACAAATAACGGGCGAGACAGGAATTCAAAGTTTAATTAACTCAAGCTACATAATCATGTTGCAGAGGCAGCTAGGCACGCGCGTTCACACAGCGTATCACGTGACTGACAGAACATGACATCACGTTCCAGTAGTCACATATCATTAGCCTGCTTTATCCTTTCTCTCTCTCTCTCTCTCTCTCTCTCTCTCTCTCTCTCTCTCTCTATCTCTCTATCTCTCTCTCTATCCATTTCCCTGGATGCTTCCCTACAATGTGCATTATAATCATACCATTGCATTGGCGATTGACGATGAGAACGAAAAAGAAGAAAAATATCGATACAAGTGATTAATGGAGATCTTATGCGAACGGCTTCTTTTTCAACGATTCGAGTGCCCCTTAGCTTCTTCACCTAATCAATAAGTCGGATTAAAAGCTCTCGGTGCCGCTCTAATTAGTGAAGTAAAGAAGAGAAGAAATTTCGCTCTCTCTCTCTCTCTTTAACAGACACTTGGTCTTGCAGGCTCAAAAGCTGAATCGTTAATCAATTGGCCTTTTTCTCATTCTCTCTAGCTTTCTCTCTCACTCTCATTTTTGTTTCTTTCTTTGATAATATTTGAACGACATTTCAATTAATTATGAATAATAATCTTCAATTTTTGACATTTTCGATTGGTCAAGTCAGGAATAACCATTAAAAATTTAACATCATCTCAAAGTTTTATCTTGGAAAGAGCAACATCATAGGAAAAGTTTAATATACCATCCGAAGAGCATAAATTTTTATCTCATCGTCAGTGCAATCCATCACGAGCGAAGTGAAATGTTGCCGTTGTAAAATTTGCCTCTTGCATAACGAGTTCGTACAAGTGAAAAATAACATTAACAGAAATTTCTCGAGGAAAACAGACGAAGGAGTCTCGCCGGAGGCGGGGTGTTCGGGAAGAAGCGAAACTTAGCATCGCGTGGCAGTTATATCGCAGCTTATTGTAAAGTAGGCAACCTACTTAGGAAAGAAGTCCCAGGTCTTGGAGCGTCCGATTTATGTGTATGCGCTTGTATACGCTGCAAGCTCAAATGAATTCCACCTCTCTTGCGCGCGCAAGCAACGTGATATAATTAACGGGGCAACTTTTGCCGGTGAATCATACAAGTTGAGAAAAAAAAATAGAGAGAAAGAAGAAGAATAAACTCTCACACTGGTATAAAACAAACGCTAACAAACTTTTCGAGCGGACGAGATGTTAATTGTAACGTAATGTATGTAAGGCCAAGCGAATTTGTTGGATGCTCGCCAAGTGAAAGCTTTAGAGCCGTAGGTGGCAAACATTTGAAATTTTACTTGGGAATGAATGAAGTGGAAATTAGAAAGTTGATTGCAGAAATTTTTCTCCGGCAGCATACCTTCTACTGCTGCTGCTACTGCTTATGGAACAAAAGCGAAAAATAATTAGCCATCTTGCGAGTGACTGAAACAAATGGGATAATTAAGTTTTGATCAAGGCGAATAATTTGCTTCTGATAAATTTTTCTTTTTTCTTTTGCAATGCGAAGCAATAAGCAATGAATATCTCATTATGCGTATTAACTAAAAGATATAGATCGATGAATATTTCGACAAACTGTAACCATGTTTTTACATTTCACTTGTGTTTTATTTAAAACTCTATTGATGTATTTACAGATTTTCAAAGAATTTATTTCACCGAAACACGTGTGTCAATAGATTGGGTTTATTTTGTACAGATACCGATTCAAGGTGAACATAAAAAATAAAATATTTTCTTAAAAAATGAAATATTATCTGATATTATACTATTTGACAGAAAAATTAATAAACGATTAGTTCACATTAAATATACACATTAATAATTTAATAATTTATTCAGTCTATTTAAATTTGTTATATATATATACATATTTATAAATAAAAAAACTTTTCATCGTGGAAGTCAAATTTGAAAAACCTGCAGGCAAATTTTATTTACTATGATATTTTTCCACAATTTTTTCCATGTTAATGAGAAAGTTTCCCGTATTTCTCGTAACCACATATTTTCAGTATAATAAAAAAATAAGTAAAGTACGTAATAAAAAAATAGTAGCGATCATTTGATTATTTCATAAGATAAAAAGTATTTTATCCTACACAATAATTTTCCTGTTCTGTAAAGTCAAACACATGTATAAGCTCAACCTTATATGTAAAATTTCATAAACTTTTAATCCGTGTACTTTCTTATCAATAGCAGAATCTCTGCAAGTCATAATTCTATTTATCAGATAAGGTGAATTAGCGGGGTATATTCAAAATGACATTTTTTCGACACTCCGTGCGGAAAGTGCGTTTTTCCGGCACGCTCGGCAAAAAGGGTGCGTTAAAAATCACACTTTCCACACGTCGTATCAAAAAATACGGTACGGCACATGTTTGGGAAAGAGTTTCTCGTCTCGTGTACCTTTCCACCCTCGCTTCGCTCGGGCGTAAATGCCACACGAGACAAGAATCTATTTTTCCGCATTTGTATCGTAATGTACTATAATGTACAAAAATATTTTGTAACTTTAAAATAGTTTTCAAAGTAGTTTCACAGATAAAACTAAGGGAAATATGCTATAATTATATTCACAAATAAAATAAAAGAAGTCATGTTTCCCCATTTGCCCATTTTAATTATTGTACAAAATATTATTATATTTTCAGACTAAATAATTGATTCTCAAATTTTCAAAATTATAATAACTCATTGAACAGGAAAATGGAATATGTAAGTTTGAGTATTCAAATTATTTTTTTGTAACAGCTGGTATTTTCGTAAATCAGACGAGTACGTATATAATATATGGAACTTTTAAATGCAATGTCAGTAGCCTGGAGAATAACTAACGATTCAAATATAGTAAAATGGCGTAAGTACTCAACGATTGTTATTCATCAGTAATTATTTAATACTTAAATTTTAATTCTTTATGTGCAGGCTAATAAAGACGTCTTTAACAGTTTCATGGGCTATTTTGATAGTTGCATTCTTCTCCTTTGTAAATGCTGCTAATGGTGCAATAATTTCGACTGGTAAGTTTATTTGAAATTGCAATTCTATTTAATTCTAAAAAATTATTCAAAAATTATATAATTTATTTTATTTAATATACTGGGAAATCAAATTTTCATGTACAGATATCCTCCTAATGTTAAGCGTTAATAACTCAATTTTATTTAAAATAACACAGGACCACAAAATGAGACTTGAATAAAACAAAAAAATGACTTGGATATTCCTATTTAATGAATACTTGGGAGTATAAACTTCAGAATATAGAGATTTAGGCTGTAGAATTTCAGGATTTAGGAGTTTATGGATTTTATTTGTGGATTTAATGAAATTCTGTCCCTTTCATGCTATTGAAAAACCGACATAAACCACTTCACGATAGCAGATATATTTAGGATCATATACTCACTTATTTAATGTTACTTTTAAAATCCGGGACTGCAATGAAGTTCTCAACGTAAATTATGGTAATGACTTTTAAATGACCTTGAACCCGAGGTAATAAAGTCAAACGGAGGTTAGATTTGGTTTTAGCACATAAAAATACATAGGGATATACTAGTTGCTATTTTTTACTTGAAAGTTCTGTGTAACCTTCGAATGAACTTGAAACTGATGTGATGGGGTCAAAATAATAATAGATTTGGTTTCAGTTCGTCAAAATGTATAAAAAGCACTTTTTCGTTTTATTTGTACAATAACAACAAGATTTCACCTCCAGATGATCTGGAGAGTTCATCTAAAAAATAAAACTATATATATAACATAAACTGTTCCGCTCTTTCCGAATCTTGAGTTAAAAATTTTATTGCACATAAATTAAAACATTAATCTTCAAACACCCTTGAACCTGATCGAGACAAACGAGGGTTAGATTCGGAATCAACATGCCAAAATACATGGAAATATTAGAATCGTTTTTTTGTTATATTCAAGTCGCGTTTTATAGTCCTGTGTAATTGAAGTAAGATAAATAAAAAAAGCTAAGTTTTCTCCTTTATTGACTTTTCATTTCTTACAAAATAGATATGTTTTTTTTCTTATTTACGAATTTCAAGATTGTAGACGCAGATAATACAGTTACATTAATTAATTTATCTTGTATAGAGTTAAACGATGTGGGTTCGAAAATGTTAACGCCAGAAAAAGTCTGTATCACACAACAATGTTTTAAATCAGGTATACGAATCAAGTGCCTCCTGATTCTTTCCCAACATTTCATCTAGCTCTAAAACTCTTTTTTATGATGCAGCTTCAATGATTTGGAAAAACATGGATATAACTGTGGAACCTTGTGAGAATTTTTATCGATTTGCATGTGGTAAATTCTTAAAGGAATCAGTTATTCCAAAACATGAATCAAGCGTGTCTCTCTTTAGTAGAACTGATAAAATACTAATGAAGCAGCTGAGAACAAGTTTAGAACGTAAGATGAAAAAAAATGCTCCGAGAACGTTCAAAGTGCTGCAGTCGTTTTATAAAACTTGTCTCGATATTGGTACATTTATATACTGTTAAATTCCTTATTTTACCAAACACAGCATTTCATATAATTTATTATACCACATCTATTTTCAGATGAAATCAATGAAACTAGTACAAATGAAGTATTAGATATCCTAAAGAAACTTGGTGACTGGCCTGTGTTGGTTGGTGATTCTTGGAACGCTTCGAACTTTGATTGGAGACAATTAATCTATCAAATGCGTAAAATGGGGTATATAGAAGCAATGAATGGTCTTATACAATTCCGTATTGAAATAGATCAGCGAGATAACAGCAGATACGTAATAACTGTGAGCATTTATTAGCAATATATAAATTATATATCAAGGCATTATATAATATAGTCATTAACAAAATAAAACGTCAATTAACTCATTTTTCTTATTTATATAGTTAGATCAAGCATCCACGGGGCTCATAAAACAATACTTATCAAAAGGCTTCAAAGACAAAATTGTACAAGCCTACTATAAATATATGATCAATCTTGCCACAAGCCTTGGAGCTGAAAAAAAACGATCGAAAAAAGAACTGCGTGACTCCTTGAATTTTGAAATTGAGTTGGCAAAGGTATACGATAAACAAATAAATATTTCGTAATGGAAAAGCATGAATAAGGGAAAAATAAATTGGTATAACTTTTTCATTCGCTACAATAAAATTCTAATTTCAGATTTCTTTACCGATGGAAGAGCGTAAAAATATGTCTCTGCTGTACAATCCTATGACACTAGACGAATTACAATTAGAATATCCAGACATTTCCTGGAGCGAGTATTTAAATCGAATTCTGTTGCCACAAACTAAATTGTATAAATCCAGTTTTCCAATTATAGTTAAAGTTCCAAATTTTCTTAAAGCTTTATTAAAACTAATTAATAGTACTCCGAAGCGTGTTCTTGCCAATTATGCTATTTGGCGAGTTGTCCAAGAGTCGGATTCTTTCATGAATGAACACGTAAAACGCATTAAAGCTGATTTTATGGCGTCAATAATAGGCACAAACGTACAAGTACCACGATGGATACAGTGTCTTGACTACGTATCGCAAAAGTTGTATTTGGCTGTTGGAGCTTTGTACGTGAGAGAACATTTCGATAAGAAATCGAAGGTGATTGCTGAAGAACTTGTTGATAGGTTACGTCGGAGTTTTGCAGGTTTATTAGAAAAGGTTTGTTGATAAACTCTGACGAGCCTTTTCATTCAGTTCAATTACAAATTATATGCTTTAATGACTTTGACAGATTCATTGGATGGATGAAAAAACTAAAAATACCGCTAAAAAGAAGCTCCGTTCAGTTAAAGATTCCATTGCTTACCCGGACGAGTTCCTTGAGGACGAAAAAATTGATGCTTATTTTCAGAATCTGGAAGTCAATTCGGAAAGCTTTTTGAAGAAACATTTGAATTTGAATCTTTTCAAATTCAAAAAGGTTTTAGAAAAACTGATAAAACCCGTCGATGAAAATGATTGGACGACGACAGGATATTCGGCAATAGTGGAGGCCTTCTATTACCCTCCAATGAATAGAATTAGTGAGTAAAGCCTAAGCGATATAGCATTTTGAGTTGATTATAAATAACATGTCTTAAAATTACGTACAGTCATTCCGGCGGGAATCTTACAAGGCCAATTTTTCACAAGTGGTCGGCCGCACTACATGAATTACGCTGCTATTGGTTGGGTAATTGGTCATGAATTGACACACGGGTTTGATAATGAAGGTAGACAATTCGACGAGAACGGTGATTTGGTTAACTGGTGGGATCCTGAAACGTTGCAAGAGTATCTTAATCGAACTGAATGTATAATTCAACAATACAGTAATTATACAGTTAATGGCTTTAAAGTGAGTTTATGATTCTTTTTAACTTTTTAAGGAGAATTTTAAAAGAACATTCGTATATACCAAAAGTATTAGTTGCAACATTATTTAAAATATTAACTGTAACATATCTTATTTCTTCACAGCTGAATGGTGTGAATACGCAAGGTGAAAATATCGCAGATAACGGAGGCATTAAGGAAGCATACTTGGCTTACGAAGAATATGAAAGAACTCATGGTCAAGAATTTGGTTTACCTGGATTACCCTACACACCGCGGCAACTATTCTGGATAAGTGCGGCAAACGTCTGGTGCAGTAAATCTAGACATGAAATGTTAGAACATAGTATCAATACTGGTGTTCATAGTCCTCATGAGTTCCGTGTCATTGGGTCTTTTTCTAATATACCTGAATTTTCTAGAGACTTTAATTGTCCTGTTGGATCTCCAATGAATCCTACTAAAAAATGTGCAATTTGGTAAATGCCAATTTTATATAAGAGTCATCAAGATTATTATCTAAAAAAATATAAAAAAATAAATATAATCATTCTATGATTCGTATACATACTAATATAACATAAATTCTTACTTTTTAGAATTTAAAATATTTTTGTAATAAAATCATTATTAAAGAAACTGTTTAAATGCATTTATATTTTAACTCTACTTTTGCATGGGTAAACATAGATTCAACATTAATTAAATATCAATTGTAATAAACGTAATACAAGAGGAATAGTCAACATTTTCATTGGAAACTTTAGAACAAACCCTTTTTCTTAATTTTTGTTTGAATATTTATGAACAATACTTACAACGGTTATTTTGTATAAATAAGAATTTATTTGTAGCTATGATTACTTTTTCAATTTGCAGTTTGTCATCCTCTTCGTTATTAATGGGTAAATTATATCGGAAATAAATTATTCAATTGAACTTCCATTTCATTGTCAATATGTTGATATTCTTTTAATAATGATCGCCAAGATCAACTAGAAAAAAATTGATAAACATAAAATACCAGACTATAAGATATTTAGTTACTGATAAACATCTCATACGAACGATCTCGGGACAACCCTTGTGTTATCCCGACACGTGATCCGTGGGCCTTCTGCCAGTGGTCGAGACAGTCTCGCGTAATCGCACGGCACTTGCGTTACCTCGAGTTACGGCGCACGAATCTGGATCTGCCTAACAGCAGCCAGACACGTCAAACGAGCGAAGCCATGAATGAGAGGTGTCGACGTTAGAAAACGCAAACGACAGGCCGACTATAGCACACTTACATAAAAAAAAAGAGGTCTAGGCGTCGCGTACATGGTCTTTAACCTATTCATTACTTCCTCGCTACAATTAATTTCTCGGCGCAATCTTAATCTACTTTTTTGTCATAAACCTACTTTTTATCGGCCTATGCATCTGCATCTGATAATTTTTATCGATTTGTTTGTGGCAATTATATGAACTAATCGTTTATATGAGAAAATATATCCTTCGCATTAGTACTTGGCGGAAACAATGATAAAATTAAAGAGCATCTTCAGGAAAGCATCAAAAATAAAATCACCGATGATGATCCTATAGAACATTACATTTGTTACGAGCTTATTGCACTAATTGCTTTGATATTAACTATTTTGCAACGTTAAGATTGTCACACGTGGAATTGTCACGCTTTGCACGTAATCGATATATCGATCTATGCGCGTGACCGACTCAAAATTTGTTCATATGGCCGCTACCGCTGCGGAGAGCCGCTCAAGATTACACTGAACTCGCCCTTTTTCGCTCATCGTCACCTCTCCAAACAACATCTTTCTGCTTTCTGCGCATCGTCGCAACTCTTTGAGGATAAGGCTCCACGGCATCCTGGAACCATAAGGCCCTCGATAGTTGTCAACGATCCAGGCCCTCAACATCCAACTCACGCTGCCGCTCTGGAAATATCTGGAAATGGAACAGTTTCCGGCGTCGCTCCTGCACAACGTGGCATTCGTGCAATTGAGCCATCTTTAGCAATCGTTAATCTTCAAGCACGTTTTCTCACGTAAGCAACAAATTGTTGCTACATTGGCGCGACATTTAGTTGTGCGATGTATAATAGCCTACGTTATTATTTTTAACATGTTCCAAGGATTAGATTGAGTAGGAAACGGGAACTAAAAAAAACGATATTAATTATCTTTGAGTAATCCTTGTCACGCTAATTTCGTGACTTTAAATTCTCAAATCAAATAAAATCAACGTTAATATTCCAATTCACAACTTCAACCGTTACTTGCCAAACTCCTTTGCATATCTTTCGATTATCACTCACAGAGCAACAACGTTGTGATGCAATTTTCTTATTTTTCTTTTACTTGCTGTTCTTACAATTATTAATCTTTTTGAATTAGTTCATTATACAATGCCACTTTAATTGCATAATTTTATTATTATCACTATACAAAATTTACAACTTCATTTTAAATGTAACACTTCACAACAAGAAAACTAATTCCTCATCATATGTTATCAGAAAAAAATAAAAAAGTTACGACATAAAGCCGTTATTAGATATTCTGAATAAAATTCGAGGCTGGTCCGTTCTCAATGGAAAATTTTGGAACGAAATAGAATTAGTTTGGAAAAATGTAGTTTAGCAATTTCGGCGGATCGGACACATAAAATCTTTGAATACTTTGATAAATATTGGAAATGAAATTGACGAAAAAAAATAATACAATACAATAAGGGTAGGAGGTAATACAATCATCTTTTTTTATACCAAATTTAGTAACATAATATGTATAACGTTTTAGCTATTTAAATGGATTATTCATTTTCAATACTAGAGTGTATTCACGTTTTATTTCTAACACGGAAACACCCTCAACTTAAACTCACCGATTTATATATTCTTTCGATATGTTGTAGATCATAAAAAAATAAGTAATACGTGTTTAATAAGTAATAAAATAAGTAATAAGTATTTTATCGACAGAAAAACATGGGATGAAATCCGCCCTCAAAAATGAATTTTGTAATTTATTTTAAGTTCTAACTTATATTTACAATGAAATAAATTTCATATCACTTTTATTCTCTTCGCAATGTATATAACAGTAACTAAGTAATCAGAATTTGTAGAATATTGAAAAATTTGTTAGGGGTGGTTTTTTTTATTTTAAAGATGTTTAAAAAAATAATCTCAAACGAGTCAACTTTATTATTGTAATAAACCCAGGATAATATTTTTTCCAGTTTTTTTGGCTCATTAAAAATTTTTTTTTTTTTCATAAAAATAGACATAGACACAAAAACAGTAGATTAATCAATAAAAAAATACGGGCTGCATCTTTTATGGTCAGTACTGCCTAAGCTAGTTCCGCATTTACATAAAAGGTGAAATGAAATTTATTTCATTGCAAAATATCAATTAGAACTTAAGATAAATTGCAAAATTCATTTTTGAGAGTGGACTTTGATGGTGGATTTCACCCTCTCAAATGTTTTTCTACCAATAAAATAAAACACGTGTTACTTATTGTGACGATGTAAATTGCTGAATCTTAATTCAGCACCTTGCGTAGGCTTTGGCATGTGCACGTTTCTGATCCTTGGTCGATGAAGAATAGCAAATCAAACAGGCACAACAATGAATCGGGAGTCGATCACACGCCTCAGCTCGAGGCATTCACGTTCGTTAGCAGAATATCCCGGGACGTTGGACGGTCAACAGCTCTTTTTCAGCGCTCTGTCCACTCTTCGCCGACGTCTGGGATCCACGTTCATCAACCTCGTAAAGCTACTGCCAGAGCAACGATGGCAAGAATTCAAACCTTACCCACAGTTATAAGAAGAGCAAATTGGAAGAAAGTCCGGTGGTACAAGGACTACCTTCGTTTCCACTTTTTACAAGAATAAGATAAGTACCCTGTAGTCAGCGCGCGCCGTTAGAAATAATAATATAACAAGAAATTCTAGAGGCTTTTATATCGAAACTCTAAAATTCTAAATCTGGAAAAACTATTATAAATAAATGAAATTTATATACTGTGTGTCCTCGCATAAATATCGTATATTAAATTTTGTAAATACGAATGCGAAATAGTGAGAACGATTAAATAACAATTATCAAGTATCAGAGTTGGGTGTCTCAAGACTTATTTATTTTTTTCGGATTAATAAACAAATTCATTTCATGATTTTCCTATGATCTGCAACATACTAAAAGAATATTGAAATCGGTGTGGTCGGGTTAGGGGAGATTCCTTGTAAGTCGATTCTTTTATTTACAACAGATTCTAAATTTAACTAGTTTTTTTATATAAATAAACTTTGTAACAGGTGAATTAACCGAAAACAGAATTTGCATACAATTTTGGTGAAAGATGTATAAAGTGAAGTTTTACATATCTACTACATGTATCGTGACGAATATTGCTAATATCTTAGGAGTATCACGGCATACTGTAATAGAATATTTGAATGCTAGTGCTAGAAAGTAATCTTAGCATGATGCGGACGTTTGCACCCGAGTAAAGCTAGTACATGTATCGAAATATATCATAATTAAATCCTTCCTTTTTAAAATAGAGATTGTAAAGCTGATTTGACGAAAAAGAGGTACATGGTACAATAATAATTATCATTGATGTGATACATAATTAGCTCGAACACATTATAATTAAATGGATGAAAGTGAATGCAGCTAATAATATATCATAAAAAATAATGAAAAATAAGATTTTAAATATTTTTCGATAAATAATATTCTCCAAATCTTAGTACTTCTTCAAATTTCGTCATCAAAAGAAGATTGGTGAAATGTTTCTAAGTTTTAACACTCTATAACAATTGAAAAGCTTGAGTCAAAATATTTAGTCATCACTCTGAAGGAATATTTGAGCAAATCTCTACCGTCACATCTTGGAATAGACTTCATTAAATTCATAGAACACAGACATTAGAAATCTGAACCGTATGAAATCCGCCACTAAGCTTATTTCTAAGATACCAAAGCGTACTTTTGCTTACTATTTAATCTGGCGCATGACTGCAGAGTCAACAAGCTTTTTAAATAATCGAGTGCGGTCTATTGAAGTAGAAATTCTAACGTTAGTATACGATAAAATGAATCTACAGCAGCCTAATTGAGGAGAGTGCGTTGATTGCACAACTGACTACTTTGCAAAAAGTTATAGAAGATATAGAAAGAAGTTGAATCAAAAGCTTTATTACATCAAACAGCATAAATATATGTTTTATATGAAATTCTCAAATATCGCGATTGAACTGATCTCAATTACACGAAATGGCAATGACAGCATTATTTACTCAAATCGAATTTATTTCATGATTTCGAATAAATTTACTAGAGTGAAATGATTCTATAATATTACGCTATTTCTATATTTTTATAACTTGTATTACATTTTTATTGTATTTTTCAAACTTTTGAATGGTGATTTTTCAGCACACAACTTGGAATGATATAAACTTAAAACTTCATTGATTACATTATTAAACATTTTTAAATGATAAATATCAATGTAACTGTATGTTTATTTACCAATAAATAATCGTCGGCTATATCTCATATCAAATCAAGGGGATATTTAATGCATATTGAATTTAGGAGTTTCCAATTTCGCCAGTAAGTCTTGATATATATTAATGCATATACATATATTAGCGCGATGCGTGCTAGACTCACCAGTATCATAAAAACAAGAGAAATCGTTAAATAAAGCATTTTCGTAGTAGATATATCTACATCTAACAATGGTTATGACACACTGTCCAATATAGTAATAGATTTAATCGCCGACAACATGTACAGATATACTAATCTATTCGCATCTTGATGATGGATTATGTAAGTCTGAAGTAACCATAAGTATGACAGATGGCCGTATGCAGGTGCTTCAAATATATTACGTGATCGTTACACTCATTATGCGCGTGAACTAAAACATACTTTTATCTAAATATACTATTATCGTGTGTATAGCTTAAGTGTGTGTTTGCCTTTCTCTTATTTAGCTATCTTTGTTCATATAGATTTTCAAAGATAATATCGAAACACTTGTTGGGTCGTTTTGTATAGATACCAAGGCTACGTGAACACAAAAAGCAAAATACTATTTTCTTCAAAAATGAAATATCATTTGATAATCTTTCCGCAGAAAAACTAACAAGCGATTAATTGATAAAATATTCCACTCGACATTACCATACATTTCATCATTATCATAATGATAAAAATAATTTTGAATATATAATTCATTCAATAATTAGTTGTAAACTTAACCAATATATGTGGAATTTTGCAATGAACGTTAAGCGTAAGGGACTGCAAGAGACTGCCGGATGGTTGTCGAGTATAATTTATTATTTCGAATGTTCGTATTTTTTAAAAACGTCTGCTCCTTGTTACTATTACAATACATATGGTTAACATTAGCGTGATGAAGAACTGAATGTTAACACAATGTTTCATAAAAAAAAGGGAAAACATGAAAGTAAGTTAGAAATGCGGAATGAGTCCCTTTTGGAAAAAGGCAGCGTTTAATAGTATTCACGTAAGCTTTTTCCAGTTGTCGAGCCTCTTTTTAAGTTCACTGAAATTCATATTTTCAATATCTGTCTTATTCCTTCACATCACTACCTACTAATCCATGATATAAATATCATTACATATATTATTATTGTTTCTTTATCAACTACATTAACCCGTTTCGGCCGAAAACGCGACTCACGGTACACCGATCATGGACCACTTATAATTAATGTTACAAACGTTAAAAAAATGCGATGACCATATTCAAAAAGTTCAGGAGATGCTCTTTCCGCTGATGTCCACGAAATTTTTGCAAAATATTGTTTATCCGGGTAAAATGCAGTTTGTAAAAACATAAATTTTTCATATCTTTTGTTTAAATCGAGTTTTCAAACGATTTCCGATGTGTATCTATGATAATGATATTGGAATCTCACTAGACAGTGGAATAAATATTTACATTTGACGAATACACGATTCCCAGATCGATTTTTCACTTGGGGTGTTTAAAATGGCGCCTTAATGCGTTATTTTTTCCGTTATATTTATGAATTTTTTACTAAAACATTATTAGCTCATGAAAAAAGTACCAAGAAAGAAAAGGTTCTTAGACTCATGTAAGGGATACACTGAAATTTCTTCAAAGGGTTTCGCGATCTTTTATTTTTGCAATTGGTTAGTTTTTGCAAAAACAAAAAATTGTTCGAAAAATTCAAGAAAAATTTTCACACATTCTTTAGACAATTATAAGAATATTTTACTCTTTGATAATTTTGGCGGATTTGGATACTACTTTAATACATGTTATTTTTTTCCATGAAAACAATGCACGTACAGAAAAAATTAATAAGAATAATATATATTCTTATAATTTTCTAAAGGATATATAAGAAATTTTCGGATCGGCGATGACTTCTTCACTCGACGTAAATCGTTGTCCGGCAAGCCATTTTTTGAGGTTAGGAAATAAGAAAAAGTCACTGAGAGCCAAATCAGGCGAATATGATGGATGGTCAATTAATTCGAACTTTAAATCGTTAATTTTTGCCATCGAAACTGCACACGTGTTAACTCGAGCATTGTCTTGAAGAAAGAGGCATTTATTTTTGTTCAAGTGGGTACGTTTTTCTGTGATTTTTTCTTTCAGCTGACTTAATAATGACGCATAATATGGCCCAGTGATCGTCTGGCCCTTTTCCAAGTAGTCTATGTAGATGATTCCATACGCATCCCAGAAAACCGTGGCCATAATCTTGCCAGCTGACTTTACTGTCTTTGCCTTCTTTGGGGCTGGTTCTCCTGTGGTAATCCATTGTTTGGACTGTTCTTTGGTTTCAGGAGTGTAGTGGTGTACCCATGTTTCGTCTACAGTTACGAGTCGACGCCAAAAGTCTTCCGGATTACGACGTATACGTGCCAAAAGAGCCTCAGAGGTGACCACGCGGGTTCGTTTGTTTTCAATAGTGAAACGCGGCACCCATCTTGCTGATATTTTTCTCATCCCCAATTTTTCATGCAAAATTGAAATGATTGTACCCTTTGATACCCCTGTGGCCTCAACCAATTCTCGCAATTTTAATCTTCTATCACTCAACACCATATCGTGGACTTTGTTGACCATTTCGGGCGTACTCACTTCTACGGGGCGTCCTGAACGAGGTTCATCTTTTGTTGTTGTACGGCCGCATTTAAATTCATTCACCCATTATAAACAGTCTTAAACACAGGGGCAGACTTGCCATGAACGGCATTCAACTCAATAGTGATTTCTTTTGGTGTAAGGCCTTTCAAATGAAATTGTTTTATCACCGCTCAAAACTCTATTTTTTCCATTTTTCAAATAAACCAATAACTTTTTGTTCAACCAACGCTCACAAAAAAACGACTTAATGAATCGAGCTGAAACTTTGTACGATATCTAATTAGTAGTATTGCTTGCCAAAAACATCATAATTTAAGCGTGACGAGCGCCATCTCTTGGATTATGTAAAGACTTATTGACCCCCCCTCGTAACTTTTGATCAATGCATTTTACGAAAAAATTACAAGAAACCTTCTCTTTACATAATGTACCATATTATTTAAAAAAAATTGATCGGTTCAAAAAATCATTTTTTCATATATTGTTTAATCAATCGCGTTTTAAACAAATTTCTACCCATTTTTTTTGAACCCACGATCTCTTGCACGGAAACTTGAATTCTTACCCTCTGAACCACTGTGACTTCCGCGTGAGGATCAAATTAGAAATAAAATTAATAACAAACTATACGTACTATGATATTCGTCAAAAAAATTTTTCGAATTAGTTAGGAAGGTTGACATTGATATATCCCTTAATTATTTCTTCTGACCGCATATTTACACTTTAACGAATTTACGAACATGTAAATATAATATGCCCACAGCTCATGTTCATAAAGTACGTAATAAAAAAATTATTACGATGATTGGATTGTTTCGTAAAATAAAATTTTTCTCTCTTATAAAATAATTTTTTTCATTCTGTAAAGTGAAACACAGGTATATCAACCTTATATCTAAAATTTTATTATCTCTTATCACGTGTATTTTTTTATCAATAGAATACTCTCTGAGAGTCATTATTCTGTTAATCATACAAACTTAATAAGATAGGTATAGTTATTTATAAGCATACTGTTTAAATGCGTAAGAAGATTTAGTAGCTTAAAAAACAGTTTTAAAAGTAAAACTAAAGAAAAATATTCACAAATAAAATAAAATAAGCTATGCTATCCTGTGCGCGTTTGAATTATTGTATAAAATATCACATATACTCCAAAGTCTACATGAAAAATAACCCAATATGATAATTCATAAGCAGGAAAATTGAATATTCAAGTTTGACTATTCAAATTATTTTTCCGTTACAGCTGGTATTTTAGTAGATGAGACGAGTATGTATATAATATATGGAATATGTAAATGCAATGTCAGTAGTCAGGAAAATAACTCTAACGATTAAAATACAGTAAAATGATGTAAGTACTCAACAACTGTAATCCATAAGTAACTAATTAATACATCAATGTTAATTGTTTATGTGCAGGTTAAAAAAGAAAACTTTATCGGTTTCATTGTGCGGAAGGTTAATAGTCGCATTCTTTTCCTTTGTAAATGTTGCTAATTGTGCAATAATTCCGATTGGTGAGCTCCCTTTGCTTTATGTAATTATTGTTATGAAGATTAAAATTTAATTTAATTCGGACAAACTTTTATCAAAAATAATATAATTCTTTTTAATTCAATGTATTAAAAAACCTAATATTCATGTATAAATATCCTCTTAATGTTAAACAGTAATAACTCAATCTTTTTCAAAATAATTGAAATAAGACTAGTAAAAAGCTAAGTCTGTTCTGTTATTGACTTTTTAATTTCATTTTTTTTTAATAGAGATGCTTTAATACTTAAATATTTCAAATTTGTAAATACCGAGAATATAGTTATACCGATTAATACACTAATTAATATATCTTATAAAGGATTAAATGACATTGGTACGAAAATTGTACAGCCAGAAAAAATCTGTTTGAAACAAGAATGTTTGGAAGCAGGTAAAGAAATTAAGTCGTCCTGATTCTTTTCAAATATTTCATCCAACTAAAACTTCTTTTGTATTTTGCAGCTTCAGTAATTTTGAAAAACATGGATACAACTGTGGAACCTTGCGAGAATTTTTATCAATTTGCGTGTGGTAAATTCTCAAAGGAATCAGTTATTCCAAAATCTGAATCAAGCGTGTCTCTCTTTAGTAGAACTGATAAAATACTAATGAAGCAGCTGAGGACAAGTTTAGAACGTAAGATGAAAAAAAATGCTCCGAGAACGTTCAAAGTGCTGCAGTCGTTTTATAATACTTGTATCGATATTGGTACATTTATAAATTGTTAACTACCTTATATCACCATGTTAAATTTTATATGATTTATTCTATGACACTTAATTTCAGCTAGAATCAACGAAACTAGTACAAAGGAAGTGTTGAATGTCTTGAAAAAACTTGGTAACTGGCCTGTCATCGTTGGTAAATCTTGGGATGATTCGAACTTTGATTGGAGAAAATTAATCTATCAAATGCGTAAAATTGGGTATACAGAAGCGATGAATTGTTTAATAGAGTTCGATATTGAAATAGATAAACAAGATAACAGGAGATATGTAATAACTGTGAGCATTTCTTAGCAATATATAAATTATATATCAAGGCATTATATAATATAGTCATTAACAAAATAAAACGTCAATTAACTCATTTTTCTCATTTATATAGTTAGATCAAGCATCCACAGGGCTCATGAAACAATACTTATCAAAAGGCTTCGAAGACAAAATTGTACAAGCCTACTATAAATATATGATCAATCTTGCCACAAGCCTTGGAGCTGAAAAAGAACGATCGAAAAAAGAACTGCGTGACTCCTTGAATTTTGAAATTGAGTTGGCAAAGGTATACGATCAATAAATAACTATTTTGTAATGAAAAAGCATCAATAAGAGAAAAATGAATTAGTATAACTTTTTCATTCGATACAGTAAAATTCTAATTTCAGATTTCTTTATCGTCCGAAGACCGTAGAAATATGTCTCAGCTGTACAATCCTATGACACTAGACGAATTACAATTAGAATATCCAGACATTTCCTGGAGCGAGTATTTAAATCGAATTCTGTTGCCACAAACTAAATTGTATAAATCCAGTTTTCCAATTATAGTTAAAGTTCCAAATTTTCTTAAAGCTTTATTAAAACTAATTAATAGTACTCCGAAGCGTGTTCTTGCCAATTATGCTATTTGGCGAGTTGTCCAAGAGTCGGATTCTTTCATGAATGAACACGTAAAACGCATTAAAGCTGATTTTATGGCGTCAATAATAGGCACAAACGTACAAGTACCACGATGGATACAGTGTCTTGACTACGTATCGCAAAATTTGCATTTGGCTATTGGAGCTTTGTATGTGAGAAAAAATTTTGATAAGAAATCGAAGGAAGTAGCTGAAAAACTTGTTAACAGAATGCGTCAGAGTTTTGCAGATATATTAGAAAAGGTTTGTTAATAAACTCGAAAGAGCCTTTTCATATAGTACAATTAAAAATTATATGTTTCAATGACTTTCTCAGACTGATTGGATGGATAAAAAAACTAAAGATGCTGCTAAAAAGAAGCTCCATTCAATGAAACATTACGTTGCTTACCCAGATGAGTTTCTTGAAGACGAAAAAATTGATGCCTATTTTCAGGATCTAAAAGTCAATTCGAAAAGTTTTTTGAAGAATCATCTGAATTTGATGATTTTCGAATTAAAAAAAAATTTGGAAAAACTGAAAAAGCCAGTCGATAAAACTGATTGGACCGAGAGAGGGTATGCCGCAATAGTGGATGCTTTCTATGACCTATCAATGAATAGCATTGGTGAGTGAAATTTGAGTGGTATCGGATTTTCAGTTAACACTGATTAACACGATTTGAAATTGAATTATTGCATACAGAAATTCCAGCGGGATTCTTGCAAGGTATATTTTTCAACAGTAGTCGGCCACACTATATGAATTACGCTACTATTGGTTGGATCATTGGTCATGAATTGACACATGGATTTGATGATGAAGGTAGTCAATACGACGAGCATGGCGATTTGGTCAACTGGTGGGATTCCGAAACAATGAAAGAATATCTTAACCGAACTCAATGTGTAGTTCAACAATATAGTAATTATACAGTTAATGGTTTGAAAGTGAGTTCAGTGATTCGTTTTACTCTTTTACAAGACATTTTCAAATGGACATTCATATATATGAAAAGTATTATTAGTAGCTTTTTTTCGTAAATAGTAACTGTAAGAATTTCTCATTGATTTATAGCTGAATGGTAATAATACGCGAGGTGAAAATATCGCAGACATCGGAGGCATCAAGGAAGCTTACTTCGCCTACGAAGAATATGAAAAAACTCATGGAGAAGAATCTGGTTTACCAGCGTTACCCTACTCACCTCGGCAACTGTTCTGGATAAGTGCGGCAAGTATCTGGTGCGAGAAGTCTAGACCTAAAATTTTGGAACATATAGTCAATATCGATGTTCATAGTCCTTGTGAGTTCCGTGTCGTTGGGTCTTTTTCTAATATACCTGAATTCTCTAGAGACTTTAATTGTCCTGTTGGATCTCCAATGAATCCTACTAAAAAATGTACAGTTTGGTAAATTTAATATCAGTACCGTCAGCCTTTCATATGCTATAAAATATAAAAAACGAATAAAAATGACCTATGATTCATGTATAATTCATGAATACGAGCATTTAGCATATTTTAGAAATGTAAATATTTTTATAATAATGTCATAATTAAATAAGCCATTATAATAGATGTGATCACCAACAATATCATATATAGCTATACTAATCCATTCGTACGTAATATCTGATTACTTTAGCTTGAAATAATCATACGTACGACGGGTTGCATACGAATGCTTCAACTATACTACATGACCGTTACACTCATTGCGCGCGTGATCCAAACTATACTATTATCTAAGCAAATTATTAACGTGTGATTGCCTTTTCCTTATAGCTATCTTAGTTCTATTATGGGATCTCCATAATTCTAAGTTATTAAAATATTTGTATCTGTAGACAGGAATCATTTTGTAAAGATATCAATTCGACGTTAACAAGAAAAATAAAATCCTGTTTTCTTACGTCAACTGAAATATTATTTGATATTATATGTTACTACAGAAAAATTAACAAACGATTGATTAATATAAAATGGTCTACACGGCATCATCGTGTATTTTATCATTTTTTAATGTTATGGATCTTCAACATCTAATTCATTCAATATTTATTTGCAAACACTATTGTATATAAAATTGAATGTTTTATATATAAATAATTATATAATAAAATTTAATTTTCAATCTTTATCGTAAAAAACGACTCCCTCGTAAGAGTCAAATTACAAACAATAATTAGCAAACTAATTTTCCATGATAATCTTTGACATCTGTTCCTGTATTAGTGAAGCAGTTTGACCTTCATATATCCACTGTTTCTTTTAAGCACATATTTTCAGTATAACGGATTTATGAAGCTCTAAATTAAATATGTACGAAGCTCATATTCGCGATAAAAATAGTACATTTATAAAATAAAATTGTTTTCTCTCAAAAAATATTTTTTTTCATTTTGCTAAGTAAAACACAGGTATATATCAATCTTAGATTTTTATTTTATAATATCTTAACATGTGTACCTTTTTATCAATAGAAAAATATGTGTCAACAATTAATCTCAAAATCATACAGAACGAATTTGCTAATTATAATTATTTAAAAAAATAAGTTATGAATACTTAAGAAAAATCCATAGCCTTAAAAATAATTTTCAAAGTAGTTTCTAAACTAAAACTAAGAAATAAATACAATAATCGTTTATAAATCAAACAAAATAAGTCATGTCATCATTTGAGTGTTCAAATTATTCTACAAAATATCACATACATTTAAAAATGAACAATCATATTTTATAGAACATAATAATCCATTGAACATGAAAAAGAAATATTATGTTCGAATATTCAGATAAAGACTCCGTAACAGATAATATTTTAATAGACCAAACGACTAAATATATAGCTAGAACTTGTGAACATAATATCAGTGGACTAAATGTGGTTTGGAGAATAACCGTAACGACTCAATTACAATAAAATGACGTAAGTACTTAACAACGGTTATCTGTCAGTAACTACTTTGTACTTCAATTTTAATTGTATATCTATAGGTTAAGAAAGATACATTTACCGGTTTCATTGGACGGAAGAGTTATTTTGATAGTTGCAATTTATTACTCATTTGTAAGTGTTACTAATTGTGCAGTAACTACGACTGGTATGATTATTTTATTTATATAACTTTTATTACGATAATTGCAATTCAGTTTTATTCTGACAAATTTTTCAGAAATAATATAATTTGTTTAATTTAATGTATACAGATAAATCCAATTTTCATGTACTCTCCCTTTGTAAAACTTTCATAACTCAATGTTTTACAAATGTTTGAAGCAGTAAAGTAAGATGAGAGCAGAAAATGCGAAAACTGTTCCACTATTGATTTTATATTTCATTATTTTTTTATTACAAAGAAAACATGTATTATTTCTTAATAATTTCAAATTTATAAATGGCATAAAAATAGTTAAACTAAAAAATGTATCTTCTAGGATTGAAGGACAAAGACGTTAATTCGAAAAATGAATCACAGGAAAAAGTCTGCGAAACACAAGCATGTATCGAAGCAGGTATACAAATCAAAGACCTCCCGAATGTTTCTAAATATTTCGTATTGTTAAGACTCAATCTTCTATTTTAGCATCGCTAATTTTGAAAAACATTGACACAAAAGCGGTACCTTGCGATAATTTTTATCAATTTGCGTGTGGCAAATTTTTAGAGGAATCAATTATTCCGGAATCCCAAAATAGCATATCTGCTTTTACTCGAACTAATGAAAAACTATTGAAGCAGCTGAGGACAAGTCTAGAACGTAAAATGGATAATAACGCTCCAAGAACGTTCAAAGTGCTGCAGTCATTTTATTATTCTTGTCTCGATATTGGTGCATAAATAATTTTTAAGTGCCTTATACTTTATCAAATGTTAATCTTATATCATTGTTTTATTACATTAATTTGTAGCTAAAATCAACGAAACTAGTACAAATGAAGTGTTGGATATACTGAAGAAACTTGGTGACTGGCCTGTTCTGGTCGGACAATCTTGGAACGCTTCCGACTTTGATTGGAAAAAATTAATCTATCAGATGCGTGAAATTGGATATACAGAAGCGATGAAATGTTTTATAGAGATAGGTATCAAAATATCCGAAGAAAATAATAACAGGAGATATGTAATAACTGTGAGAATTTTTTCCAAATACAAATCATTTATCAAGACACTATCCATTATGGTTATTACAAAAATAATACCGTACTGAACTTATTTTTTTATCAACGTAGCTGGATCAGGCATCTACAGGACTCGAACAAGAGTACTTGTCAAAAGGTTTCCAAGACAAAATTGTACAAGCCTACTATAAATATATGACCAATCTTGCGGAAGTCCTCGGAGCTGATGAACAACAATCGAGGAAAGACCTACGTGACTCTTTGGATTTTGAAATTGAGCTTTCGAAGGTATATGACAAAAAAAAAACTAAATTGAACAGCATCAACAATTAAAAAATAAATTCAAATAACTTCGTCATTCGCTTCAATAACATTACTATTTTAGATTTTTTTACCGAGAGAAGATCGTAGAAATAGATCTCAGCTTCACAATTCTATGACTCTACAACAACTAGAATCAGGATATCCAGATATTCCCTGGCGCGAGTATTTCAATAACATTTATTTTTCACAAACTAAATTTATTACATCTAACGATCAAATCATAGTGAAAGTTCCATATTTCCTTAAATCTTTAATAAATCTAATTAACAATACTCCGAAACGTGTTCTTGCCAATTACGCTATTTGGCGAGTAGTCCAAGAGTCGGCTTCTTTCATGAATGAACGCGTGAAACGCATCAAAGCTGATTTCAGTGCGTCAAAGACAGGTACAAATGTACAAAAACAACCATGGATCGAATGTCTGGAATACTTAAAGACAAATTTACATCTGGCTCTTGGAGCTTTGTATGTGAGAGAACATTTCGATAAGAAATCGAAGGAAGTTGCTGAAGAAGTTGTTCACGGAGTCCATGAAAGTTTTTTAGGTTTATTAGAAAAGGTTTGTTGATAAACTCTGAAGAGCTTTTTCGGTTAGTTAAATTACAAATTGTATGCTTCAATTACTTTCGCAGATTGATTGGATGGATGCAAAAACTAAAGAGACCGCTAAAAAGAAGCTCCGTTCCGTTAAAGAATACGTTGCCTACCCGGACGAATTCCTTGACGACGAAAAAATTGACACCTATTTCCAGGATCTAGTAGTTCATTCGGAAAGTTTTTTGAAGAGCCATTTAAATTTGAAGCTTTTCAAAGTCATAAAATATATAGAAAAATTAGGAAAGCCTGTTAATAGATATAATTGGATCGATAGAGGGTTTACCGCAGAAGTGGACGCTTTCTATGGTCTTCACATAAATAGCATTAGTAAGTGAAATCTAAGCAATATTGAATTTTCAGTCTACATTAAATAACACAGTTCGAAATTACGTACAGTCATTCCGGCGGGAATCTTGCAAGATATATTTTTTAACAGTCTTCGGCCACACTACTTGAATTACGCTGCTATTGGTTGGATAACTGGTCATGAATTAACACACGGGTTTGATGATCAAGGAAGTCAATATAACGAGTATGGTGATTTGATCAACTGGTGGGATCCTGAAACATTCAAAAATTATCGTAATCGAACTAAATGTATAATTCAGCAATACAGTAATTATACAGTTAATGGCTTGAAAGTGAGTTTGTTGATTCTCTTTTACGGAGAATTTCAAATGGATATAGAATAATATTAATTGTATTCGGGTATAGAATAATATTAATAGTAAGGATCTCTTATTGATTTACAGGTGAATGGTAAGAATACTCAAGGTGAAAATATCGCAGATAACGGAGGTATCAAGGAAGCTTACTTCGCTTATGAAGAATATGAAAAGACTCATGAGCAAGAATTAGGTTTACCTGGATTATCGTACACATCGCGGCAACTATTCTGGATAAATGCAGCAAATATCTGGTGCGACAAATCTAGACCTGAAAATTTGGAACACGTAATCAATACCGATGTTCATGGTCCTGCTGAGATTCGCGTCATTGGAACTTTCTCTAATATACCTGAATTTTCTAGAGACTTTAATTGTCCTGTCGGATCTCGAATGAATCCTATTAAAAAATGTACAGTTTGGTAAATGTACAGTTTATATTAGTATCATGATATTTTATTTTATCTGAGCAAATATTGAAAACAAATATAAATAATCTATAATTCATGTATAATATAAAATAATTTCGCATAGTTCAGAAAGAAAAATATTTTTATAATAGTTATCATTAAAAAAATCGTTCAAATGCACAAAACTTATTGTTAATAAATATATGCGAATAAAACCTACCATTTATTATAAAAACAATTGAAGCCCAGTTTAACTTTAAAAAATTGATAAAAATAAATGACCAGAATGTATAATATTTATTTAATAATTTTAGTTTTAATAAGGATTTCTACGATTTAACAAATTAATATCCTAGAAAATTAAGTTAAAAATTATTTAGTAAATGCCCTATCGAAATGCACGAATTTTTAAATATAGTTTCCGTTTAACTTCAATTTAATTAAAGCAATATGATTAATAAATAGTTAAATTTCATGTTTCAAATACGAATTAAGATAACAATAAATTGTAGTAAAGATTTGTAAGAAAGCTTGCGAGCTTGCAAGCTCTACTTTTTATTTTCGTATAAACAATTACTTGTTAATTGTATTTTACAGCGAATTTAAGATGTATTTTTGTTTTTAGTATAAAATAGCTTATATATATAAGGAATAGTGGTACTTTCCCTTTCCGCATAGTTTTGATAGTGATCCATGACAGTTTAGGCGAGATATCGCCGTTCTGGCGACAAAGGAATCCTGAGACTACGCCAAGCCTCAGGCACATCTGAGCTGTGTCATTGCCACCACGTCACATTTCATTGTAAAATATCAATTAGAGCTTAAAATAATTTGCAAAATTCATTTTTGGGGGTGGACTTTCATGGTGGATTTCACTCTCTCAAAGTATTTTTCCACCGATAAAATAAAACACGTGTTATTTATTGTAACGATGTAAATTGCTGGATCTTAATTCAGCGCCTTGCGTTGGTTTTCACAACGCGTTTTTCATCCCCAATCCATCTTTGACCGATGACGAATAGTAAATCGAGCATGCACAACAATGAATCGGACGTCGATCACACGCGTCAGCTCGAGGCATGCAAGTTCGTTGGCAGAATATCCTTGGACGTCGGACTGTCAAAATCTCCTCTTCAGCGCTCTGTCCATTCTTCGCCGATGTCTGGGATCCATGTTCATCAACCTCGTAAAACTACTGCCAGAGCAACGATGGCAAGAATTAAAACCTTACCCACAGTTATAAGAGGAGCAGATTGGAAGAAAGTCCGGTGGTACAAGGACTACCTTCGTTTCCACTTTTTACAAGAATAAGATAAGTTCCCTGTAGTCAGCGCGCGCCGTTAGAAACAATAATAAAAAAGAAACTCTAGAGGCTTTTATATCGAAACTCTAAAATTTTGAATCTGGAAAAACTATTATAAATAAATGAAATTTATATACTGTGTGTCCTCGCATAAATATCGTATATTGAATTTTGTAAATTTCACGAATGTGAAATAGTGAGAACGATTAAATAACAATTATTAAGTATCAGAGTCGGGCGTATCAAGACTTATTTATTTCTCCCGGATTAATAAACACATTCATTTCATGATTTTCCTATGATCTGCAACATACTAAAAGAATATTGAAATCGGTGTGGTCGGGTTAGGGGAGATTCCTTGTAAATCGATTCTTTTATTTACAACAAATCTTAAAATCAACTAATTTTTTTATATAAATAAACTTTTCTACAGGTAGATTAACCGAAACTAAAATTTGCACATAATATTTAGTGGAAGGTGTATAAAATGAAGTTTTACATATCTACTACATGTATCATGACGAATATTGCTAATATCTGGGGAGTATCACGGCCTACCATAACACAATATTTAAATGCTAGTGTTAGAAAGTAATCTTAGCATGATGCGGACGTTTGCACCCGAGTGAAGCTAGCACGTGTATCGAAATATATCATACTTAAATCCTTCCTTTTTAAAATAGAGGTTGTAAAGCTGATTTGACGGAAAAGAGGTACATGGTACAATAATAATAATCATTGATGTTATACATAATCAGTTCGAAATCAATTTTATTATATATATATATACACACACACACACACACACATATATATAATAAAAATAATAAATATCATAAAATATTTATAACATATATAAATAATTTATAATATATATCATAAAAAATAAGATTTTAAATATTTTTCAATAAATAATATTCTCCATATCTTAGTACTCCTTAAGATTTCTTCACCGAAAGAAGAATGTAGAAATATTTTTAAGCTTTATCACTCTATAACAGTTGAAAAGCTTGAGTCAAAATATTTAGTCATCACTCTGAAGGAATATTTGAGCAAAACTCTACCGTCACATCTTGGAATAGACTTCATTAAATTCATAAAACACAGACATTAGAAATCTGAACCGTATGAAATCCGCCACTAAGCTTATTTCTAAGATACCAAAGCGTACTTTTGCTTACTATTTAATCTGGCGCATGACTGCAGAGTCAACAAGCTTTTTAAATAATCGAGTGCGGTCTATTGAAGTAGAAATTCTAACGTTAGTATACGATAAAATGAATCTACAGCAGCCTAATTGAGGAGAGTGCGTTGATTACACAACTGACTACTTTGCAAAAAGTTATAGAAGATATAAAAAGAAGTTGAATCAAAAGCTTTATTACATCAAACAGCATAAATATATGTTTTATATGAAATTCTCAAATATCGCGATTGAACTGATCTCAATTACACGAAATGGCAATGACAGCATTATTTACTCAAATCGAATTTATTTCATGATTTCGAATAAATTTACTAGAGTGAAATGATTCTATAATATTACGCTATTTTTATATTTTTATAACTTGTATTACATTTTTATTGTATTTTTCAAACTTTTGAATGGTGATTTTTCAGCACACAACTTGGAATGATATAAACTTAAAACTTCATTGATTACATTATTAAACATTTTTAAATCATAAATATCAATGTAACTGTATGTTTATTTACCAATAAATAATGGTCGGCTATAGCTATATACATACATAGTATGTATGTAATATATGGAATATGTAAATGTATAGTTTGGTAAATGGTAATTTAGTACGATCAGATTTTAATGTCCTATAAAATAAGAAAAACGAATGTAAATAATCTATGATTAATGTGTTATAAAATAAGTTTCATTGTTTTAGAAATAAAACCTTTTTATAAAAAATTTATAATTAAAGACTTTACAAATGCACCGAAACTTATTGTTCGTGAAATTCCGCAAATAAAATAAAATATTTTCCAAAAACATTTTTCAATATAAAAATGTATTTTTTATATTGAACAATAAATTATTGCAGAAATATACGTAAGTTATTTAGAATAAATGCGGCCATACTGTTTGACATCATATACTGTAGAAAAATGAACTATTTCCGTATGTTTGCCTTTCTTTAATGATTATATGTTACCGAAACACTTGTTAGTCATGCGTATAATATAATTTGGGTTCGTTTTATACAGATACCGATTTAATGTGAACATGAACAATAAAATAATATTTGCTTAGAAAATAAAATATTATATTTCGACAGAAAAATCAGCAGGCGATTAATTAACATAAAATGTTCTATAATACGTTATTGAATATATTTTATCATTTTTAATAATGCATATAACATTAAACATGTAATTCATTAAATATTTTCTTCTAACCCTATATATAGGAATAACCCTCTATCGTTCCCTCAGACGCGCCTATATTTGCCCTATTTGTCCTTTTTTGAACTTCATTTGCCCCTCCTGTTACCTCTTTTATCAGTTGTTTTTATAAATAATAATTATTTTTCTTTATGAATTATAAGAAATTTATAATTGTTTGTTGAAATTTATAACTATTTGAATATTAATGATTTTAAATTCAATGAAATAGAATACTTTACAGATGTACCTGAAAATCTTCATATTATTGTCAAACGATTTGTACATATTGTTTATTTTTACTCTTTTTTTTTCTATTGAATAAATAACTATTAATGAGATTATAAATTTTTTCTCTAATTCCATGTCCGTATAATTTATTAAGTAATATTGTATGATCAACTGTATCGAAAGCTTCGGCAAAATCTAAAAAAGCGATACTATTGGTTTTTCTGAATCAAGTTGCTTGTAAATATTGTTTGTTATGTAATATAAAGCATCCTTTGTGCTTCTATTTTTCTTAAAACCAAATTGTTTATTCGAGAACAAATTATAATTTTCTATAAATTGCAATATTTTTCTATGTAATAGTACAAAAGTTGACCTTCATATAACCTTGAAAATTGAGTTAAAGGTAAAATCAAAGGTCACACTTCTCTTTAAACCCTACAACTTTAGTAATGACTATTTTTCCGATTTCTGCAGTTTCAGAAGAGATTCAAGTGTGCATTTGGAATAGGAAAGTCTACATTTTACTTTTCGTTAGTGGTGTAATTCAATCGCTTCTAACATCTTAAAAAGCATCATAGCAAAAAAATCATAAGTAATCAATTTGAGGTTTTTTCAAGATCTTTTAATTTTTATTAGAATTTTTCATCCATTATCTATAATTTTAATAATACAAGTGATTGAAGAAATTGAAAAACTTGGAAAATGAACATTGATTAAAGTTGTATAAAAAATAGAAAAAATGACTTCAAAAATTTTCGCACCCTATAGAAAGCTAATTTTCGCTTCTACTTAAATTTGCCTTATTTATATTCCACAATCAATAGAATCGGAGATATTTTTGTTTAAAAAAAAAACTTTTCTTCCATAAAAGTTTCGCAAATTTATGACCGGTACTGTATATATATAAAAAACTTCCTCTCGTGAAAGCCAAATTTGACAAAATAAATATTTAACATGATTATCTTTGACATTTTTTCCGTGTCTGTGAGGAAGTTTGACCTTGACATGATCCCTATTTTTCTAACAACGCATATTTTTAGTATTCCCGATTTAATAACTCGAAATAAAATATAACCGTAGCTTACGTTCGTAATAAAAATAGTATATGATGGAGAATCAGGTAAAGGACGTAATACAAAGATAATGACGTTTATTTGTTTCTTGAAATATAAGTGTTATCTCCAGTACAATTATATTTTCTGTTCTACAAAGTTAAACACACGTACACCTAAATCTTGTATCTAAAATTTTATTATCTCTCAGCATGTGTACTTTTTTCTAGTAGAACAATCGCTGCGAGCTATTTTTCTGTTCACGATACTCAGTGAATTAGCTATCTACAGTTATTTTACAAAACAGCTTTTAAATATGTAAAAAGAGTCAGTAGCTTTAAAAATAGTTTTCAAGGTAGTTTCAAAAATAAAAACAAGAAAAATATGTGATAATTACTGACAAATAAAACAAAATCAGGCATTGTCACATATCACATGTAATCCAAAACGAACAATTAATTCTCATATTTCAAAGATTATGATAATTTAATATTTAAGTTTGAGTATTGAGATAAAGTCTTCGTGACAGATGGCATTTAGTAATTGACGTGAGTACGTATATAATATACGGAACTGGTAAACGTAATGTCAGTAGTCTGAAGAATGACTGTAACGACCAAAATATAGTCCAATGGCGTAAGAACTTGAATATTATCCATGAGTCACTATCTCGAAAACATTAAATTTAATTGTTTATGTGTAGGCTTAAAAAGACACCTTTATCAGTTTCATTGTGCGGAAGGGCTGATATTCAAGCAATAGTCGCATATTTAATAGTCGCATTTTTCTTCTTTGTTAATGTTACTAATTGTACAATAATTTCGATTGGTAAGCTTACTCTGCTTAATATAATAAATTCTTATTACAATTATAATTCAATTGAAATCTGATAAATTAATAAATAAAATATAAATTAATGATAAATTTAATATAATAGAAATAATAAAATTTTTTTATTTAATGCATTAACAATAATCCTAATTAATTTTCATGTTATCTCATAAGAAAAGACGTTCATAACTTAATTTTTTTACAATTAATCTTTTAACGCTCGATGGCCAAAATTTTAACGCCAACTTCCAATTCGTGCTTTTCAATAATAAACCGCGTGGAAAATATATTGGGATACATATCATTGCCTCAAAAATATCATCTTTAGAATGTCATAACCAAATATATCAATAAATGACTGCAACAATTATTTATTTTTAACAATAAACAAGAAAAAAATGCAGATTTTCGATTTTTTAAGGAATTTTTTCACTATGTTCTCGATACTTAAGAACATTCTAAGTCATCAGGATATGGGACCCAAAAGTTGTAATTCAAAAATATACTGTAAGATACTTACAGATCCGACATTTCGGACCTGCCATTTTTAATTTTGATAAGCTAATAATGAAGATCTAATGGTCCTGAGAGTTCATAAAACTATTGAATAAAGAGGATTAAAGACTGTACAGTGACTATTATAGCTATGTAAAAACGTCATTTTAGCTGACACATCATAATCACAATTTTGAAAATCAATTGTCTGAGCTAATTTTGCTAATATGTAATTTGTTGTCACAAAAATTAGAAAAGTAATTTTGCCCGTTAAAACTTTGATAAGATTTAAAAAATGCATATTAATGAGATTTTGCAATAATTTTGGGCGTTCGGGTACTATTTTAGAATGGTTAATAATAAAAATCAAAGTATCTCACAGTATATTTTTGAATTACAATTTTTGGATCCCGCATCCTGATCACTTAGAATGTTCTTAAGTACCAAGAACATAGTTAAAAAAATTCCTAGAAAAAATCGAACATCTGCATTTGTTCTTATTTTTTGTTAAAAATAAATAATTTGCAGTCATTTATTAATAAATTTGGATATGCTATGCAAAAGATAAAATTTTTCAGGCAATGACATGTATTCCAATATATTTTCTCAATATATTTTCCACGCAGGTTATAATTGAAAAGCACGAGCTTGAGTTGACATTAAAATTTTAGCCATCCGACCGTTAGTTAATTGAAGTAAGACAAATGAAAATGCGAAAACTACTCCTATACTAATTTATGCATTACATTTATTACTGCATTTCTTAATAATTTCAAATTTATAAATGCCATAAAAATAGTTAAACTAAAAAATGTATCTTCTAGGTTTGAAGGACAAAGACGTTAATTCGAAAAATAAATCACAGGAAAAAGTCTGCGAAACACAAGCATGTATCGAAGCAGGTATACAAATCAAAGACCTCCTGATTGTTTTCAAATATTTCGTATTGCTAAGACTCAATCTTGTATTTTAGCATCGCTAATTTTGAATAACATTGACACAAAAGCAGTACCTTGCGATAATTTTTATCAATTTGCGTGTGGCAAATTTTTAGAGGAATCAATTATTCCGGAATCCCAAAATAGCATATCTGCTTTTACTCGAACTAATGAAAAACTATTGAAGCAGCTGAGGACAAGTCTAGAACGTAAAATGGATAATAACACTCCAAGAACGTTCAAAGTGCTGCAGTCATTTTATTATTCTTGTCTCGATATTGGTGCATGAATAATTTTTAAGTGCCTTATACTTTATCAAATGTTAATCTTATATCATTGTTTTATTACATTAATTTGTAGCTAAAATCAACGAAACTAGTACAAATGAAGTGTTGGATATACTGAAGAAACTTGGTGACTGGCCTGTTCTGGTCGGACAATCTTGGAACGCTTCCGACTTTGATTGGAAAAAATTAATCTATCAGATGCGTGAAATTGGATATACAGAAGCGATGAATTGTTTTATAGAGATAGGTATCGAAATATCCGAAGAAAATAATAACAGGAGATATGTAATAACTGTGAGAATTTTTTCCAAATACAAATTATTCATCAAGGCATTATTTATTATTATAGTCATTACAAAAATAATACCTCACTTAATTTATTTTTTGTATGGATGAAGTTGGATCAGGGATCTACAGGACTCGAACAAGAGTACTTATCAAAAGGTTTCCAAAACAAAATTGTACAAGCCTACTATAAATATATGACCAATCTTGCGGCAGTCCTTGGAGCTGATAAGCAACAATCAGAGAAAGAACTGCGCGATTCTTTGAATTTTGAAATTGAGGTTTTGAAGGTATGTGACAAAAAAAAAACTAAATTGAATAGCGTCAACAATTAAAAAATAAACTCTAATAACTTCGTCATTCGCTTCAATAACATTATTATTTCAGTTTTTTTTACCGAGAGAAGAGCGTAGAAATATGTCTGAACTGTACAATTTTATGCCTCTAGAACAATTAAAATCAGAATATCCAGATATCCCTTGGAGCGAGTATTTCAATCAAATTGTGTCGCCACAAACTAAATGGATTACAGAGAATGATCTTATCTTAGTTAAAGTGCCAAGTTTCCTTAAATCTTTATTAAAACTAATTAATAATACTTCGAAGCGTGTTCTTGCCAATTATGCTATTTGGCGAGTAGTTCAAGAGTCGACTTCTTTCATGAATGAAAATGTGCAACGCATCACAGCTGACTACAGTGCATCAATAACAGGTACAAATGTACAAGAACCACGATGGATACAGTGTCTTGACTACGTATCGCAAAATGTGCATTTGGCTGTTGGAGCTTTGTATGCAAGAGAACATTTCGATAAGAAATCGAAAAAAAGTGCTGAAGAGCTTGTTAACAGATTGCGTCAGAGTTTTGCTGATTTATTAGAAAAGGTTCGTTGATAATCTCTAAAAAGCTTTTTTTGGTTAGTTCAATTATAAAATGTATGCTTCAATGATTTTCTTAGACTGACTGGATGGATGAAAAAACTAAAGAGGCCGCTAAAAAGAAGCTTCGTTCAATGAAAAATTACGTCGCTTATCCGGACGAGTTACTTGAGGATAAAAAAATTGATGCCTATTTCCAGGAACTAGAAATTAATTCGGAAAGTTTTTTAAAAAATCATCTGAATTTAAAGCTTTTTAAATTCAAAAAGATTTTGGAAAAACTGAAAAAACCCGTCGATCAAGATGATTGGACGGAGAGAGGGTATATTACAACAGTGGACGCATTTTATAAACTTTCAATGAATATCATTGGTGAGTGAAGTTTAAGTGATATTGGTTTTTTAGTTAACATTAACTAAGATCATTTGAAATTGCATGCAGAAATTCCGGCGGGAATATTGCAAGGCGTATTTTTCAACAGTAGTCGGCCGCACTACTTGAATTACGCTGCGATTGGTTGGATAATTGGTCATGAATTAACACATGGGTTTGATGATCAAGGAAGTCAATATAACGAGTATGGTGATTTGATCAACTGGTGGGATCCTGAAACATTCAAAAATTATCGTAATCGAACTAAATGTATAATTCAGCAATACAGTAATTATACAGTTAATGGCTTGAAAGTGAGTTTGGTGATTCTCTTTTACGGAGAATTTTAAATGGATATTCGGGTATAGAATAATATTAATAGTAAGGATCTCTTATTGATTTACAGGTGAATGGTAAGAATACTCAAGGTGAAAATATCGCAGATAACGGAGGTATCAAGGAAGCTTACTTCGCTTATGAAGAATATGAAAAGACTCATGAGCAAGAATTAGGTTTACCTGGATTATCGTACACATCGCGGCAACTGTTCTGGATAAATGCAGCAAATATCTGGTGCGACAAATCTAGACCTGAAAATTTGGAACACGTAATCAATACCGATGTTCATGGTCCTGCTGAGATTCGCGTCATTGGAACTTTCTCTAATATACCTGAATTTTCTAGAGACTTTAATTGTCCTGTCGGATCTCGAATGAATCCTATTGAAAAATGCACAGTTTGGTAAATGTAAATTGTTTATTTGCACCATTAGATTTTCGTATCTGATAAAATATTAAAAACAAAAATAAATAATCTATTCGTGTATATATGGATTATTCTTGGCTATTTCGATTGACTTATAACCCTTAGGTTACGGATTTTTTTTAATTTTGCACAATTGTTGTACACATGAAAGTGAGATTTTTTACAAATTTTGATGAGGATACATTAATTGTATTAAAAGTTATTAACAATTATAGTAAAATGATAAACAATTTTCAATCGGCTATATTTTAAAAACTAATAAAGATATCGAAGTCGGATTTTTTTTTAAATACTTCTAATGCCTTAAAATTTCGAAATAATTACAACAATAAACAATAAAAAATTTTTTTCAAAAGTTATTAACTTTTTGTTTAAAAAATTGCTAATATCTCAAAAAGTATATATTTTTTTTTTATAAATTTGTGCTCCTACGTATTCCTGAGGATTTTTGCTATTGAAATCAATCATAAAATTCAAGGGCCCGACATATCGTTGTTGGCTATTTCATTTTAAAAGTAAAACACTTCACAACAAGAAAAGTAATTCCTCATCATATCGCTATTTAATATTATCAGAAAAAAATAAAAAAGTTGCGACATAAAGCCGTTATTAGATATTCTGAGTAAACTTCGAGGCTGGTCCGTTCTCAATGAAAAATTTTGGAACGAAATAGAATTAGATTGGAAAAATGTAGTTTAGCAATTTCGACGGATCAGTCACATTAAATATTTGAATTCTTTAATAAATATTGGAAATGAAATTAACGAAAAAAATAATACAATGCAATAAGAGTAAGAGGTAATACAATTATCTTCTGTTCATACGAAATTGAGTAACATAATATGTATGTTTTAATTGTTCGAATGGTTTATTCATTTTCAAAGCTACAGCAATAGTATTTGCGATAGTGTTACCATCGACTCATTCTTCAATAATCCTTTTTAGAATAATTGGTGCGCGAGTCTTCAGGTGCCAATTCATAAGTTATCATCATGCCGATGTATCCAAAAAAACATTTTATTTGTTGCATGCTGCGTTCAAGAGTCCTGAATACAATATTGATATTCAAATAACAGATGAATAACGGTCACTATTGTTGGATTCTTGGTCAGGACAGACGAAAAAGGTAAATATAAATATTAAAAGTAAAGTCATTATAATCAATATTATACCTACTGAAACGGTAGAATTAGTCTAACCTAAGGACGTCTATGGATTTAAACCGTGGATTCGGCAATTCTTTTTCAGCTATGGTCCTTTTGTAAATTTTTGATATAAATTTACATTCACGAAATAACATCTTGAAATTACAGTTTCCGATACACAACCAGTTTTCATCACCACAATTTGTTGAAATTTGCATGTTGGAAAAGTGGTGATATGTCGACGTAAAAAGCTTAACCCATTATGGCTCATGCAAAACCTGAATACGATAACAACAAAGTAACTACGCCGACGTTTGCATAATCAAAAAATAAAATGTACATATTTTTTCTTATGCAATTTGCAATTGTTTATGAAGAATTATTAAAAAATAATAACTTATTAAAAAATTCGATTACGGAATTTAGTTTTTCAAAATTATAAATTATTGAAAATTATCGATTACGTATCCAGATTTTTCATGGGTCTAAATGTCTTTTTAGTAAATGTCTAAAGTACTTTTATATCTAACATGGAAAAGAGCATAATAAAATTTAACTTTTCAACAGGTATATAAAAAATTTGAAGAAATAAAGTGGAACGCTAAAATAAAAGATCGAATAAAACTATTCAACAGCACTGGTAAAGATAGTAAAAGCATATGGAAATATTTCAATGATAAGCTAAATAAAAATTCGTCAAAGTGTGATTCGTACTTATCAATCGAAAATATTGTCAATATGTACACTGACTATGAAAGTTGATGGGATATTGAATCATTTTTCGGTAAAGCGGCATTAAAATTAGCAAAAAAAATTAAAGTAAGCAAGATTGATTTATTTTATAGAATTAATGACTACTTTTATATTCGGTATACTGACTCTAATGTGATATCAAAGATTATTCAAATCCTTAAAATTAAAGTTGGCGGAGTCAATGGAATTAGCAAAAGAATTTTAAAGACACTGAACGCTTACATTAGCTTTCTATTAGAGTGCCTTTTAAATAGATGCATCTATAAAGCACATTGATCTGTGACCCTTGAAATCGCTGAAATAGTACCGATGCACTAATCTAGAAAAAAAATTTTCTCAGCTAATTACAGACCGATATCTATAATATCAAACTTAATAATAATAGCCAACATTTTTGAAAAACTAATCTACGTTATGCTGTATAAATATCTTACAAAAAATCAAATCATTTATGGCAAACAGTTTTGTTTTAGGAAGAAAATTGGAACCAAAGATGCACTATCATATATGTTAAATCTAATAATTGGAGATGATATAAACAAAAAAGTAATAGCAGTTGTCTTAGAATTGGTAAAGGCATTTGACACCGTTGATCATAAAATTTTACTTGCAAAGTTGGAGAGATACGAAATACGTAGTCTAATTAATGATCCTTTCAAAAACTATTTAACTGACAGACAGTAATATGTCAAGATTTAAGATTATCAAAGTAACTTATCTGTAGTCATACTAGGTATTTGAAATAATTACAAATTCCCTATTTCATAGAATTGACACATATGGCATAATAGCTTAGGAAAGAGCTTATAGTACCTTGTATATTATACGAAAAATACAGAATAAATTGATAAAAATTTTACATAAAAAAGATAATAATACGGTACACCCACTCTCAATAAGAAAAGCATTCTTACTGGAAACGGTCAAGGAAAATTACAGTGCAATATCTATGGAATTGATAAGTTCAAATAGTCATTAAACTTACATAGTCGTCGTTTCATTGCTTTCAATGATTGAAAGAATTTAACGATGAAATAAAAGCCCTGAATTTCAGCCAAAAAAATAGTATAAGAAAAATTAAAAACTGGATTAGAAGCAACACAAGGCTACTAATGGAACTAGAATTATTAAACAAGATGGATCGACTACGAAAATACGTTAAAATAATGTGATTATTACAGTCTTAGTTATTCACATAATTTTATATTTCTATTTTGTTAATTTTGTATTATTAATATTTTATGTCTTATTTTATTTATTTTAATGTCAACTTGCATATAGGTTTTCATAATTTCTGCAAGAAAGTACGATTTTGTTATACCTTTGACAATAAACAATAAACAATGATGCATGCTGAGTATAGCAAATCTTACGAGTAGATGCACAGCGTACAAAAAAAAATTACTTCAATATTTTTTTTTAAATAACGCTTGCAAAGCTAATTTACCCGAAAACAGACACTAAGTACGATCGTAAAACTCATTGATGTTTTTTATAAATAATCAGTTGGAAAATATTCTCGTTGAGTTATTGAAAAATATGAGTGGTACTCATAATAAATCACTTAAAATAATGAAATATCACATATCAAACTATCGAGAGTTTATCCTCATATTTTCATATTCGTACGTAAGTTGAAATAGAATGAGTCACAACAGTAGAAGAATTGGAAATGTACTTTACAAAGCTTTGAGATTTCAGTTAGAATAAACGTTACATTCCGTATTGTAATAGATTTACAGAGAGAAAGACTTTATATTTGAAAGTCTAGTTTATTCAATTTGCTGGTTGATGACAATATGACAGTGTTAGGTTCGGATCGAATAGATTCAATAAATAGAAAAAGTTGAAAGTTTGTTAAAAGACCCTGAAAATAATTTGTATTGGATTTGAAACAAATTCAATACATTCGTACTTAATATTCCATTCGTACTTAACATTTGATTATTCTAACTTGCAATAATAATCTTACGCACGACGGGTAGCTGAATGGAAATGTTTCAAATATACTACGTGATCATTATAATCATTGTGCGCGTGAACTAAAACATATACTATTATCTAGGCTAACTATTATCGTGTGTGTAGCTTTACCATGTGTTTGTTTTTTTCTTATAGCTATCTTCGTTCTATTACGTGATTTCTCAAATTCTAAGTTATCAAAACACTCGTATCTGTAGATCGGGATCATTTTGTACAGATACCGATTCTATGTAAACAAAAAAAGTAAAATACTGTTTTTTTAGGTTATTTACAGTATTATTTGATATTATATCTTTCTACAGCAAACTTAACAAACGATATTTTTTAATGCTATGTACATAATCGTCAGCGCATAATTCATTCAATATTTATTTACAAACGCATACAAAATTGTATGATTTATATATAAATAATTATATAATAAAATTTAATTTCGAAATTTTTCTTATAAAAAACGACTTTCTCGTAAGAGTCAAATTTAAAACAATAAATAGCAAACTATTATTTATCATGATAATCTTTGACAACTATTTCTGCGTCAGTGAAGAAGTTTGACCTTCATATATCCGCTGTTTCTTTTAAGCACATATTTTCAGTATAACGGATTTATGAAGCTCTAAATAAAATATGTCCGCAACTCATATTCGTGATAAAAATAATTCGTGATAAAAAACTAATGACGACGAATTAACATTTTGTAAAATAAAATTATTTTCTCCTACAATATAATTTTTGCATTCTGCAGAGTAAAACATAGACATATATCAATTTAATTTAATTTTTATGATTTCTTAACACGAGTATTTTTTTATCAATAGAAAAATCTCTGCTATTATTCACTTTGAAACCATACAGAACGAAATAGCTAATTATAATTATTAGAAAAAATAGCTTTTGGATGCAACAGCTCAAGAAATCGTTTACACAATCGTTTTAAAAATAAAAAAGAAAAAAATGAAATAATGATTTCAATTAAACAACATATTCATTGCACAGATGAAAGTGAACAATTGATTCTCATATTTTGAAGAATAATCGCATCATAATTCATTCAACAGGAAAATGACATATTTATGTTTGAATATTCAGATAAAGTCTTCGTGACACGTGGTATTTTAATAGACAAAACGACTAGGTATATAATAGATAGAACTCATAAACGTAATATCAGTGGTCTAAAAGTAGTCTGAATAATAACCGTAACAACTCATATATAATAAAATGACGTAAGTACTTCATGATTATCTGTCAGTAACTACTTTGTACTTCAATTTTAATTGTTTATGTGTAGGTTAAGAAAGACACCTTTACCGGTTTCACTGGGTGGAAAAGTTATTTTGATAATTGCAATCTACTCATTTGTAAATGTTACTAATTGTGCAGTAACTACGAATGGTATGCTTATTTTACTTTATATAATTTTTATTATGATGATTGCAATTCAATTTTATTCTAACAAATTTTTCAGAAATAATGTAATTTCTTTAATTTAATGTATAGCAATAAACTCAAATTTCATGTACTCTCATAATGTACAACTTTCGTAAATCAATGTTTTACGAATAATTTAAGTAAGACGAGTACCGAAAATGCAAAAACCATTCTATTGATTTTTCATTTAATTATTTTTTTTATTATAAAGAAGATGTATATTATTTCTTAACGATTTCAAATTTATAGATGACGTAAATATTGTGAAACTAAATGTACGAGGGGGGGGGGGTCAATAAGTCTTTACAAAAAGAAGGAAAAAAAAAGTTTTGTGTATGTAATTTTTTTTTATTTTTCAACATAATCTCCTTGAAGGTCGATACATTTTATTAAACGGCCTTCCAGTTTTTTTACGCCATCAGAAAAATATAATTTCTAAAAACCCTCAAAATAGGCATTTGTTTCGGTGATGACTTCTTCATTCGACGTGAATCGTTGTCCGGCAAGCCATATTTTGAGGTTAGGAAATAAGAAAAAGTCACTGGGAGCCTAATCAGGCGAATATGGTGGATGGTCAATTAATTCGAACTTTAAATAGTTAATTTTTGCCATCGAAACTGCACACGTGTGAACTCGAGCATTGTCTTGAAGAAAGAGGCATCATTTTTTGTTCAAGTGAGGACGTATTTCTCTGATTTTTTCTTTCAGCTGACCTAATAATGACGCATAATGTTGTCCAATGATCGTCTGGCCCTTTTCCGAGTAGTCGATGTAGATGATTATATACGCATCCCAGAAAACCATGGCCATAATCTTGCCAGCTAACTTTACTGTCTTTGCCTTCTGTGGTACTGGTTCTCCTGCGGAAATCCATTGTTTGGACTGTTCTTTGGTTTCAGGAGTGTAGTGGTGTACCCATGTTTCGTCTACAGTTACGAGTCGACGCCAAAAGTCTTCCGGATTACGACGCATGCATGCCAAAAGAGCCTGAGAGGTGACCACGCTGATTCGTTTGTTTTCAACAGTGAACAAACATAGGCACCCATCTTGCTGATATTTTTTTCATCCCCAATTTTTCATGCAAAATTGAAATGATTGTACCCTTTGATACCCCTGTGGCCTCAACCAATTCTCGCAATTTTAATCTTCTATGACTCAACACCATATCGTGGACTTTGGTGACCATTTCGGGCGTACTCACTTCTACGGGGCATCCTGAACGAGGTTCATCTTTTGTTGTTGTACGGCCGCGTTTAAATTCATTTACCCATTATAAACAGTCTTAAACACAGGGGTAGACTTGCCATGAACGGCATTCAACTCAACAGTGATTTCTTTTGGCGTAAGGCCTTTCAAATAAAAATGTTTTATCACCGCTCGAAACTCTGTTTTTTCCATTTTTCAAATATACCAATAACATTTTGTTCAACCAACACTCACAAAAAAACGACTTAATGAATCGAGCTGAAACTTTGTACAATATCTAGTTAGTAGTATTGCTTGCCAAAATTATCATAATTTAAGCGTGACGAGCGCCATCTCTTGGATTTTGTAAAGACTTATAGACCCCCCTCGTAACTTCTAGGATTCAAAAACGAAGACGTTGATTCGAAAAATGTATCACAGGAAAAAGTTTGCGAAACACAAGCATGTATCGAAGCAGGTATACAAATCAAAGACCTCCCGATTTTTTCCAAATATTTTGTCTTGCTAATACTCTATCTTGTATTTTAGCATCGCTAATTATAAAAAACTTGGACACAAATTCAGTACCTTGCGATAATTTTTATCAATTTGCATGTGGCAAATTTTTAAAGGAAACAGTTATTCCAGAATCTAAAGATAGTGTGTCATCTTTTACTCTGACTGATGATAAACTATGGCAGCAACTGAGAACAAGTTTAGAACGTAAAATGGATAATAATGCTCCAAGAACGTTTAAAGTGCTGCAGTCATTTTATAATACTTGTTCAGATATGGGTACATTTATACATTGTTGAACATCTTACATTACCAGATGTTACATTTTATTTCACTTTTTCCATTATATTAATTTGTAGCTAAAATCAACGAAACTAGTACAAATGATATGTTGGATATACTGAAGAAACTTGGTGACTGGCCTGTTCTGGTCGGACAATCTTGGAACGCTTCCGACTTTGATTGGAAAAAATTAATCTATCAGATGCGTGAAATTGGATATACAAAAGCAATGAAATGTTTTATATATTCAAGTATCGATGTCCTCGGTAACAACAAATATGAAATAACTGTGAGAATTTTTTCCAAATACAAATCATTTATCAAGACACTATCCATTATGGTTATTACAAAAATAATACCGTACTGAACTTATTTTTTTTATCAATGTAGCTGGATCAGGCATCTACAGGACTCGAACAAGAGTACTTGTCAAAAGGTTTCCAAGACAAAATTGTACAAGCCTATTATAAATATATGACCAATCTTGCGGAAGTCCTCGGAGCTGCTGAACGACAATCGAGGAAAGACCTACGTGACTCTTTGGATTTTGAAATTGAGCTTTCGAAGGTATATCACAAAAAAAACTAAATTGAACAGCATCAACAATTAAAAAATAAATTCAAATAACTTCGTCATTCGCTTCAATAACATTACTATTTTAGATTTTTTTACCGAGAGAAGATCGTAGAAATAGATCTCAGCTTCACAATTCTATGACTCTACAACAACTAGAATCAGGATATCCAGATATTCCCTGGCGCGAGTATTTCAATAACATTTATTTTTCACAAACTAAATTTATTACAACTAACGATCAAATCATAGTGAAAGTTCCATATTTCCTTAAATCTTTAATAAATCTAATTAACAATACTCCGAAACGTGTTCTTGCCAATTACGCTATTTGGCGAGTAGTCCAAGAGTCGGCTTCTTTCATGAATGAACGCGTGAAACGCATCGAAGCTGATTTCAGTGCGTCAACAACAGGTACAAATATACAAGAACAACCATGGATACAATGTCTGGATTACCTATCGAAAAATTTACGTTTGGCTCTTGGAGCTTTATATGTGAGAGATCATTTCGACAAGGAATCGAAAAAAGTTGCTGAAGAACTTGTTCACGGAGTCAATAAAAGTTTTTTAGGTTTATTAGAAAAGGTTTGTTGATAAACTCTGAAGAGCTTTTTCGGTTAGTTAAATTACAAATTGTATGCTTCAATTACTTTCGCAGATTGATTGGATGGATGCAAAAACTAAAGAGACCGCTAAAACGAAGCTCCGTTCAGTTAAAGAATACGTTGGCTACCCGGATGAATTCCTTGACGACAAAAAAATTGATGCCTATTACCAGGATTTAGATGTCAATTCAGAAAGTTTTTTGAAAAGTCATCTGAACTTGAAGCTTTTCTCTTTCCAAAAAATTTTATCAGGGCCGGCAAACCCTGGCGATAAATATGATTGGACCGATATAGGGTATACCGCAGTAGTAAACGCTATGTATAGTCCTTTCATAAATACCATTAGTAAGTAAAGTCTAAGCAAAATCGCATTTTCAGTCGATATTTAATAACACAGTTTAAAACTACGTACAGTAATTCCGGCGGGAATATTGCAAGGCGTATTTTTCAACAGTAGTCGGCCGCACTACTTGAATTACGCTGCGATTGGTTGGTTAATTGGTCATGAATTAACACACGGGTTTGATGATCAAGGTAGTCAATACAACGAGGATGGTGAGTTGGTGAACTGGTGGGATCCTGAAACATTGAAAAAGTATCTTAATCGAACTAAATGTATAATTGAGCAATACAGTAATTATACACTTAATGGCTTGAAAGTGAGTTTGGTGATTCTCTTTTACGGAGAATTTCAAATGGATATTCGTGTATAGAATAATATTAATTGTAAGGATCTCTTATTGATTTACAGTTGAATGGTAAGAATACTCAAGGTGAAAATATCGCTGATAACGGAGGTATCAAGGAAGCTTACTTCGCTTATGAAGAATATGAAAAGACTCATGAGCAAGAATTAGGTTTGCCTGGATTATCGTACACACCGCGGCAACTGTTCTGGATCAATGCAGCAAATATGTTTTGCGACAAATCTAGACCTGAAGTTTTGGAACATGGAATGAAGACCAATGATCATAGTCCTTATGGGATCCGTGTCATTGGGACTTTCTCAAATATACCTGAATTTTCTAGAGACTTTAATTGTCCAGTCGGATCGCCAATGAATCCTACTAAAAAATGTACCGTTTGGTAAACATACATTTCATATCAGTACTATCATATTTTATTTTATCTGAGCAAATATTAAAAACTAATATAAATAATCTATAGTTGATGTATCATATAAAATATTTTCGCATAGTTTAGAATTGAAAATATTTTTACCATAGTCATCATTAAAGAAACCTTTCGAATGCATAAAATTTATTGTTTGTAAACATATGCGAATAAAACCTGTCATTTGTTATAACAATTGTAGCCCAATTTAACTTAAAAAAATTAATAAAAATAAATGACCCGAATGTAAACTATTTATTTACCAATAAATAAACATCGATATCCTGAGTAGACTTGGAGGGTGGGCCGTTTATCTTTTAAATTCTTGGAAGAAACGCGCATTAGATTTGAAAAATTTAATGAATCAATTCCGTCGAATCAGTTACATAAATTCTTTGAATTTTTTAAATATATATATTGATTTTTAAATCGATGAAAAAATATTACAATGCAATAAGGGTATTAGATGATACAATTGTCTTGTTTTCACAAAATTTAGTACCGTAATATATACGGTTTAGTGGTTGAATCAATTTATTCATTTTCAATAATACATCAAATCCACGTTTCATTTCTAAATATTTCGTTTACTTATCACCGATCCTAAATTTAAATATAAGTTTTACATAAATGAACTTCGCAATAGGTGAATCAAATGAGAAAAGGACTTGCATAACAATATTTAATGGAATCTTTATAAAATAAAGTATTCAATATCTATTACAAATACAAAGTGCAAGAATCTTAAAAGCCATTGCAAAGCATATGAAAAAAGAGCTACTTGAATTCTTACATTTTTTAAATTAAACTTGCAAAGCTAATTTGACCGAGAAAAATACTATAATAAGTTTGAATATATTACTGTTGGATCAATTAATTTGAGTGTTGCTAGTATTCAATTATCAAAAGTAATAAAATATCATGTATCAAACTGTTAAGGGTTTATCTTTATAATTTCATATTTTAACGTAAGTTAAAATAGAACGAGTTACCGCAGCAGTATATAGCAATGTATATAACACTGCTTGGTGATGTTGGTTAAAGCAGACGTCAAATTCCATGCTGTAATAGTTTCGTTCGACAACAACATATATAGATATACTAATCTATTCGTACTTAATATTTGATCACTCTAACTTGAACAAATCATACGTACGACAGGTTGCATGCAGGTGCTTTTACTATATTACATGACCATTATACTCATTGTGCGTGTGACTTAAACATGTACTATTACTAAGCAAATTATTGATGTATGTTTGCCTTTTTCTTATAGATATCTTGGTTCTATTATGGGTTCTCCAAACGTCTAAGTTATTAAAACACCTGTAACTGTAGACAGGGATCATTTTGTAAAGATAATGAATCTACGCCAGCACGAAAATACTATTTTCTTACGTCAACTGCAATATTATTTGATATTATATCTTACTACAAAAAACTTAACAAACGACATTTCTTAATACTATGTACATAATCGTCAATGTATAATTTATATTTATTGACAAACGCTTTTGTAAATAAACTTGTATTATTTATTTATAAATAATTACATAATAAAATTTAATTTCGAAATTTTTATTATAAAAAACGACTTTCTCGTGAGAGTCAAATTTGAATCAATAAATAACAAATTATAATTTACCATAATAATCTCTGATAACTTTTCCTGTATCAGTGTAGAAGTTTGATTTTGATATGTTCTTTGTTTCTTATACTGGTATATTTTCAGTATAATGAATTTATAAAACTTTGAATAAAATATGTCCGAAGCTCATGTTTGTAATAAAAAAATAGCGATAAATATATAATTTTGTAAAATAAAAATATTTCCTCCTACAAATTTATTTTTTCATTCCGCTGAATGAAACACGTGTATATGTCAATCTCACATTTCAATTTAACCATTTTTTACCAATAAAAAAGTTTTTATAGTGATTAACCTCGAAATTATACAAAACGAATCAGCTAATTATAGTTGTTTGAAAAAATAGCTTTTAAATACATAAGTAAACTCAATACCTTTAACAATAGTTTTGAAAGGAGTTTCAAAAATAAAAGTAAGAAATAAATGCGATAATCATTTACAAATAAAACAAAATAAGTCAACTTATTATTTCAATGTTCAAATTATTATACAAAATGTCACATATATTCAAAAATGAACAAATAATTCTCATGTTTGAAAGCCTATAATAATTCGTCGAATAAGACAACGAAATTTTATGTTTGAATATTCAGATAAAGTATCCGTGACATGTGGTATTTTAATAGAAGAAACGAGTAAGTATATAATAGGTAGAACTTGTAAACGTAATGTCAGTGGACTAAACTTAGTCTGAAGAATAACTGTAACGACTCAAATACAGTAAAATGTTGTAAGTGATTAACTACTATTATCGATGAGTAACCACTTTATTCGTGTATTTTAATTGTTTATCTGTAGGTTAAAAATGACACCTTTACAAGTTTTATTGGTCCGAAGAGCTATTTTGATAGTTACATTCTACTTATTTGTAAATATTACTAATTGTGCAGTAACTACAATAGGTATGCGTATTGCATTTTATAATATTATTATGAAAATTGACATTCAATTTTATTGACAAATTTTTTAAATATAATATAATTTTTCTACTTTATTGTATTAATAATAATCTCAATCAATTTTATGTACTCTTATAATAGACATCATTTATAATCTAATTTTTTTTTATTCATTTAAGTAAGACAAGTGAAAATGCGAAAGCGGCTCCTGCACTGATTTTTTCTTTTTATTTATTATAATGAAGATAGGCATTATTTCATATAATTTCAAGCTTATAAATGCCGAAAATATAGTTAAAATAATAAATTTTATAGAATTCAAAAACAAAAATGTTGATTCGAAAAATGTATCACAGGAAAAAGTCTGCGAAACACAAGCATGTATCGAAGCAGGTATACAAATCAAAGACCTCCTGATTTTTGCCAAATATTTCGTCTGGCTAATACTCTATCTTGTATTTTAGCATCGCTAATTTTGAAAAACATTGACACAAAAGCGGCACCTTGCGATAATTTTTATCAATTTGCATGTGGCAAATTTTTAAAGGAATCAGTTATTCCAGAATCCAAACATAGCGTATCCACTTTTACTCTAGCTGAAAAAAAACTACAGCAGCAACTAAGAATAAGTTTAGAACGTAAAATGGATCAAAAGGCTCCAAGAACGTTCAAAGTTCTGCAGTCATTTTATAATAGTTGTTCAGATATTGGTACATTTATACATTGTTAAACATCTTACATTACCAGATGTTACATTTTATTTCACTTTTTTCATTAAATTAATTTGTAGCTAAAATCAACGAAACTAGTACAAATGAAATGTTGGATATACTGAAGAAACTTGGTGACTGGCCTGTTCTGGTCGGGCAATCTTGGAACGCTTCCGACTTTGATTGGAAAAAATTAATCTATCAGATGCGTGCAATGGGATATACAGAAGCGATGAATTGTTTTATAGAGATAGGTATTGAAATATCCGATGAAAAAAATAAGAGATATATAATAACTGTGAGACTTTTTTCCAAATACAAATAATTTATCAAGACACTATCTATTATGGTTATTACAAAAATAATACCTTACTGAACTTATTTTTTTTATCAACGTAGCTGGATCAGGCATCTACAGGACTCGAACAAGAGTACTTATCAAAAGGTTTCCAAAACAAAATTGTACAAGCCTACTATAAATATATGACCAATCTTGCGGAAGTCCTCGGAGCTGGTGAACAACAATCGAAGAAAGACCTACGTGACGCTTTGGAATTTGAAATTGACCTTGCAAAAGTATGCAATAACAGAACAACTATTTTTAATTTAATAGTGTCAATATAGCAAAAATAAATTCCTATAACTTGTTCACTCACTGTAATGAAATTCAAATTTCAGATTTCTTTATCAGCGGTAGACCACAGAAATATGTCTCTTCTGTACAATCCTATAACGCTAGATCAATTAGAATTAGAATATCCAGGCATTTCCTGGAGCGAGTATATCAATCAAATTGTGTTGCCACAAACTGAATTAATTACATCTAACGTTCTAATCATAGTTAAAGTACCAAGTTTTTTTAAATCTTTCTTAAAATTAGTTAATAATACTCCGAAGCGTGTTCTTGCAAATTATGCCATTTGGCGAGTGGTCCAAGAGTCGGCTTCTTTCATGAATGAACGCGTGAAACGCTTCAAAGCTGATTTCAGTGCGTCAACAACAGGCACAAATATACAAGATCCACGATTGACACAGTGTCTTGACTACGTATCGCGAAATTTGCATTTGGCTGTTGGAGCTTTGTACGTGAGAGAACATGTCGATAAGAAATCGAAGGTGATTCTTCAAGAACTTATAGATAGATTACTTCAGAGTTTTTTAGGTTTATTAGAAAAGGTTTGTTGATAAACTCTGTAGAGCTTTTTCATATAGTTCAATTAAAAATTGTATGTTTAAACGACTTTCCCAGGTCGATTGGATGGATGAAGTAACGAAAAATGCCACTAAAAAGAAAGTTCTTGCAGTCAAAAATTACGTTGCCTACCCGGACGAATTCCTTGACGATGAAAAAATTGATGCCTATTTCCAGGATCTAGCAGTTCATTCGGAAAGTTTTTTGAAGAATCACTTAAATTTGAATCTTTTCAAATTCAAGAAACATTTGGAAGAACTGGAAAAGCCAGTCAATGAAATTGATTGGACCATGATAGGAAATACCGCAGTTGTGGATGCTTTCTATAGTCCTACAATGAATAGTATAAGTAGGTGAAGTCTAAGCGATATCGATTTCTCAGTCGACATTAAATAACACAGTTTAAAATTGCGTACAGTACTTCCGGCAGGAATCTTGCAAGACGTATTTTTCAACAGTATTCGGCCACACTACTTGAATTACGCTGCTATTGGTTGGATAATTGGTCATGAATTGACACATGGATTTGATAATCAAGGTAGTCAATTCGACGAGAATGGTGATTTGGTGAACTGGTGGGATCCTGAAACATTGAAAAAGTATCTTAATCGAACTGAATGTATAATTCAACAATACAGTAATTATACACTTAATGGCTTGAAAGTGAGTTTGGTGATTCTCTTTTACGGAGAATTTCAAATGGATATTCGTGTATAGAATAATATTAATTGTAACAATCTCTTATTTCTTCACAGCTGAATGGTCAGAATACTCAAAGTGAAAATGTCGCAGACATTGGAGGCATCAAGGAAGCTTACTTCGCCTACGAAGAATATGAAAAGACTCATGAGCAAGAATTTGGATTACCTGGATTACCGTACACACCACGGCAACTGTTCTGGATAAGTGCAGCAAATATCTATTGCGACAATTATAGAGCTGAAGTTTTGGAACATGTAATCAATACCGATATTCATAGTCCTTGTGAGATCCGTGTCAATGGGTCTTTCTCTAATATACCTGAATTTTCTAGAGACTTTAATTGTCCAGTCGGATCGCCAATGAATCCTATTAAAAAATGTACAGTTTGGTAAACATATATTTTATATTAGTACCATCATATTTTATTTTATCTAAGTAAATATTGAAAACTAATATAAATAATCTATAATTCATGTATCATAAAAAATTTTCACGTAGTTTAGAAATGAAAATAATTTTATAATAGTCATTATTAAAGAAATCTTTCAAATGTACAAAATTTATTGTTTGTACACATATGCGAATAAAACCCATCATTTATTATAAATAATCGTAGCTCAGTTAAACTTGAAAAAATTAATAAAAATGAATGACCATAATGTGAAATATTTATTACCAATAAATAAACATAGATATTGTTTTTGGACTTGGCAGGTGCGCCGTTTTCGTTGTCAATTCTTGGAAGAAACACGAATTAGATTTGAAAAATTTAATGTATCAATTTCGTCGAATCGGTTACATAAAATCTATAAATCTCTTATATATATATATTAAAGTCAATAAAGGTTTTCGATAATACAATTGTCTTGTTTTCACGAAATTTAGTACCATAATATATACGGTTTAGTGGTTGAAACAATTTATTTATATTCAATAATACATTAAATTCACGTTTCATTTCTAAATATTTCATTTACTTACAACCGATCCTAAAATTACCTTATTTGTTTTACATAAATGAATTTCGCAATAGGTGAATCAACTGAAAAAAGGACTTGCATAACAATACTTCATAGAATTTTATAAAATGAAGTATTCAGTATCTGCTGTAAATACACAGTGCAAGAATCTTAAGAGCATTACATAGCGTACGAAAAAAGAGACACTTGAACGCTTACTTTTTAAAAATTAAGTTTGTAAAGCTAGTTTGACCGAGAAAATACTATAATTAGTTTGATAATATTATTGTTGTATCGAATAATATTAGTGTTGCTAATTTTAAATTATCAGAAATAATGAAATATCATATATTAAACGATTATTATTCTTATATTTTCGAGTTTTATTCTTATATTTTCATTTCGAAGTTGAAATAGAACGAGTCACCGCAGTAGTAGACCTGGCTATGTATCTAACACCGCTTGGTGATGTTGGTTACAGCAGACGTCAAATTCCATGCTGTAATAGTTTCGTTCGACAACAACATTATATATAGATATACTAATCTATTGGTACTTAATATTTGATCACTCTAATTTGAACAAATCATGTGTAAGACGGGTTGCATGCAGGTGCTTTTACTATATTACATAACCGTTATACTCATAGTAAGCGTGAACCAAATATGTACATTATCTAAACAAATTATTAACATATGTTTGTCTTTCCTTATAGCTATCTTAGTTTTATTACGGATTCTCCAAAATTCTAAGTTATTAAAACACCAGTATCTGTAGACTGGGATCATATTGTTGAGATACCGATTTGATGAGAACAAGAAAAATAAAATACTGTTTCCTTACGTTAACTACAGTATTATTTGATATATCTTACTACAGAAAAATTAACAAACGATTAATCAACATGAAATGGTCTACACAGCATCATCGTATATTTTATTATATTTTAATGCTATGTACAAAATCTTCAACATATTATTCCTGTAATATTTATTTGCAAATGCTACTGTATAAATAATTATGTGATTTATATATAAATAATTATATAGTAAAATTTAATTATTAACTTTTATTATAAAAATCAACTTCCTCGTAAGAGTCAAATTAGAAACAATGAATAGCAAATTATTATTTACTATAAGAATCTTTGATAACTTTTCCTGTATCAGTGAAGAAGTTTGCCCTTATTATCTTCTTTGTTTCTTATAATACCATATAAAGTATAACGGATTTATGAAGCACTAAATAAAATATATCCGAAGGTTTCTGACAAATATAAAATTGTTTTTTCCTATATAACTATTTTTTTTCATTCTGCAGAGTGAAACACAGGCATATTTCAATCTTGCATGTTAATTTTATCATTTAACATGTGTATTTTTTATCAATACAAAAATCTCTACGAGCGATGAACCTCGAAATCATACAAAACGAAATAGCTACTTCTACTTATTTAAAAAAATAGCTTTTGAATAGATAAGAAAAATCAAGAACTTTACAAATAATTTTCAAAGTAGTTTCAAAAATAAAAGTAAGATATTAATCCGAAAATCAAATTTACAAATCAAACAAAATAAGTCATATCTTCATTTGAGCTTCTGAATTATTGTACAAAATATCATATGTACTCAAGAATGAACAATTGATTCTCATATTTTAGAGACTATAATAATTCATTGAATAAGACAATGAAATATTTATATTTGAATATTCAGATAAAGTCTTTGTGACAGATGGTATTTTAAGAAACTAAACGAGTAAGTATATAATAGATAAAACTTATAAACGTAATGTCAGTGAATTAAACGTAGTCTAGAGAATAACTTTAACGAGTCCAATACAGTAAAATGATGTAAGTACTTAACAACGGTTATCAATGAATAACTACAGCGGTGGTCAATAAAATAGGGCCACCAGTGACTAAAATCAGATAAGGTTCAAAGTTTTATATCTTGGTTGAAAATGGTCACTCAGACATCAGTGAGTGCTCATTTTAAAGGTATTTCTAAGTGCCTTTCGGTAATTGAATATAAAGTTTTGTTAAGCTATTTTTAAACTTTTCATTACGTTGAAATGGGCGTTAAGAAAATGAAATATTTCAAGTTCTGTTCAAACCCGTACAATTCAATAAATAATCCATCTACGAAAATTCTCTACTAATGGTTTTCAAGCTCTTTCCAAGAACTTCAAAATCCTTTTTTTATTTTTTTATTTCTAGATTAATAATTGATCAAGATACTGCGAGTTTTGTTAAAAAAATATTATATTTTTAGATCGTTTATATTTTCTACAGTAACTAATAGATAATAAAAAACCAAAGAGAAAAACTTTTTTTTATGGTAAAGAATCAATAAAAATTTATTCAAACTTTTTTTCCGTTTTCTAAGAACTTGCAAATTTTCTAAATAAAATATAGTTTTATTATTCTGAGTTACTTAGGATTACACATGCACAGGTAAAAAAAATATTATTATGTTGTTTCGCACATTTTTGGGACTGGAGAATATTTATTTGTTATTAGTATATTTTTATGACAACATTAATAACTCGGTCAGTTTTCAAGCTGAAAAATAAATAAAGAAAAGAGATTTTCAAGTTTTTGAAAAGAGTTTGAAAACTATTGGTACAAAATTTTTGTAAATGGATTATTTATTGAATTATGCGGCTTTGAAGAAAACTTGTAATATTTCATTTTTTCATAACTTTACACTAAATCACGAAAAAGTACTTACAAATTTCTTTTAAATGAGCACTCACTGATGTCCGTGGGATTTTATTTAGCTAAGATATAAAGCTTTGAATCTTACTTGATTTTAGTCACTGGTGCTCTTATTTTATTGACCACCACTGTACTTCATACTTCAATTTTAATTATTTATTTGCAGGTTAAGAAAGCCACCTTTACAGATTTCATTGGATCGTAGGGCTATTTTGATAGTTGTATTCTACTCATTTGTAAATGTTACTAATTGTGCAGTAACTACGATTGGTATGCGTATTTCACTTAATATAATTATTATGAAGATTGAACCAATTTTATTCTAACAAATTTTTCAAATATTATTTTTGAAAAATAATATGGTTTTTCTAATTTATTGTATTAATAATAATCCTAATCAATTATCATATACTCTCATAATAAAAGACGTTAACTCAATTTTTTTTTACAATTAATTGAAGTAAGACAAGTGAAAATGCGAAAACTGCTCCTGTATTGATTTTTCTATTTCATTTATTTCAAGGAAGATATGTATTATTTTTTAAGAATGTCAAATTTATAGATGCCGTAAATATAGTTAAACTAAAAAATGTATCTTCTAGGATTCAAAAACAAAGACATTAATTCGAAAAATGTATCACAGGAAAAAGTTTGCGAAACACAAGCATGTATCGAAGCAGGTATACAAATCAAAGACCTCCCGATTTTTTCCAAATATTTTGTCTTGCTAATACTCTATCTTGTATTTTAGCATCGCTAATTCTGAAAAACATTGACTCAAATGCAGTACCTTGCGATAATTTTTATCAATTTGCATGTGGTAAATTTTTAAAGGAATCAGTTATTCCAGAATCCAAACATAGCGTATCCTCTTTTACTCAAGCTGATGAAAAACTATGGCAGCAACTAAGAACAAGTTTAGAACGTAAAATGGATCAAAAGGCTCCAAGAACGTTTAGAGTGCTGCAGTCTTTTTATAATACTTGTTTAGATATTGGTACATTTAATCATTGTTAAACATCTTACATTACCAAATGTTAAATTTTATTTCATTTTTTCCATTACATTAATTTGTAGCTAAAATCGATGAAACTAGTACATATGAAATATTGAATATATTGAAGAAACTTGGTGACTGGCCTGTTCTGGTCGGACAATCTTGGAACGCTTCCGACTTTGATTGGAAAAAATTAATCTATCAGATGCGTGAAATTGGATATACAGAAGCAATGAAATGTTTTATATATTCAAGTATCGATGTCCTCGGTAACAACAAATATGAAATAACTGTGAGAATTTTTTCCAAATACAAATCATTTATCAAGACACTATCCATTATGGTTATTACAAAAATAATACCTTACTAAATCTATTTTTTTTATCAACGTAGCTGGATCAGGCACCTACAGGACTCGAACAAGAGTACTTGTCAAAAGGTTTCCAAGACAAAATTGTACAAGCCTACTATAAATATATGACCAATCTTGCGGAAGTCCTCGGAGCTGATGAACAACAATCTAAGAAAGACTTACGTGACTCTTTGGATTTTGAAATTGAGCTTTCGAAGGTATATGACAAAAAAAATAACTAAATTGAATAACGTCAACAATAAAAAAGTAAATTCAAATAACTTCGTCATTCGCTTCAATAACATTATTATTTTAGATTTTTTTACCGAAAGAAGACCGTAGAAATATGTCTGAACTGTACAATCCTATGACTCTACAACAATTAGAATCAAGATATCCAGATATTCCCTGGAGGGAGTATTTCAATAACACTATTTTTCCACTAACTAAATTTATTACATTTAACAATCAAATCATAGTTCAAGTTCCAAGTTTTCTCAAATCTTTAATAAACCTAATTAATAATACTCCAAAACGTGTTCTTGCCAATTATGCTATTTGGCGAGTAGTCCAAGAATCGGCTTCTTTCATGAATGAACGCGTGAAACGCATCAAAGCTGATTTCAGTGCTTCAACAACAGGTACAAATATACAAGAACAACCATGGGTAGAATGTTTGGAATACCTATCGAAAAATTTACGGCTGGCACTTGGAGCTTTATATGCGAGAGAACATTTCGATAAGAAATCGAAAAAAGTTGCTGAAGAACTTGTCCACGGAGTCCATAAAAGTTTTTTAGGTTTATTAGAAAAGGTTTGTTGAAAAACTCTGTAGAGCTTTTACATATAGTTTAATTAAAAATTGTATGTTTCAATGACTTTCTCAGGTTGATTGGATGGATGAAGCAACGAAAGATGTCGCTAAAAAGAAGCTCCGTTCAGTTAAAGAATACGTTGCCTACCCGGACGAATTCCTTGACGACGAAAAAATTGACACCTATTTCCAGGATCTAGCAGTTCATTCGGAAAGTTTTTTGAAGAACCATTTAAATTTGAATCTTTTCAAATTAAACAAACATTTGGAAGAACTGGAAAAGCTTGTCAATGAAACTGATTGGACCAAGATAGGTTATACCGCAATAGTGGAAGCTTTCTATGGTCCTGCAATAAATAGCATTAGTAAGTGAAGTCTAAACGAATTTGAATTTTCAGTCGACATTAAATAACACAGTTAAAAATTGCGTACAGTACTTCCGGCAGGAATCTTGCAAGACGTATTTTTCAACAGTAGTCGGCCACACTACTTGAATTACGCTGCTATTGGTTGGATAACTGGTCATGAATTAACACACGGGTTTGATGATCAAGGTAGTCAATACGACGTGGATGGTAATTTGGTGAACTGGTGGAATCCTGAAACATTCAAGAAGTATCGTAAGCGAACTGAATGTATAGTTCAGCAATACAGTAATTATACACTTAATGGCTTGAAAGTGAGTTTGGTGATTACATTTTAAGAGGAATTTTAAATGGTTATTTTTATATAGAAAAATATTAATTTAAAGGATCTCTTAATGACTTACAGCTGAATGGTAAGAATACTCAAGGTGAAAATATCGCTGATAACGGAGGTATCAAGGAAGCTTACTTCGCTTATGAAGAATATGAAAAGACTCATGAGCAAGAATTAGGTTTACCTGGATTACCGTACACACCGCGGCAACTGTTCTGGATAAATGCAGCAAATATTTGGTGCGGCAAATTTAGACCTGAAGCTTTGGAACATGGAATCAATACCGATGTTCATAGTCCTTTTGAGTACCGTGTCATTGGGCCTTTCTCTAATATACCTGAATTTTCTAGAGACTTTAATTGTCCTGTCGGATCGCCAATGAATCCTATTATAAAATGTACAATTTGGTGAACATACATTTTATATTAGTACCATCATATTTTATTTTATCTGAGTAAATATTGAAAACTAATATAAGTAATCTAGAATTCTTGTATCATATAAAATATTTTCACGTAGTTTAGGAAAGAAAATATTTTTATAATAGTCATCATGAAAGAAATCTTTCAAATTCATAACATTTATTGTTTGTAAACATATGCAGATAAAACCCGTCATTTGTTATAAATAATCGTAGCTCAGTTCAACTTGAAAAAATTAATAAAAATAAATGACCGAATGTGAAATACCAATTAATAAACATAGATATCTTGAGTAAACTTGGAGGATGGACCGTTTTTGTTGTCAATTCTTGGAAGAAACGCGAATTAGATTTGAAAATTTTAATGTATCAATTTCGTCGAAACGGTTACATAAATTCTATCAAATTTTTCATATATATTGGATTTGAAATGGACGACAAAATAATACAATGGAATCAGGGTTAGAGATAATACAATTGTCTTTTTTTCACACCAAATTTAAGACCATAATATATATAGTTTAATTGTTGAAACGATTTATTCATTTTCAATATTGCATTGTATTCACATTTCATTTCTAAATATTTCGTTTACTTACAACCGATCCTAAATTTAACTAATTAGTTTTACATAAATGAATTTTGCAATAGATGAAACTACTGAAAAAAGGACTTGCATAACAATACTTAATGGAATTTTATAAAAGGAAGTATTTAGTTTCTACTATAAATACATTATGCAAGAATTTTAGGAGCGATTGCATAGCATACGAAAAAAGAGCTACTTGAATTCTTACATTTTTTAGATTAAACTTGCAAAGCTAATTTAGCCGAAAAAAGTGGTATATCAATCGAAAATATTATTGATGAATCGATTAATATAAATGTTGCTAATAATAAATTATCAAAAATTATGAGCTACAATATTTTAAACTTGCTTAGATAGATAATATTATACAGTCTTGGTAATAGCTCTTTCCTATTTCTCCACCGAAGGAAGAACGTAGATAGATGTCTCAGTTGCATAAACTTGCGATAGTTGAAGAGCTTGAGTTGAAATATCCAGACATTTCTCGAATAGAATACTTAAGAAACTTCTATCACCATGTCATATCATAAAATCCACTGAACCCATAAAATGCATAAACGTTAGAAATCCATTACTGAATTAATTTCAAAGATATGAAAGCGTATTCTTGCTAATTATTTAATCCTGCGCGTGGTATCAGAGTCAACAAGGTTTCTATATAGTCGAGTATAATCTACTCAAGCTAAGTTTCTAGCTTCAGTGTATGGTATAAATCTAGAACAGCTTAGATGGGAAAAGTACGTTGATTATGTGACTAACTAATTTGCGTTGGCTGTTGAATTATTGTATGTAAGAAAAGCTCTCAATACCAAGTTATAAAAATAGAGAAGAGATAAATTCCACTACCCGTAGAACACAATAAGAGTACTATACACTGCAAGATTCACTGGATGAACGAACAAACTAAAAGAAAGGCTCTGAAGAAATCAAAGTCAATGTATCCACACGATGCACGCCCCGATGAGTTGCTAGATGGCGATATTTCTGTGGAAGTATTTGAACATTTAAAGATTATTCCAGATAGTTATTTAGATAATAGTAATTTGAGCATGAATCTTTTGAACTTGAAGTACTCGTACCAGAAACTCTATAAACCTTGTAATGGAATCGGCTGGATTTGGCATTGTCATGTTTCTATCGTCATTGCCTTTTACGTATTTCCAGAAAAAAGCATAGGTCGGTATGATGTTGTATCAGTGAAAGACTTCTATTAAACTAACAACAAGCAATCGTCATATTTTTCTCAACATAGAAATTCCAGTCAGGTTCTTTCAACTAGAGTTATTTATAATAAGCAGATTAACTTATATGAATTACTAATATATAAATAATAAATTCATCGTTACTGACGAGTAGCGTCGTGGTGAGTTTCATATTATTAGAACATTGTCTAACATTCCTGAATTTTCCAAAGATATTGAATGCCTTGTCAGATCTTTCATGAAGAAATGTATAGCTTGGTAGATTTTTAGTACAATTACTTTTTCATATTATAAAAATTCTTTTTCGAAAAGTCAGAAGCAAACGTCTAGCATATTACAATAAAACATAATGAATTCTTCTATATCATATGTAAATAATGCAGTGTCAGATGACAATTCATAGTTCAGTATACGTGTGTCTTTTCTTTTACGTGGACCTAATTTAATTGGTTTATGGCATTATTAGTAAAATCTGAATTAAAACGATATCCATCGTTTTTTATTCTAAGCCATCATGGTCTTATTTTGCTGAATATAAATCGACGAATTCAGAATTAATACTGTAAATTAATATTTAATAAAAAAGTTTTTCCGATAATTGTCAATTAGGCTGTTCAAATTTCGGGTGTTTTTTTTATTTTTAAATCTTCGTGGGTAAACGGATCAATTCTGAAAATGAATTTGTACTTAACATGTTAACTTTCCCAAAGAATAAGATGATCGTATTTTCCGATTTCGCGTTATAAAAAAATAGAAATAATTCAGAACACATAACTTTTTCTTGTACTTAAACAACTCTTATTTCTATTAAGTAATACAGTAGTTATCAAAAGCAGTACTGAGAATAGCACTTTGAGCTTTCAGGAATAGTAATCAAATGCAAAACGCATGAACAAGCAGTTCAACAAAAATAATTTCTGCGATATTAACATCAAATTAGTTAAGCAATTTAAGGAATGTGCATATAACTGCTAATACACTCTACCAATCTTGAGAGTATGATATTCGTAGGCAGCCTTCTTCCTTAGAAACTTCGCTAGAGACGTTAAAATAGATTAATGTGACGACATTAAAGTGAAGTTCAAGAGTCTCTGCTGGGATCCAACTTCACAAAAGCGATCAACCAAATTATAAGTACTTACGACGTCGAGTCTTTTGTTATTGTTTTCACTTTAAATAAATTAACAAAGTGCGATCAAAGCTCCAATTTGACTGCTAAAAATCTTACTCGAAAGACAAATTAAAATACGTAAAATTAATAAAATGTTCATTTTTAAATTTCTCATTTTGCGTGAACGACTATTTTCATTATCGTTAAAAACATCGTGATACCTTTCAACAGCATTTTTCCTTCGTTTGATAAAATCTCATTCTTTTCGCATTATGCAGCAACATAAAGACGCCGAGGTCGAGAATATCGCGAATACAACGGTAGCACCAAGAAAACCCTATTACGCTTACGAAGAGTATGAGAAAAAAATAATAGCTCCATTTTATCGGGATTATCTTTAGCATTCCTCTCCGCGGACACTCTTTGAATATACACCAAAGTTTTGACTTTGAAAAATCGTGTGATTGCGAATGTAGATAGCCCAGTTCCGAGGCATTAGTTTCTTTTTCCAATATTCGTTGCGAGATTTCCGGTACGTCCCGTGGGAATTCTACACAAATGATAATATTTTAACATTGCCAGTGCCCTACTTTAGATTTGCTCGAGAGAAGCAGATCTCTGTAATAAGTTTTATCTGGCTAATATCTCAGATATTTTCAAATAAGCAATGTTCAACTTTAAATCATTTTAATTATTTAATGCAGAGTTATTAAAATTCACTGTGAAAAGGAAGGAATTTCTCGCCTTGAAAGTAATCATATCTGATAATAAATGTGGATGTTTTAAAATATTTAATATAATATCAAATCACTTTATTGTCCTGCAATGAGGACTTCAGAAAATACACAATACCTTCGTTAGATTGACGCGTCCTACTGTATTTACAACAATGCGAGCTCCTCGATAAATGAAACTCACAATATGAAACAGAAAGAAAGGATCCACAATACGCTTCTGCTCGCTCGCTCAAAATTAAAAAAGATTCCGCGCGGGCTTATATAAGCGTGCGCGCGTTTATAGTCGCTGAAGTGCAGTCGTTTGGTCGAGAGACATTTTATACATTCAAATATCCACGTGTGCACGAGTGTTTGGTTGTAGGATATAGCCTCCCGCATAGAGACGCTCCCTCGAGACATTAGCCGCCGTGGAGAGTCGAGATAAACAGCACTGTGTCGTTGGCTTCTAACACGTATTCCTCCTGGCCCTGTGAAATGAGAGAAAGAGAAACGAACGGTTAATCGAACCCAGAGATTTTCCCCCTTGTTTTTCTTCTTCAAGCGCGAATACACTGGGGACGAATAGATTATTCTTGTTTTTCGGTTTTTCTTTTTTTCCGTACTCTCTCGCGTGTTTGCTTTGCACACCCTTTACTCTCGTAAAAAAAGTGGTTGTTACGGTTTAGCGTCACGATACAGCGGTTCAGCGCCGGAATGTTGGGTGAATACGAAATTGCACCAGTAGCGTTGCAACTGTTTTTTAAGTGTTTGTTTGGATGTTTTAGACTTGTTGATCGTTATTGAACTTTGCCTTTTATTTTCAAATAATTTGTAATTTGTCTAAGTGAAAAAAAAATTCAACAGTGAATGAAAAAGTAACGTAAATAAACAGGTGCATAATTGTGCAATAGAAGAACGAGTTTGGTAGTAATATTACGAGCGAAGAAAGTGTAATTTGACGCTTATATATTAAACTCACCAGTAATTCCCAATCAGCTTCGTTTACTAAAACGAGTATTCCAGGTCTTCTGTAGGAAAAAAGCGATTTACTTGAAATAGAAAAATAAGTACGCGCGAGTTTCCGGCACGCGAAAACTACGCTATACTGCCACCTGTCAAACTTCCTCCAACTCACTTTGAATATGCAAAAATATTATGATTATAATCTAATCGGTAATTTTTCCAATTGGATTATGCATCCAATCGGACATGTATTTTAAAAGCTAAAATATTTTACAAAATAGTTTTAAATATTGTCATTATTTGAAACTACTTCAAATAATTATGTTAAATTACTTTTGAAATATAATAAATACAAAAACTCACACAGTATCATTTTGAACAAAAAGCTCTGCTCGCTCGGTCAACAAGTTATCTCTAATCCAGATAATCAATTTTCCAAGTGTCCCTGCAAAATATGCGAATGATAAATAAAATAAATTGTAAAACCATAGGTGGTTCAATGTACACACACGTACGCGCTCGCGCGCACACACACGCATACGCACATGCAGGCATGCATAAACACGAGTCTCAATGCTCGTCGTTCTTACATTTCTCGCCAGCTGGTAAGGTGATACTGTGCTTTTTTTTGTTGTTAAACAAATACTCCGCTCCGCCGCTAAAATAAGTGAAATCAATATTTAATTACGTGACTTTGATGATCTTATCAATTGTTATCGAGCGCACAAACACAAAAAACTAAAGGTAAGATACGTGCAATCTAATTAAAATATATTGATCGGAATCAGAAAGTAAAAAGAACAAGATATTTGATTATGAAAAGTAAGGTTAGAAAACTATCGCATGCAGATTACCTAAACTCGATGTTCAGCGGAAGTCCGACGTCGCTTGCCATTGTTTCGTCCTGCTGGTAAGTACTGCGTTCGAACTACTCGCAGGGTTTAACCTTGGGAAACGTCGTTATTGTTATTATCTGTTCTTCAAGCAGTCTTCGGCACGTTGCTTTATAAAACCGCGCCGGTTCACGATTCCGTGAGTTTCTCTGATTTGGAACGAAACACACGGAAAACGCGCGGGCGACGCACTCGTCTCACGAAAATTTCCCCGGCGCGCGTTACTATCTCATCCTCATCACGATGAAAAGCGGAGGTGGCGAGTTGTTTAACAAGTGAAAGCCAACGAAAAAGCAGCTTCGAGGATAACGCAATCGAACGTACTAAACGAGTATCATATTTTTATTTTCCGCCGTTTAACGGGTAGCTCGGAGTAACAAGGATGTCGGAGCCGGTAAACGAGGAGGTGCTCCAGCCGTCAATGGAGGTGGTTAACGAAGAAGCTGCAGAGCAGGTCGTTGAAAGCAAGACCACCGAAGAACATCAGCCGCAAAAGGAGAAGGTTGAGATTGAACAGGAAAAAGAGGAATCTTCTTCAGAGTGTCAGAAGGTAGAACAGCATCCGGTAAGCGAAACGAGTGAGAGTCAAAGTCAAGAGGAACAGCAAAAACAAACACAGGATGAAGGAGAGCAAGAAGAGCAGCCAGAGAAGACATTGGTATATTTGATTTTTCATTGTTATGCACTAAATATTTACATCACTAGTTTTATTCTGATATACTTGTTGAATACAGGTACTTTATATAGTGATTATAAATACAATTAATTATGAAAGTTTTTAAGCTACTAGGTTAATTGATACTTCATTGTTATGTTTAGGATGACTCTCAAGATACAGTCAAGATGCCTATTACAGATTCCCCAGAAAGGGCATTAGAAGATGAGGAAATGCCTTCTATGGTAACTATTTCGAGTACATCGAGGGTAGATGATTCAGTGTCTTACAATAAGCAAAATGATGAATCTAAGTTTGTTGATGTGGGAGGCAATAGTCCAAAACAAACAGTTAGACAAGAAAAAGATAGTGACAGCGATAGTGTTTGTGTTATTGATGATGATGATGATTATGAGGAGCAAAATGATTATGATGACAATGAAGAAGACGATCAAAACAATCATGGAAGGATTAGACACAATGATGAAGATGAAGAAGAGTCTTATGAAGAGTTTGAAGGTAGCAGTACAGAATACAGTGATGAAAGTGAAGGTGATGAAGATCATTATAATGAAAAATATAGTAAGTAAATCATGCATTAACAAATATTTTTTGAGTATTTCTTTACTTTAAGTTATCAATATTATAGATAGAAGGTATCAAAAAAATGATAGGAGAGATGTAGAAGAAGATGTTGAGGATGAAGATGATGAAGAAGACGGCGAGAATGATGATGATTATAATGATGATCAAGATTTTGGTGGTGGTGGTTCAGATGATGCAATTTTGAGGCCTAATAATAATGGGCTTTCAAAGCAGCAAAAAGAGCGCAGTTCCTCGCTTCAAGATTTAAGTCTTATGGAAGGATCATCATTAAAAAACAGGCATAATGTTAATCCATTTAGTCAAAAAGCTATATTTGAAAGAAACCAAGGTAAGCGAAAACCGTATGCTCATGTTCAAAGCAAAGTTAAAAAATATATCGACGATCTAGCGGAGCAAAGACGAATATCTAATGAAAGGCGTAAAAAATCTATTGATGAAGCACGCAATAGAAATTACCAACCTACAGGTAAATAAGATTTTATAATTTTTTCCAAATCAAATAGTTATTTATTTGTAATACATTGTAACTTGTATATTTTATAGAAATTCAAATTCAAAGAAGCGAAGAAGTAGTGTTGGCATGTCAGACAATGAAGAATTACACAGAAAAAACACTGAAAGAGGTTGCAGAGAGTGAAGAAAATGAAAAAATAACATTTTTACAGCAAGGAGTTGAAAATGGTGAAATATCACTGATTCCTAGGCAACTAGTATCCTGTAACAGTATAGAGATAGCAAATAAAGCTCAAGAGATGGAAATTGATCTGATTGAAGATGAAGACAAGAAAAGACCTTCGTTCAACGGAACTGCGCCGAAAGAAAATCAAAACAATTTTATGACCGAACGAAAAGGTATACTACGACGTGAGAGTGGTCCTCTAAAATCATCAATTTTGAACGGTGAAGATCCGCTAAGTTTCCAACCTATCGACAATCTACGAACGCTGTCGTATGACGAGTATATGAGAGGCTCCGTTAATGAAACGGATGAAGTAGTTGTCAACAGGATAGAGATCACTGATGTCCAGAGTATACCAGTACAAAATGTTGAAATCGAAGACGACAGTGGACTCCGAATAGAAAGCGTTGTAAGCAACTACAGTACTGAAAAAAGTATCGATGACTTTCAGAATAGAAAAACCCCAATAATGGTGAATCAGTCAACAGAAACTTTCTATCGGGAAAATTCAGAGATACATAATCTCAGATTACAGCTCAATCATCGAAATCAGCAATTTAAGAATTTACGCGAAGCTTATCAAAAAACAATGTCCGACAATTTGGCTATGAGAATGGAACTGGAAAATCTTCGTAAAACTGTCGCCTATTATCAAGAGCAACAAAAGACTCTCCAAGTTGAAACAAAAGTATCTGCTGTTCAAACAGAAAAGTCGACCAATACTCATGATATGCCTTTGATTGAATTCGAGGACAATGACCCAAAGTTAGGTGTCTCGACAGTAAGTACTCAATGGTCGGACAGTACAGGCAGTGTAGCGGCGATTTCGATGGATCCTCCGAATGTGACAACTGCATTGAATTCAGACGAAAGCTGCCAACCATCGAAAACACCAATCCACAAAAGAAACGCTTTGTCGCGAGCTTTCATGACCTCTACGAAGATTTTACAAACTCTTTCGAGTATTACCTATGGTAAAATCAAAGTTGATAAGTCTGGGAAGCCTTCAAAGGTCAACGAAATAGCGAAACCGAGTAAACCTCCGCCTGGTCCATCAAGCTCGAAAAAACGAAAAGCCAGTGATACGATGGATGGCTCTACACAGCCCACGAAGATACCTCATTTGTCAAAGTCAACCGATCAAGAAGAAAATGCATCGATCACTTCCGAGCCGCCATTCGTGAATCCAAATACAATAGGGCAGGAAAGCGCTAATGCTAATACAAAAAAAAATGCTGACGAGCAGCAAGTAGAAGAATCTACATCGGATGACGATGTTAAAGTGTATGTCTATCCAGAAGACGAAGAAGGTCGTCAGCATAGTTTTTTGATTCAAGCAAAGGAAGTGTCAGATAATCCAAAACCAGGAGTCCGCGAATGTGGCCCTTACCTTCTCGGTAATGTCGAGGTATATATGACAGAGGTGAACGGTACGATAAATATCTGGGGCAAAGAACTCAGCCAAACAAGTCAAACAAGTCAGGCAACTGTAACTACTGAGGATTTCGACACCACTGCTCGTTCAAGAGAACTTCAGCAAAATCTCCGTTGGCAAAGTACCCCAAGAATATTCAACAAAAACGAGGGTCTTTCAGCGTCAACGAGCAAAAAATCCCGTTTACTTCCGAGGTATGCTCAGCCATCACAAGAATCTCAGTGCGAGCACAATCAGAGACTGTCTTGTCTATCGTGTCATGAACACCAACATCATCATCATCAACAATATCATCAACATCAACATTCATGCTGCAGTCCACCGATTATACGAGTCGAAGCGCCGTGTGGGTGCATTCAGGAACAGAAAAAAATACCAGATTGTTGTAAAGCGAAGTCGATGCCGAATATAAATCAGAACTGTTGCTGTAACGGTTACAAGCCACTTGCACGACGACACTCGTTTAATCCTACTGACGAAGAGGACTCCGATGAAGATGATGTTAATCGCACTTTAATATCCGATAACTGCACCCCACATTCCTTAAGTAAGACTAAGACGGTGCATCAATGTTCTTCTGAACCGAGAAGTAGTGGTGGCAGCCCTAGTGATCCTTCTAATTCATGCGAGAACGAGAGCGATCCTTTGATCGGATCGAGGCAAGTCTTAGATGGATTTGAGGGACCCGAGGTAAATTATATTTTAAAATATATCATTAATTTTAATGTTACTTTCGAAGTGTTGTAATAATAATGCTATTTATTTAGAAGAAGAGAAAAAAGAAAGTACGTGGGCTCCTAATGGATTTATTGAAAAAAGGTTGCGTTGGAGATTGCCGAACTCCTAATCCGCTTGATAAGACAAACTTGCATCATACCACTTCAATATACGAGCCCAGCACTTCAGCACAGCACAGAGCTTCATGTTTACCAAGTCAACCTCCTCATTCACACCATTCTAATGAAAGGTCAGAAAGCTATCATTTTTACAATAAGTTAGATGTAACTTTAACCTTATTTAATGAAAAAAGTATATGAATGAAGCAATATTATTTTGATAAACTAATATTTCTTTTCAACTATAGGTGTTCATCTTGCTGTAAACCTGATAAGACAAGCCAAATTGAGGCTCAAATGGAACGTTTCCGCGAAGAGATGGATAAATTACGTAGCCAATCTGATACATTAGCCGGCATGATACAGGCGCTAAAGAGCGCGGATATTATAAATTAAAACTATTAAAAGAAAAAAGTAATGATATGCTTTATATACGTGAACGTTTTGTGTAAATAGTTGACATAAAAGGTACTTTTCAGTTTTTTCGATGTTATCTCCAACGATCTGTGCGTTTGGATTGTACGACTACTTTTGTTCCTTTTTTTCTTCTCTTCTTTTCTCACGTATTTTCATTTATATTTTTTGTTTTAGCGCGGCTAATTTTACGGAATCGTGAATCGATCGATAATTCGAGCGGCTTTGTAAAAGCTCACGATAGACGTACATTTTTTAAGTATCTATATAGTAATGTAATAAAAGAGATGAATTATGTACACTCATTTTTTTATTCCATTAAAAGCCAAATAAACATTTTTTTCTTACAGAGTATATTTAAAATCTTATTGTTTGATTTAGTGATTGCAGTCACAAGAGTCATAGCCTTGGCCAGATAAAGGCATTTCCATTTGAGGAATAGGGCTCTCACCCGAACCTTGACCACCGAAGACGTTACTGTAGGAGACTTTTAAGTAGTCAACATGTCCTTGTAAAGATTTTATTCTTCCTTGTGCTTGTTGCAAAGCTTCGTTCAAGTTCACGATTTGTCCTTGCATCTTTTGCCGTATCTACATCAAGCAAACAAATTATAATGCGTGTACCACATATTACAAACCTGAGAGCAATTATTTTCTCAAAATACATACCTCGTCTCTTTCTTTCTGAGCAGTTTTAGCAACAGCTCGACACTGCGCCAACTGTATCTCAAATTCACTGATTTGCGATTGCATACTCTTTTTAATTGCTTCACATCTTTCTTTTGTCCTAGATACTTGTCTTGCGGAATCTTCTCGTACCTATAGGAAAATTAAAAAATTAATTACCTATTTATTTTTTGAAACTAGTCATTTACCCACCTGTTCAAGAGTAGCATTGAGCTGAACAATTTCATGTTGTTTCTCGTCTAATTTTTTCTGCACGGTGCACTGTTGCTCTTCAAACCTGGCAACAGCATTTTTCAAACGTTCATTCTCAGTACGCAACTCGCTATTCTTTCTCTCAAGCTCGTCAAGCCTGCCATCACCATTAGTCTTCTCGTCCTACATAGACATATGTTGCACAAGAAATGGAATATAAATAGCAAAGAAAAATTTTCAAATACTCACACTAATAACTTCAATTTCGCGTTGCAGATCATTAATCTGCGTCTGCATAGCATCGATCCTGTCCTTAGCGGTCAAAAGCTCTCGTGATAAATCCTCGCAGTTATGTTCGGCAAGCATTCTCAATTGCTGAGTCTCTTGCAGTTTCACCTGCGTCTGTTTCAATATATCTGGTAGTGGTGCAAGCTCTGCGAGTTTTTCTTGAAATTGGTTCTACAGAATAATCATAGAAATTGATTTACGGGTTTTTCACGTAAATTTTCGGGAACGTGGATATTCTACCTTAACACGCCCGATTTCCAAGGTTACATTTTCATTCATCCTCGCATTGTCCATTTCCATGAGGTCTAACTGCCGAAGTTGCTCTTCTACTTGTTGCTGCGCCTGTCACAACGCCAAATTCTTCGATATAATACATCGAAAAATATCAAAAATTGTAAAAAAATATTTTTCAATTACAAGCTTTCACCAAGTATTGAAACTTCTGAAAATGAAATAAAACAAAAGATTTTCATACCTGCAAGTACTTATTACGATAATCATCGATCTGAGCGGCCTGATCTCTTATCATTGTTCTCAACTCTTCAAGTTCATCTTGCACTTCTCTGTACCTTTGCTTGGCAACAAGTATGGCTTGTTCCTGTTCAACCAGCAATTCTTTGCTCCCTTCATCCCCCAAAACACGAGCGATAATGAAAACAAACGCGAGAGTACATAACATTATTGTCGGTTGCAATTTTGTTTCGACTAACCGAGCAATTCGTTGCGTTCCGATTCAATTACTCGAGCGCGTTCTTGAGCATCTGTCAGTTTAATTTCTAAACGCTCGCGTTCCTCCTTGGCTTCACGAGCGTCCCGTTTCAATGACTCTGCGTCGCTTCGCAAACGGGATACCTCGCACAATTTATTCTTATAGTCGTCCTGTAGACGCGCGTATTGTTCGCGTAAATCGCGCAATTGCTGGCTTGCGCATTCCTGGCAAAATTGATAATTGATACGATATCATGAATTTATTCTCCAAGATTTTTAATACATTATTTCTGTCAAGTAGAATTAAATATATTTTAGCTTTAAAACTTTTTGTCAGAAAAGTACTGATTCATTTACCGGCGCATCATTGCAAGGCAAACAAGTCATCGAATTTTGAGGAGCGATAGATTTACAAGCTGATTTCGGCTGGTCAGGGTTGCAGGTGGCGCATGAATTAGCGCATTCGAGAAGCTTTTGTTGTTGACTGAGTAGTTGCTTTTCATGCTGGAGGTACATCAACTCAGATTTTAGATTAGAAACTGTGTTTTCTATACACGTCAATTGTTCGCTCTGAAGAAAATAATCGTTAGTTGTGAATAACGAAATTTTTTGTTTTGCTCGATAAAAATGCTAAATTTGTATAGACCAGATGTTTAGTATCAGTGCCGTAAGCAGCGAGTTTCTCCTCGATTTGAACAGGACATGTTTTGCCACGCTGAGATTGACTTGTAGTTTGCTTTCCACAGCCACCACCACCACTTTGACGTAACATGTCACCGTGAGAACCTCCACCGTAAAGTCGCGCAGTATTGCAACTCTGACCTGGTTTTTGGCAAGATCTTGGACTTGCTGCAATTAAGGAATATTTATTCATTTTTCATGGCAAGAAGTAGCAAGAATAAAAGCGGCAAGCACACCAGTAGGACACGCAGGTCTAGCAGATTGTTCTCGCGAGCTGCACTTGCAGGACAAGTCACTGAACTCGGGTTTCCGTGGTGATGGACAATCCGCTTCCGGACAAGCCCTCGGCGTTGGGCTACAACTACGTTGCTGTTGTTGCTGCTGTTCAATACCCTTCATCTTGCGCGTGAGCTCGCTATTCTCTTGTACTATCATTCGCATCTCCGCTTGCAACCCGCAAATCTTTCGCTCGAGACATTCTAACGCACTGTCCTTCTCTAACAATTCCTTTTCCAATTGAAATCTGTTGAATTTTATTTCGTGACAGTTTGAGTGGATTAAAGTGAGCGTTGAAATTTATTGCAAATTATTTTTGTTTTTAATTCTGTACTTTCCGCCTTCGAGGCATGCGTTCTCTTTGGCGAGCTTTTCTTGCAAGCAGAGAGACTCGGAGAGACGACCGGTTAAGTCTTCGAGACACTTGTTGCCGCGACTTTTGGGTCGACTGTCAGCTATTACAATCTTTGGGAAGGTCTCCTCGGTATTTCCACAGACTATTAATCGTGGCAATCTTTTTTATAGAACCGAATGATGTTAGATGAAACAACGGCAATAGTAGGATAAAGCGAAAGAAATTTTATTTTAAACCAAAATTTTAATAGTATTTTTTGCAAAACTATTGAAAATCTTTTTATAAAACTACATATTTAATATCGTAAAAATCAATCTTACTTATCCTCCTCGTAATCGATCTGCGGAAAAGCAAACTTTTGACAAGGCTTGGTCGTACAGTCATCGAGCTTTGTACAAGGGTCGTCGTTCTTATCGTCACCACATATTGTTCTTCCACACTTTTATTGGCCAAGACGAAATTGTAATTTGAACTTCTCGCATCATAACAGATTATTACTTACAGGTTTGTGCGGATACGGCAACATTTCAAACATCTTAGCAAAAGTAATTGACGACGGGTCGATCATACCGATAGCTCGTTGTATTTTACGAGTGATCTCGTTGAGCTCACCAATCTTTTGCATAAGTTCTTCTTGCTTGCACTTCAATGTCAGTGTGTCCTCTTCCGACAGCTTCTCTTTCTTCGCCATGCAAATGGAGCATTAGACATCGACGCGCGCAATCAATATTATCGAATGAAAGAAACTCACGCATGTCAGCTCCTTTATAATGGATTTCAATTCTTCGATTTGCTTGCGGATGGTATTCGCTCTCTTGCCGTCGCATAGAATCTCCTCAAACAGATACGATTCCGGCACGGGCATCGCGCTCATTACCGAGTCGCGATTTTTTCCACAGCCAACAACGATACCTTGACGGAAAGACAAATGCAAACAGTTTAATTGTCGGATTATTTATTGGCTGGCGATTGAACAATCACACAAGTATAAAGCTAGTCGAACACGTTGAACAAGTACAACAGTAGAATGTGAGAAAAGGAAAACACTGCAAGGAAATCAAACGTGTCCCTGCATAAAGCAACACACGGTAAAACGGCATTAATTTCTCACCTTCGCCAATGCAAGGCGGCAGTGGATCGTAAGCAGGGGCGTAAAGCGAATCTTTATCAGTTAGCTCTTTGGTCGCGCAGGCGCCGGATTTCGCAGTTTTCTGCGTTCTCGTGCTCCTTGCATCTTCGGCGCCATCTTGACCTTCGGAGATTTCTTGATCAGACATTCTGTTGGCGAGAAAATCGAATTATCTTTTTTTTCGAACGCGCCGTGCGCCTTTGAGCAAATAGCCGTGGCGTACTCTGACACCGAGTCTTCTTCGATTCCCGACAGCACAGATATATCCTCGATCTTGTCTACGCTGTCGTTCTCCGACTTTGTATCTTCATCGGTCAACTCGTCAATCTACAAAAAAAAAAAAAATAAAATGCGTACGCCGATACATCGTTCAAGTCTACGAAGAGGAGACTTTTGGCCTACCAACAGTGGAGTCGAGTCGCTATCCACAAAAGCAGGTCGCAGTTTCTCGATGTTATCCTCGAGTCGATCAGACTGTAAGCTCGACCGACAACTCTCGGACTGGTCCTCTTCGAGCTTCTCTAAATTTTCGGATTGCGGGACCTCAGCGAGGAAATCCTCGACGTTCAGTTGAATTGGTTTGCTCAGATCGAACAAGGACTCAAGCGACTTGAAGCTATCCTTCTTCGTGCAATTCTTCGGGAACCTCGTTGATCTGTCGCTTCTCAACAAAACCTGATTGTACCTCGGCGATGAGTGCAGGCTCTTGTTGGACGGCTTGGTATTCAAGTTCGGCGACTGAACGCGTAATTGCTGACTCAGCGACTGCTGCAGCGTGCCACGAGACTTTCTTCTCTGCCGAACGGAAATTGAAACTGACTTTTATTATTTTTTTTCGAGATGTACGCTGACTTGGAAATAGGTAGAAAAGTGTACCTTCATTGTGCTTTTACCTTCGAAACGTCGACACACGAGCGTCTGGTGAGATCAAACGCACACGCGTACGAGTGTGAAACACCTGTCTGAGTCGAAATATTTTCTGTTAATTATTTTTCCTTTAAAAGAGTAATGGGAAAGTTTTTTTTAACCTACCTAAAAATTTGGACTACTCCGAAAGGTAAAAAGCATAACATGAAGTTGGAAGGCAAACTTTGCAGCCTGAAGGACTTTGATTTTGATTATTATTATTTATCATTTGATTGTTTTTACATACTTGGTAAGGAATTAGCTGATACTGAAATCAAATTTTTCATAAGTAATTGTTTATTTAGATTTGAATACAATGAAACGAAGGTAAATGAAATATATTATTACATTTTTAAAAACGCTTTAATCTTGAATTCGGATAATCTAAATTTACATCTGCGCATCATCTAGAGATAATTATTCAAACCCAATATGGACGCCAAATGTTTTGTAAACAGTTTGGCGCGCAGTAGTAGTAAATTCAAGTTTAACAAATTACGCGAACTGATTCGAGTTTCTTGATTATAAAAAGTGGAAAAATACAATTTTCATAATGGCTTTGAAAAAGAAGAACAGATTCAAAGATTTTTGTAACAATTGGGTAAATAAACAAAATTAACCTATATACTGAAAGTACTCCAAATTTCCACAATGATTCAAAATTGATTGATTAATTATGTTTAAGGATGATTATATGGCACAAAAGAAGGCTAAACTTGAAGAACAATTTCAAGAAGCTGCCAAGCATGAATTTTCAGATCCATCACACATTTTCAAAGGTGTAGCAATTTTTGTAAATGGCTATACTAATCCTACCGCCGACGAATTGAAAAGATTAATGATGGCTCATGGTGGAATTTATCACCATTATTTAAGATCTCAAAGCACAACACATATGATAGCTTCAAATTTGCCTTATTCCAAAATTGTTGCTTACAGGAAAGCACAAAGACCATTGCCTCTTTGCAAACCAGAATGGATAACGGATAGTATAAAGGCAGGAAAATTATTAGATCATAAAAATTATTTATTATATTCTCAGTGTACTGAGACACAGCCTGCAATTTTTTCACATTTTAAGAAAAACAGACTTTCGCAAACAGTGCAACCAGAGCCTATTAGTACAAATTCAAAAGTTTTCAGCAAGACAGTAATTTCAAAGCCCAAAGAAGAACAGTCTCCATCTATATCACATCCAATTATTCCTGGTTCAGCAATAGCTAATTGTACTAAAAATCCAGAATTTCTAACTGAATTTTATAATAATTCACGTTTGCATCACATTTCAACAATGGGTACAATGTTCAAAGAGTACATTACTGATTTAAGAGATAAACATGATGGAAGATTCCCAGGTCTTGAGTTTCTAAAAAAGCAATCTATTGAGCGACATAAGGCTGGTCCCTCTGCTAGACAAGATTATATTGAGTCTGATGAAGAGTTATTTGATGAGGAATTGCCTAGTGATTTGCAGAATCAAAAACCTATAACAAATAAAAATCCAATTATCATGCATATTGATATGGATTGCTTTTTTGTATCTGTTGGTTTACGGAAAAATCCAGAATTAAGAGGTTTTCCTATAGCTGTTGCTCATGCAAAAGGTAACAAAATATCAGATAATCCAAGTGAATATGGTTCAATGTCTGAGGTAGCCTCGTGTTCCTATGAAGCTAGAAAAGCTGGAGTAAGGAATGGTATGTTTCTAGGAAAAGCATTAAAACTTTGTCCAGACTTGAAGGTTATTAGATATGACTTTGAAGGATACAAAGAAGTTTCTTATACCTTATATGACACAGTTGCTTCTTACACTTTAGATATTGAAGCAGTTAGCTGTGATGAAATGTATGCTGATTGTACTAAAATTTTACAAGAATCTAAATTGAGTCCATTAGACTTTGCTACAATAATTAGAAGTGAAATAAGAGAAAAAACTGGATGTCCAGTTTCAACAGGGTTTGGCCACAATAAGTTACAATCAAGATTGGCAACGAAAAAAGCAAAACCTGACGGTCAGTATTTTTTGACAGATGATACTGTTATGTCCTTTATAAGAACATTAAGTGTCAAAGATTTACCAGGTAATGTGTAATTTATCTAATATAAATATTTGTAATTTTATAATAGCATATCCATTATAATATGTATTTTTTTCAGGTGTTGGTTGGTCGACTAGTAGTAAATTAGCAGAAATGAATATTGAAATTTGTGCTGATTTAGAAGCTTTGCCTTTATATGATCTTCAAAAAGAATTTGGTAAAAAGAATGGTCAGCAATTGTATGACATGTGCAGAGGAATTGATAATACAAAGCTGAGCTTAGAGCATATTAGAAAATCCGTTTCTGCTGAAGTAAATTATGGTATTAGATTTGAGAATACTGCAGCAGCTCACGAGTTTTTAAAAAAGTTGAGTGAAGAGATCAGTGATAGGCTGAAAAAAATCAATTCCAAAGGTAAATGCGTCACGTTAAAAGTTCTTTTTCGTGCCAAAGATGCACCAAATGAACCAAGAAAATTTATGGGTCATGGAGTTTGCGATGCTTTTAACAAATCTAAGAACTTTATCGCTTCAACTGACGATCCTATCACAATTGAAAGGTATTTTTTCTAATTTTTGTGAAGAAAATAAATTTTCTGTGATAGTTGTATCATTGTACTAATAATATTTTACAGAGAAGTTGTACACCTTTGGAACCAATTCCAACAAAACCCTGAAGATGCTAGAGGTATTGGAATTCAGATAACCAAACTGGAGTCTACAAAAAATAAAGCGAGTGGATCTACTATTTTTAAATTTATTAATAACATGAAAGCTGCAGTGTCAAATGACAAACCTGTGAATCATATCACAGTTCCTTACACGAAAAAGCAATCTACAAAATGCAGTTTGATGGAATTTTTCCAGCCTGAAAATAAAAATAATTCTAAAGACAGTTATTTACAACTGCAAGACTATAACAAAGTTAGTTCAAATGTAGAAAGTTGTTCGAATTTAAATGAAATACAATTGGATGATAATGTTTTAGATAATATAATGAAGGGAGATAAAGTTACAGAAATAGCAAAACATACAAATGTTAAAACATGCCTTAGTAACAAAATTACTGTGAGTAAAGAAAATCAGTTTTCGAAAGAACTCAATTTTGAAGATGAAATTAAAGATGACTCGAGTAATGAAAAATTAAAATGGCCAAATAGTAATAATACAGATCTAAATATTGATAATCATATAGAATCTGAAGAATTAAAGTTTGATGACGATGAGTTAAATGAAGTGTTAGGAAATGTGAAGAATGAAGTATTTTTCAGAAGGGAAGATTCCAATACGGATGATATAAATATTAGACTTCAACCAATTTTGGAAAGTGATTACGATAGTGATAACTCAAATCAGTGCCAAATCTCAAAAAGAACAAATGGACAGCAAACCAAAATTTCTAGTCAACTTAGGCAAACCAAGCAATCACAATTTTTTAAACAAATAAAGCCTTTTTCATCCAGTAGAGTAAGTAAAGTCAAATTGCCGGAACTTCAAGAAATTGATATGCAAGTTCTCATAGAATTACCAGAAGATATTCGTAATGAAATTCTCAATGAGTATAAGGAAAAGAAAAATGAAAATATGGAAGATGAAAACAAAGATTTCAGAACTTCTGAACCACTTATCCTAAATAATAATATTCAAACGAATACTAACATAAATATAGAAGATATATCATTTTCTCAAATCGATCCGGAATTTTTAGCGGCTTTACCTAATGATATGAAGAACGAAGTCAAACATTACTGCGATGCTCAACGAAAAGTGAAAAAATTACAAATTGAAGATAAACGTACAAACAATGGCTGGTACATCTTCAAAAATGACGAAAAACCTCAGAAAGGTATTACTAAATCGAAACGTGGTAGACCTAAATTAGCGGATAAAGTGGTAAAGAATAAAGAGAAAAAGGCAGTAGCAAGTACTTCGCATAATAAATTTGCTAAAGAATCTGAACCGAGTTCAAGTAATATAAAAGTAGATTTACAAGACAAGAATAAAAAAAATCAATTAAGTAAAGAAACTTCAGTAACAAACAAAAGTTTTTACTTTGACAATTCACAAGTCAACTCGCAGCACAATGAAATGTTATCAAATTTGGTCAGTTGTCTCTTAGAACTTCCAATTGCTCAGGTATGATTTCAAATAAAAAATTTGTGTCGTTATTTTATTTTCTACTCTAGTAATATTAAAGGTAAAGCATCAAGTTATGCAATGGATTCGAAGTAGTTCAAATGTTAATGATGTTGATTTTCTATCATTGACCACTTACCTTGGAACGCTACCGAGAAAACACCGTCTTGCAGACCTTCATATTCTAATGAAATGTTTGCATAGGTAATTAACACGTTTAATTAATTTTCTAACATTACCGTATACATTAAACTTAACATATTTTTCACAGGTGTATATCAGAAACTAAAAGTTGTATCTGGCACGATACTTACAAAAAAATAGTGATCCACGTTCAAATTCGTATGCGTCAGGAGTATACATACGATCTAATGATACCATCAGAAGTGGAATGTGATCGGTGCCATACCTCAATACTGTGATATTTTTATTGTTATTTTTATAATAGTATTTTGTTGACATGTTAATAAATTGTTCAGATAAATTATTTATATAAAATTATTCAAATCAATTGACCAACTACACAATATCAATATATAAGGAGTCGGAAAAATAATAAGACAATTTAATATAGACGGAATTTTTATTTTATTTTAAACGAAATCACAATGCCTGCGCAAAATTATTTTTGCGTATCACGTATTGAAGTCTTCGCTTGCTCTTTATTTTACCTTTGTCTGTGTACGTGTTTGTTTTTATTTTCTTTGTGTTTGATTAAAACGCTATTATGCATTTCGTTCGTTATCATCTAATCAAATCTTTATTATATTTATATTAACGTCAATTACTGCGTGTCTGTAGGTAATGAATGATAGGTATTTTCGGAGGTGGTATCAATTTACATGGTATGCAAAAAGTCGTATACTCTGCGCTAGATGTTCAGTACAAAAATTGCTTGCAAAAACATTTTATTGAGGAACAGAATCAAATAATAATCATTCACGGTGATTTACTCGCTACGCGTGCATTGACAACGAAAATAGAGAAAAAACAAAGACGGTTTGCCAACGGAATCACGTAAATGCATTTGCAAAGATCAATGTGTGCGTGCGTGTGCAATTACGTATCACGCTTTTGTCATTATTATCAATATTGTTCTTACATCCTGAAGAATAAGCAGCTTATTAATTATCGGAGCACCGACGCTGTGTTTGTATGTACGAGGGCAGTCCTAGAAATATCCGACCCGACATAACTGTTATACGATTGCTGTTTAAAAACAATATTTATAATAGAAGGTACTAGCCTCAGGGAACCTAAGTTCGAAGTTTCGTGAAGATATGTTGTTTGTATTTATTTGGTAGCTATCAATAGTTGACACTTTTAGTGAATTCATAAAAATGGAAAAAATTGATTATATTTGTGTAATAGAATGTTTTTATTTGAAAGGTTTCAGACCAACCGATATAAAAGGAAGGATAGCAGAGTTTAAACAAAGACGTGTAAATTGTGAAAACAATAATTATAAGCAAGATATCGAAGCTATCGAACATCGCTAAGAAAAATATATCGAAATAAAAGGAAATTATGTAGAGAATAAAGGAGGAGGAGGAATAAATATATTTTTTTTCGAAATATTTTGTTTTTGTTTTCATTTGTTGAGTCGGGTATTTTTGAGACTACCCTCGCATGTGTTTTATTTCTATGTTGACATGAGAGATTTTTTCTGGGGCGAAGCTTATAAACGAAGGTAGAGACAATATAAATGTTTAATGTAAAAAATTTTACGTATAAATTATACAATACAACTTGTACAAACGTGTGGCTTCTGTTGTCTTCTTTTTCTCTATTTGGTTTTGACAACTTACTAAGAGGCGCATGCATCAAAAGATATTTCATTAACTAAACGTACGTAATAAAAATATATCACTAATATAGAAAAAACGTTCAGAAACTAAATGTGTGTTTTATTTTTTTCTTCAAATTCTTCGTGTTCGACGAGGAAGGGGGTAGGACTATAAAAAGTATGTCAAACGTTATACACGCTACTACTTGCGTTCTCGCTGGCCGCGCGAGAATGACTTTTCTCTACGAATGATTACATATTGCACTAATGTTTTTTTTCTATATCGCAAGATCACTGCTAATGCGGTTGGTTTTCTCTTCTGTCTCTTGGCAAACAAACTTCGTTAAGTGCGTATAATTAACGCACTTTCTCACTAAACCGCAAATTTACACGAGTCTTATATGCCTAGTCCATTACTTTTTTCTTTTATTTACTTTAGTATCCTGTTTATATTATTATAGTTCGTAATATATTCATACGAGTACAAAAAGACTTGCCCTAATACTTCGCGTTCATATAGAGTGATTAAAACTTTTTTTATCTCCTTTGCATCTTATGCTTATTACACGATAGATAACAAAATCCCGAAAAATCTGCTGAAAAGTATTCACGTTATACTTGTTATAAGAATACGACAATAATATATTAATATTTATGATAATAATTTAAATTTGCAACAATAGTTTTTTTCTTCTCTTGAAAGCAAAAAAAAGAACCAGACTTTTTCTAGGTAACAATTCATAATAATTAATATAAAACAATATATAATCTTCGGCGTGAAAAAGTAACTGTATATAATATATTTATTATAAAAAAAATCAACGCGAATTTTCAAAATAAACTCGTCGTTGCTTATTCCGCACGTAAAATGACTCGATGAAAACCGTCTTTACGTATATTTACAGTAGCGCTCATTTATTATTTCCCTTGGAATTGCTTGTGCTCGTTGATTGTAGGAATAAATTATAAGTGAAATCTACACAATTCCACGTAAGTTTTATCACATTATTTTTCAAATTATTAGTGATACTTAAGGTATAATATACCGTATTTATTTACAATTCAAATTTTTGTTGACAATTTTAGACAAAATAAGTATTTTACCCTAAAATCAATTTTACAATTAATCGATTTTTTAGATTACACTTCAAAAATTACTCTAATATCTCATAAAACTAAATTTACTTTTAGTTTTTACATTGCTTTTTTACAAAATACTGGAATGTAATAAAAATCAAATTATAAACGAACTTAGATTTGGTTTCATATAAAAAATAAGTAAATTTACTCTATTATATCCAAATAATAACAAAATTTTATACGATCACAGTATCATTTGCAACTTCAGCTTTTACTGAAAGATCATCGCAACAAAATTTAGTCAAATAAATTAACAGATATTATCGTGCATTTAAACACGAACCGAAGTCACTTATAATTTCACCTCAATGACCCAAGCAACTCCATTTGACTCCCAAAAAATGAAAAAAAAAATTACTACTTCGCACATGCTAAAACCCGCGAGCATTATCTCGCAACAGTCCTCGAAATATAATACACAAGTATCGTCATGGGCATCGTGGTATATCCTCGCTTGTGTAAAGCGTCGCTCACGATAGGCCCTGAGGGGTAAAGCATATTTTTTCAAGTTCACCAGTAGATGAGCTTACAGGTGACTCTACTCGCTCCTCTTGTTCACATGCCAATTGTTCGCTGTAGTAATGAGGTGCCGACAAGTAGTCGATCAATCGTCGTGGTAACGGTAACGTTGGTATCAAATCCTTACGGACCATTTTCAAAATGACGAAGCGACAGGTATGCTGAAGACTTTGGACTTGCTTAAAACGTGAGACTGGATGCAGAAGTTGTACTCTCATGGGGCCGAGGACTGGACGACGATGCAAGAAGAATAAGTAGCGTCCACTTCGTGAATGTTCCACTGCGTTCTCAATAAAATCAACAATTGTGTGCGACTTGAATTTTGTACAGCTACCGAAGCTGAAGTTACCTGTACAGAACAAAAAGAAAGTCTTATTTCAAATTTCACATGTTTGTGACCGAGACTTGAAATCTTTGAAAAAAAGAAAAAATAAAGTAACACTGGTACAATTCATAATTATTAGCGATTAATATACTCAGTGAAGTAATAACGGATGATTTTAAACGTAAAAACAGTATTACATACAATAAAATGTATCATTATTGAAGATAGCATTAATATGTTTTGCTAAACAATATCGATTATTTTACCATCAAAATATTACGTTTAGTAATCGTGACCGAACGTATCACGTTCCGTAATTACAAACAAAGTTTTCAATACAAGAAGTATAAATATAATTTTATTTCATGTATGTAGTTTTTTTTAAAACAAAACATGATCGATGCTTTTTCTTTTAACATGTGGAATTAAATTTAAAAAACGATTATGCAATGTAAACCTTTAATTCGAATAACAGTAAACAAAATCTCCATATAATCATTGGCAAAGCAAATTAATACTCATAATGTATTATCTCAATTTAACTTAATATTCGAGGTACAATGGAAAGTTGAATGTAATTGGAATCGAATTTCATTCATAGCACTGATACAGGAAACAATATAAATAAAGTGCTTACCCTGATCATGCTCAATTCTGACATGTCGAACGCAGTTGTTCAGCCTAAATGACAACGAGAATATATAATGATCGTCGCTGCTATCTCGCACGATAAATGACCCATCCGGTTCATTGGATAAAATCTTTTCTGCAGCTTCGCCGCTTATGGGTCCCCAATACCAGCCATACTGCAAGGAAAATTCAATCTCCAATATAAACAAAATTCGCAATAATGAAATTAAAAACAATCTAGAGCAGCAATACGATTGACAAAGCAATCATCATATCATTACATCATCAATTGTATGAATCATTTTGAACAACTAACTTTGTGTAATCAATTCATTAATAAAACTGTACTCACGTCCTTGACTTTCTCAATGCTAGCAGCAAAGTCCATGCTGGTATCTTCGTTGACCTGTTCGTCGTCATTTTCCGACGCTATGGGTTGTTGTGCGGGTGTTTCACACCTTGGCGGCCCCCCATTAATTCCATTGGCAATTGCACCATCAATTTGCGAATTAATTCGACTCTCGACATGTCCATTGCTCTTTGGTAAAGGCGGTAGTGCACGTTTGAAAAATGGCAATTTTGTACCAACTTGAGTGCTCGTCTCAAATTCATTAAGATCGCCGTTCATCATTGCTCCACCATTGTTATTGTTCTGCTGCTGCTGTGGATGTTGCTCGTAATCGGCTACCAAATCGTCATCGTCTGGATGGACTATCGTGTCTGAGAGTGGTGGTTGTTGATGAATCACGTTATTACGATGTTTCGTTACTATCTGATGCTCCGGCGAGCCTATCTTTTTAAACCTGTTGGAGATAAGTAATCGATTCACTAGATTTTCGAGCTCTATGATTATACAATTCATAGCGTAAAATAGCACTTAAACAAATGCAATGACGCAGAAAACATGGATAGACAATTAATTATTTTTCACTCTATGTAGATGTTTTGAGATTCAACAAGACATTAGAACATTAATTGCGTCAGGATTAGCTGATATTACGCGATTGACAGTGAACGTTCCAATAAATAATAATATTATTAATTACAAACCTGAAAATATTGCACAAAGTCTGCTTGAGATTGAGGGTGAAATGCCTCTGACTTTTCTTCATTTTCTCTCTGTTGCCACCTGCACTGCCATCAGTTCCATCCACCAATCTCAAATCGTCGCTCCTCTGCTCGTCTTTCACCTTCTTGCTTCTGAGCGTGCATAGCGTATTCTTTTTGTGTTTCTTAGCATTGCCACTGTTATTGTTGTTGTTATTATTATTGTTGATATTATTGTTATTATGCTGAATGAGGCCGTTACTGCTCTTATTCGATATTGGCGTGTTCGTTGTCGATGAGTCAGTCGCGTTGTGTGGATTGCTGTACTTGTTGTTATTGAGGTTGAGGAGTTTCGGTATCACAGCGTGTTGCTGCATCTTACCCGCGCGCTTCATTTTCGCCTCGGCGCAACTTTCGCTCGAACCAGACGAATACAATGTCTGCAAGTATTGGCGTACCTCGTGCAACGTCATATGAATTGGTTCGCCAATGTTGCGCACGTGTGAACTTCTTGCGGTCGTTCGGTGATGATGCTGCTGCTGTTGCTGCTGCTGTTGCTGTCGGCGGCCTACTGTCGCTACTTCTGCTACTGCTACTGAAGTACCCGGCACACTGTGGCGCTTGCCTGTCGTTCCTTGGGCAATTTACGAATACTTCGATATTTATCTTTTGCCAATGGATTTATCGATCATTCGATCAATCAAAACCATTAAAAAAATTTTTTTTATTTGTAAAATTTTAAATAAATGATATTTTTAGATTTAAAAAATAGGATAAATTATTTTGATAATTGATGACTATATTTTAAAAATAATAGTCATATTAATTAATATGAAATAAATCTAATAAACATCGTCGTTTTAAAGAACATGAAAAAATAGTGTATATATCAATTTTAATAATTTTAGATGTTGCTTTTACATTAAATAATTGAAAAGTTTTTAACTGAATTAAACTCCAAACAAAGATTAAAAATTTATCATAAGGGTCCACTGAATATGATAAACCATGTTTAAAATTACTTTTAAAGTTTCTCAAATTGAAAATGTTTATCATATAATTACCACAAATTTCATTAGCAGTAGAACCACCAATAAGAGATGTAGCGCCGAAGTTATTGCAGCACTCAGCGAGCATCTTCTGTGACTTGACCACATAGCCAATGGATCTAGTTTTCCCAGGCATCCCACCACAATAATGTCTCGCTTGCATATGAAACTCGCATTCACTTTGACTGGCAGATACATTCCTTCGCCTCTTCCGATGATGCTTATGCCTCTTTGGCCTTTGAGGAGTTCTTAGCTCATGGTGAAACGGCCGTACCACATCGATAGGGACAGTATAGATATCCGAATCAAAGGGTACATTGTACATGTCACTAATTTGACTAGTAGTCAAGATATCATGCGACATTGCCGAAGTAATGAAACTACTATCATCTGCTTTATTACTCAATCCTGCGGTGTTGATCGAATTGTGCGAGCTGGATAAACGAGACGAGGCCAAAGACGAACGAGAATTTGGTCGATTTAAGGTGCTAAAAGGTGTAATCGTTATGGCACCTTGGTAACCTGCTGTCGCCAGACCTGGAGACGACGACGTCAAATAGTCCGATGTCCAGTAACGCGAGGAATTGCTGCAAAGAAATAATTCATTAAAATGATAAAAAATAATTTTATTGATTACTGTGAGTTAAAGTGACTATGTAAATTGCTGTAGATTTGATTTACATATTCTATTACAGTAAACAAAGGATTGTTTTCTTGCATTATTAAGAAAATTTAAAGTTATTTTTAGTATGTTCTTATTACTCATAGTGCAAACATTGACAATTCATGAGCAAAAAAATTAAGTGCATGATTGGTTTGTCTGAAGACTTATCTCCTACATGATAAGAGAAAGACACAAGGACACTTGTCACTTACTTTCTACTGATTCTATTATTGCAAGTCACATGCATCACATCATGATTAGGCGTATGCTTAGGCTTTAAAATAATTCTTCCCTCTGGCCACGATATTCTACATGAAATAGCCAGAGCCTCCTCAACTATTGTCTCCACTAAACTCTCAGCAAACTCAATAATACATGGATTAGCTGCTTTTCTCCTGGCTTCTAAAATAGTATGGGTATCAGAGGTGAGAGGCTCCAGAGAAGAAGCTGAGGTATCTGGTGGTGACGGGCTATCTTGAAACTCTAGAGGTGGTTTGATGGCAATCTCCTCAAGTTTCCTCTGTTCAGCCACAGTTGCTGCTGCAGCCGACAGTACATCTGTCCACATAGGCCCTTTTTTCAGTGTGTTGAAATTCTCACCATGGATCCCATCTGAATAGTCAAACGAGTCTTGTGACAGAGACTTGCTTTCCATGTCACTTTCCTGCAGCTAAAACAAATAAGAATAGTTCAAGAGTTATTTATTACTGTACATTTAGTTAGATGGTACATACCTCTGTAGTAGCAAAATGTCCCCGAACAGAGTCACTGGATATGGAGCCTCCAATACCGCTGCTACCAATATCACTTAGCGGTCCAGTAACACTTAATGAGTAAGAGGGTGGCGAATCCATATTAACCCTCGTGCAAAGGCAGCTCTCTCTCACGTTGACAACGTATTAAACCATGATATTTCAAAGATTCGCCTACAATCTCGAAAAAAAAGAAATTACAAACAAATCTCACCCATTCAATCTTGAACACGCTATCACAATAGATTCTACACTCACTCAATCACGAGCACCGTCATCGCCGAGGGAGATTGCATTACGCGATCGCACTGCTGCTGCTGTTTGAACCTCATCTTCGTCATCATCCTCGCGGAGACATTTCTCTCGGTTGGTCTCACATCCTTATGAGAGAGAGGACACACATTACGGGGGAGCCGCGCTGGCGGCGGTGCTATTAATTACTGCGCGCATTCTTGTCTAAATTTAGAGTGCACACAATGGCGAGACGATAAAAACTTAACCATACTCATTGATCGCAAGAGCGTACAACGACAACGACGAAAACGACAATGCGCTCGAGAAATTATCCTCGAACTCCACACGGTCGTTATGTTGGACGCACCGCCGCCAAGCCACGACGTACTCTCGTCGCGTACGTCGCTCGCTGATATATAAGAATATAGTCATGCAGACAGACAAAGACAGCAAGTGAGAGAGAGAGAAAGAGAGAGAAAGAGCGAGAGAGAGAGAGAAGGAGAGAGAGAGAAGGAGAGAGAGAGAGAGAAGGAGAGAGAGAGAGAGAAGGAGAGAGAGAGAGAGAGAGAGAGAAGGAGAGAGAGAGAAGGAGAGAGAGAGAGAGAGAGAGAGAGAGAGAGAGAGAGAGAGAGAGAGGAGAGAGAGAGAGAGAGAGAGAGAGAGAGAGAGAGAGAGAGAGAGAGAGAGAGAAGGAGAGAGAGAGAGAGAGAAGTGTCTCGCCAAACGCTATACCAATACACTCCTACTAGACAGTCTCTATCTCTCTCTAGCCTTTTCCTTTTTTCGGACTTGCAATTGCAATGCGATGTGGAAATCTCGTCTCTCTTTCACTCTCACTTGCTCTACGTGTCGTGTGTGTATATATGTACGAGAGAGAGAGAGAGAGGGAAAGAGGAAGAGAGGGAGAGAAAGAGAGAGAGGGAATGAGAGAGAGAGAGAGAGAAGGCCCGAAAGGACGATAGCGCCATTTTCCCATTCACACGAGGCGCTATCACCCGCTTGTTCGAAATTTCCATTCTCATTGTGGAAAAGCTTTTGATCTTATGTAATAATTTTATTAGCGCAACGTCTCTTTGTAAAAGATAATATTCATTTTAGAAACGATGCCTTTGAATTGACGAATAATTAACTGTGATCATTGTTTTCGAACAGAAAAATATTAATTGTATTTGTAAAAATCAGCACTTATTGTTTCTTTGGTCCGTTCAAGAGGCGTGTAATACACTTTATTTCGAACCTTTACCGTTTATTCAAAAATTTTTTTCATTCGTTTTGAAAGCGTATTGAAAAAACTACCATATAATATATAAAATGTGAACTCATGTGTGCAAGTGCAGCGCGCAGATGTGTAATTTTCCCATTCACCCGAGGCGCTACCGCCCGCTCGGTTTGATTTTTCTATTTTCATTATAAAAAAGCTTTTGAGCTTTTGCAATTATTTTACACATGATACATTTTTTATTCACAATAGTGTATGAGCACTGGAAAAATTGTATCCTTTAATTATCAAAAAATCAATTTAATATAATTATATACTTGTTTTTGTAATTAAAGTATATAAATATTTTTCTTTGGTATTTTCAAAGAACAATCTTCTTTAACTGTTTACTGATCATTCAAATTACCCTTAGAAAAATTTATTTATGTAATTTATTAATGAGGTAAAATTAACAGCTACATATATACTTATTTACGGTAAACAAAGATCAGTAAAAATACTTTTAAAAATACTTTTAAAAAAGTTAATAATAAAAAATTTTAAATACTGCTTATAGTTTGAGAAACTTGAACAGATGTAAAGATTTCTTTGATCAATAATAATTTTGTTTCATTCGAGAAAATGAATTATATTCGTAAGAAAAAGAATTTTCATTGATTGTTAATTGGGAATGTAATTTCATTTTTCGATAAATTATCTGATATTTTCAAATTTATACGCCACGTTGCGGACTGTCGAAAGTTACTCGACTCGAAAAGTATTCTATCTCATATCATATTGTACTGCATAGCTACAGCCATACATACGTGTAATTAATTGTGTAAATCCGTGTGGCCATACCATAAAATAGTAGTTGTTATTATAACGCCGGTAACAACGAAAAATTAAACGTTAATCAAATAATTTGTAAATTATATTACTTAAAAATAGTAAAGAATGAGATTTTAGTTTTACTAATTGAGTAGTTTGATATTTAATTTGGTGTTTTTCAGTGAGTAACGGAAACAGCAGTTTTGGAGAATTAGTTTGAGGTTATATTTAGGGCCACGTCAACAACAATAATTGTGCAAAAATGGGTGTAAGAAGCTTATTTATTATTTTGTTTAAAAATATAGTACTTTTATATTGATTTTCCAACGAATATTACAACAATTATTTATTTATTAGCATTCGAAGTCAATTGTGTTGTAAAAAAAAGCTAACTTCTTGTATTAACTAGTATAATAATATAGCGATGTATTTTGCAGCTGGAAATTGATTCTATGGTACGATATGTGTCGCCAATTAATCCTGCAATATTCCCAATCTTAACCTTGGTTCTTCTGGGTATCGGGATTTTCTTCACAGCATGGTTCTTTGTGTACGAAGTCACCAGTACCAAATTTACCCGAGATATTAAAAAAGAAATGCTGATCTCTGCAGTTGCTGCAATCTTTTCTGGGTTTGGTGTTTTGTTCTTGTTACTGTTGGTTGGAATATATGTTTAGGTAGGTTTATTTTTAAAGAAAATTTATATTTATATGTCGTTATCATACTTTTGTTTAATAAGAATGTTTTCAATTTTAGGAATTGTGTGAGACTGTTCAATGTTATACAAACTGTGCTTGTGAATATTGATAACGCTAAATAACAATTTATTCCAATAGTAGTAGTATTAAAGGTATGTGTGTGTGTTTTGAATGAAACCAATATTTTGTAAAGAATAAATCAGAATTGATACTACACTTTCTTATTTGATTTTACAACAATGAACTACATAAATTATAAGAGACAATGCCAAATAAAATCATTTTCCTTGTGTAAATGTTTTAAGTTCATAATTCAAAATAATTTTAAATGTGATTATCTGATTAATGAAGAAAGTTTACATCTCTACAGATTTAATATCATTGATTTTTTTAAATTAGTATTGTTCTTCTTTTCTTTCTCTAACTAAAATATTCTTATTTTTATCTAAGACACTGCAATATCAAAGCTTCTGTATAAATATTTATAACACAAAAAATTGAAAAATATAGTCTTAGGTTTATACAGATCATTTATCTAGTAAATAAAGATTTTGAACCAACTTTCCATTTTTGTATTAAAGTTTGATTTATAATTAAGTAATTAGTAATTATTTGCATGAAATATTGTTATTATTTTTATAAATATAATTTATAAGTTAAGCCTTAAGTTATAAAACTCAAAATTGTTCTAATTATGAAAAGCTCTTATTCTAATTACTCCATAAAAATAGCTTGAATAAAAGTTAATAAACCGTTGTTGGACCGTTTCGTCTTTTGTTGGATCATGTGTCTCTCGTGACCCACTGATGAGATCTGACGAGTAACTACAGACGAAATACATACTTTTTTTTTTTTTAAACCGTCTTTGATGGAATATTTGAATACCGATTCTTCAATTCGATTTTGATAATAATTTTTAAGGATCAATGACACTATTTCTAATAACGTGATAGAAACTAAAATTTGTTACTTGAAAAGATCAATGCCTGCACCCTCTTGTAGACAATAGGTTAGTATTATTTTATATTACTTTTTTTAAGGTATGGATAAATGTAACTTCATTGCTAAATCACTATAATATAATCATTTTATTCAACACAAGTAACATGCCATACACATTACATTCATCAATTTCTTACAAAGCTAACATCAAACGAAATCTTGTCAATCACACCAAACAATATCTACATATTTCCTGTCGTAGAAAATACTTCACGTTATACCCTATACTCAAAAATTCCACTCATGGTTACGCGCTTCATAACCATCGTCATATCTTAAAAAAGGATAATAAAAGTTCTATACCTCCTGGTCGAGGTACACACAGAACGTGTGAATATATGGCCTCGTTGAGAAATTGCACATATTTTCATACCTAACATCTTCTTAAAATTTATACATTTAAGTTTAAAAATAATATACTTAAACTCATTTATAATAGTTATTTAAAAAAACAAAAGTACAATTCGGCACTAAATTATCATACATGAGCTCCTGCTGAAAATTATGGCAATGACAGTTTCGCGCTGTACACCGAAAAAATTTATTTACACGAAGAGGCAATTGCCACGTCAATTTCATTATTATCATTATTCTTATTTTTTTTTGGCTATTATATTAGCTTATTGTCGATAAAAAATACTATATAAAAATCACAAACTTAGGACGATCGGTCTCTCGTCTCTCTCTTTGTTCCACTTTGATCGTCTCTCGCGCGTGCACAGAAGAAAGAAATGCGAATGAATTTTTATTTACAGATCTATCTGATTTTAATGTAACATTATGTCATACGTAGACCTCGCTACGTTTGCTGCCAGCAACCGGCACCGGCTGACCAACGAAGCTGATTTTCCGCACAGCAACTGCTTGGCGTTGATCGAAACTACCACTTCTTGGCCTTTTCACGGGCGTCGGCAAAGTTGTAGTTTTGATCGTTCTTGCTGTTGCACTCTCTTGAAGACACAAATCATGGGGCAACGAATTACTACGATCATCTCGTGTCGGAGGCGTTACCGGAGGTGCTGGTAACGAAGTCGATCGACGACTCTTAGGGTGATGTTCTTGAGGAGAACGGCGATCGGTCGCTGCTGGCGGTGTAAAGTTTTGGAGGCTCTGAAACGGATTTTAATGGTTGAACTATTACGTCACGAAAAGTGCGTTCAATTACAAGTCTGTTAGTTGTAAAATTAATTCTTCACGATCCCCGTCAATCTTTCTTTTCTTAGCGGCAGTATTGTAATAGTAAAACATATCAATACAAAATTTAACAGCATGTTAATATTGCTCGATTCAATTTGAAAGAACGATTCAAATTTAATAGAACGATTCAAATTTAATAAGTCGCAGTTACATCAATGAACGAAGCGAGATTTTTATTGTTCAAGTCGCACTAAGCGATCGATTTGCGCAACGCGCAAAAATACTTCGTAATGCCCAAATGAACTACAAAATGGATTGGTTCCACGAGTAGACCGTGGCGTATCGTTAATCGTCTCCTCTTTTCCTCTTAAAAACATTGTTGTCGTTCTGTTTGAGCGAGCCAATTTTTTAGAAACGGCCATCGAGCAACGAATTGCATAATGATTAAGTAAGAAAAAAGACTCGCGCGTGTTTAGTCGTATAGAACAAAATCGTTATCCGCTCACCCAATCAGGTTGTTTGTTGCTTGCAAGACCAGCAATCGTCAAAGCATCCAGCTTCTCGGGACTAACTAGAATTGGCGAGCTAGTTTTGTAACTATCTACAATGAGTTTGCCTGCTTTGGCAATTGAATTGCTCTCGTCCTTGTTACTTTCCTTAGCATCATCTTCGCCACTCGTCGGCGTAGTCACTTCGGTGAGGCTCATCGGCTCTGTCAAACTTGCTGACTTCAAAGAATTGGCAACGAATAACGGCGCTGCCTGCACAAACCTCGTCAATTGGCCCACCGTCACGGCCGTCACAGCTGTCAGTGGTGCTTGAGTCAGTTGTTTCAGATTTTGCGGCAACACCGCTTGAGCCAATTGTGGCAGTGCCGCCTGGTGCCTTGCCACCGGAGTCCCTTCGGTTTTTTCTGCAAATTTTACGACTCGAACTTTAATCGCCCGCTCTTCTGCTTCCGTTGCCAACGAATCGAATCTCTCGTTACCTTGAATGGGAGACAAAATCGGCACGCTAGCGGCATTAACAGTAGGATTACTAACGACAACTTGTAGCACAGAAAAGTCATCGATGCCGCCGGTCTGTTGATACGCCGGTGGCGATAGAATACCAATCACCCCGGCGCCGATATTAGCCGCATTACTCGCTGACAACGCCAGACGTTGCTCTCTGTCCACGACTTCCTTCGTGACGTCTGGCGTTGGGATTCGCGGACGGTTCTTCAAGCTTATCGGTATGTTGTTGAGCTTGGGCAGGGTACCTGAAAATTCGAATACAACGTTCAATGAAAGGCTTTGCGTTTGCAACGATATGTTTCACAGGATCGATTTTAATTTATTTATATCGGCGCGATTCGACCATTTTCCATAAAGCTCGTTCCCATGCATAACATACGCGGACCATGATCTTCCATTAATACACCCGACAATAAATTGGCGAAAATCGTCGAGCGAAGCTTTTCGGAATGGAATCATCGCTATTTGCAAGCTACGCGAAAAGAAAAAAAAAGAAACTTTCACAATCGTGCGAAAGTTGAATCAGCCTGGCGCGTAACCTCAATTTTTCTCTCTGCTGCTAACCGAAAACACCTTTGTACGATAATGTCAAAGCCAAACACGCGCAATTAATAAATGCGCGTGTGACTCATGTACAAAGTACCTTGTCGCCTGATACGCTGGCTCTGTATGCTCTTGCGCCTGGCGAACCTGTCGTACAGCGACATTTTCACCCCGGTGTTGTTGGTTTGGTTGGACGATGGTCCATTGGCCAAACCGCCAGCAGGTTGCGTTTCAGGACTACTGTAGACGCTGTTGTGGCGATTACGATTGAAGAATGTGCCACTGCTGTAGGTGGTCGAGCTACTACGTACCGAACCCATTCGGCTGACTGCTCGGGACAGCCAATTGCGTTTACGCTCGACTAGAGGTGTATCCACACTCTCCTGCGGGATGATAATGCGTATTTGATCATTTCTCCCTCTCTCTCTCTCTCTCGAACTTATTGTAAAAGGATGACGCGCGAAGAGGGATTTTTCCATTTTGCGAATGAACGTGAAATCATAATACATCAATCGCTCGCGTCACGGGGCATAATAACAAGTCACTCGACCACTTTGCATCGTTTTTTTCTCCCTCGCACGGGCAAGATAAATATATTTCCGCGAGAAATGAAATTTTCGAGCCCCGAACACCTTGGTAAACGCGAGGAGAACGCGCTGTACTTGTTAGCGATCGCGCGAGAAGAGAAAAGAATTGGACATTGGTCATTGCAACACCGAACTCTCGAGTAGAGTAGCATCGCATCGAGAGAACAACACTCACGTAATCGGCATAGACGTCGTCCATTTGGCCGGCCTTGTTGTTAGCTCGATGCACGTGCAGTCCAGTCAGTAGGTTCGCGTAAACGGCATCGCTGTCCTTCACCTTGTAATGTTCCGCCGAACCTGCCGGTTCTTCGCGGCGGTAATTCTCGCTTGCGACTGTGTACGGCAAGTCTGTTGGCACCACTTCGTTCCAGTACTGATCCTTTAGGAGCTCGGGATGCTCTTCGTGCATCTCATCGACGATCATGTAGCCGGCCTGAAGAGGACGATGGTTGGTTTTATTTCAGTGCGTGGGAATTTACTCGGGACCTTGTAAGATTAGCGTTAGCAGTCGATAACGAGTTCTCTAATCGTTGCAATTCACGAGCTGAAATTGCTATATGGGCGTACACGCGCATTTATTTGAAGTTGAATCACTGTTGTTATTAATGAATTCTCGTGGCGTAGACAAACGAATTAAACTCGATTTAGATATCATCGCGTTCCCTCGTTACAATCTTTTGTTCGCATTTCTGTACGATCCTCCTTTGAAACCGTCGTGGCACTGGCCGTTCTCTTTTATTTTTTTGGCACTTGAGAAGAAAGGAAATTCAATGTGAAAGGTCTACTTTACAAGCGTAAATACAGCAATTAACTTCAAACTGTACAAATCACGCGAACAAACATTTGAATTTCAAAAGTAGATGAGATGTGCTTTCGGTCAACTAATGAGCTGGGAACTAACGAGCAAGCAAGCAGTCGTCTTTTTTCAAAGAATAAGCAAAAAATGTCTGCACTTGATATTACCGAATCGACTGAGAGTGAGTAAAAAACGCTTGAATGACGAACGTAAGAGAGTGAGAACATAAAAAACAAGTCGGATGTATTCCAAATCCAAGTGACGTAAAGGGAATTTTGCTTGTCCGAATCCTGAAAACCAGTTTGTAAGAGAAAAACCCAGCCTACCTTGATGTGGCGATCGATCAGCCAGTTCAGCTCGATGTCGTCATCGTCCTCACCGAAGGGATTGATCAATACCTCGGCGACTTTCAACCAGCCGACGTAAAAGCAGAACTGCAAGGAAAGCAGCTCGATGACAAATCTTTGCGCGCGCACGAAAGCGCGAAGATTCGCACACTCACTTGTAAGACAGTGAAGAAGGGGAAATACATGTCCGGCATCTCGTACTTGCCATTGAGAGCTTCGCTTTGACTGATGAACTGCCTACCCAGTAGCGCCGACAAGAAGTAAGCGTAGAGTGACAGCGTCACCACCTGCAATAATCGTCACGTCCTTAACCCAGTGCCCGCGTGTACGTTTTTCGCGAGAGACGAACAAAGGAAACTCCGTCGATCTTTAGAGCCATTCTGCCTTTTATCTATGCGCTTAGCATACGGGCCGGTAATTGATTGTGCCAATTAAAACTGCAAGGAAAATTGCCAGGCAGCTTATCCGAAGCGATTTTACGGAATCGCGTTCTTTAAGAGTATCGCTATCTTGGCTCTTTACTCTTTCTGTTTTTACGGGTTTTAAAAAAGGAACTGTAGTGGGATTTAAATGATTCGTTAAACGTTAGCTTTAATCTACCTCTGTTTTTACATTTACGCGTTGGTCAAAAGCGCGTAGCTATTGCTTTTCTTTCCTTGAAAAAAAAAAAACTTTGATAAGAAGTTCTACTCGCGTATAAAATTGCACAAACCTGAGTGTAGACCAGAGGTACGCAAACAGTATCGTAGCCAATAAGTCCACCAAGCTTTTTCCTTATGTCGCTCAATTCGACGAGCAAAGTCTGCACCACGTGGTCACTAGTGATCAATCCTTCCTTCCTCGCTCGATTGATAATATTGGTCGCCCAAACCAGTGGCATCCAGTACTTGGACATGGCAGCCTTCTTGTTCATCATCTCGAAGATCTTCCTCTCCGACTCCATCATCAGACCTGGACAGCGGACCAGAAACAAAAATTCAAGTGGCAAGGCTAACGAAGTTAGCCTATTAATCGGCGTAATAATAGGACCTTATCTGCGAGCACATGCGCACACACGTACGCAAGGTCAACAAACGCTCGTGACAAGGCCGGCGCCTTTTAACGACTTTGAAAAGGGGGAAAACGAGTTCTCCGCGTTCGCGGCAGCGGCGCATCTCCTTTCTTTCTTTCTTGCGCCCAACGGCCTTGCCACGCTCCGTTCGGGTGCAATAGCCCCTTGCTTCGTATCGCCTATCACGACGTTTGCTATGTAGGTGAAATGATCGATCGTTGAGCTCGCGGTCACGGTGCAAGGCTTCGATTGCCAGTGTGCCGGTGATCGGTTTAGCATTGAAGGCAACGATCGCGGTTCGACTTTTCTTTTCTTTGGTGGCAAGTGCTCATTGCGAGCGCGCCTGATTGGCTCAAGAAATTGACTGTTATGGGGACTGCGCGTAAAATTATGCATTGATTGACGCGCCACACGTATATCCCGAAGAGCAGTGGCGTTCTCGAGCTATACGGACGTCTGATTTGGTTGACATGGGACTTCACCAAAAAGACAGAGAGACAAATGGTCCACGCATTAAATCGACGAAATTGCATTCGAAAGGAAAAAAAAAAAGCGTTTCGATGATCACGCGTGTAGGTCACGTAAAGGTGAAACCACTCTGATTAGGAAAGGCAGCTTGCGCGCGTGTGCACGTCCGTTAGAAAGGGACGTAGCGCACGTGATTCCGAATGAAGCTCACGCATCTGCTTGACACATGTAACCGACAGGTTCGATTTCACGCGGGCAAACACACCTGCAGAAACTCCGGGAAAATCCACACGCGAGTGCATTTCATTGTTCTCTATCTTTGTGTAATTGGTTTTGACGCATTGTTGTTCCCAGTGGTGTGTGTATACTATGTTACGATGGAATTACATGCGTTTGATGATTTCTTTTTTACTTTCGTTGACGTGAACTTATTTACAATTATGTCGTGTACTTCACTAATCGAGAAGTAGACTTTTCTCTCGATTCAGTTATCCGTCTTCGTACAAATCTGTTTCGCTCAGAGGAGGTATCTTTTCGTCACGAAAATCAATTAACTTGTATATCTCTTCAGCCTTCCATTCGTTTTATCCATATGGTCGTCGATTTCGTTGATGTCGTTCCAACGAAACTCTCGCATCATCCACTCGCACGTGAAGCAATGAGTATCGCAAAAGTTTCGCCGAAAATTTCGCGTCTCGCCCAAGCGACCTAAATACAAAGACATCTTCACTCGTAATTTAACGACCTGGCGTGTTGCAGCAGCAGTTTGCGCGAAAAAAAACCTTACAAAATTATCGTTTCGACGTCGCCGTACCATTACAAGGCATTATATACTCGCCCAAGGAAGCAGCGAAGTAAAAAAAAGAAAAAAAGATGTCGCTCGTAGTGTCGGGTCGTTAACCGATATCCCCGTTACTTGGATTCGCAGACGCGTGGAATTCGAAAATGCTTTCCTCGTGTGTGCGCGCGCGCGCATCGAGAGAGTCCTTTTGCTTCAGAAGGATGCAGGAAGACGGCGACAAGTGGAAAGTACCGTCAGACAGGCGCCACTTCTCACCGCGACGGGAGCTAAAATTATACCGCGGATTTTTTTTTTGTCGTGCGGACAAGCTGCCTGCTGGCTACCTGGCACTCGGCGCGCGAGGTTTTATTTTTCGTTCACGCTCTCGCAGTCACGACGAGAAGATGCGCCTCCGAAGGATGAAGTTTTCGTTTTGTGCCCGTCGCTGGATGCGCGGTTTTCGTTTTCTTCTTCCTCCTTGTCGGTCCGACGACGCGGCTCTTCCATTTTGCGTCCGCAAAATCGAGGCACACTTTTTGACGAGATTCCGCAGCGAATCGCCCCAAATACATGCCGTTCGTTTGTGAAATGAGCTGCGCGCAGGCTGATTCATCGCGCGCTTTTCGTTTTTCTCGTAAAATTTTCAAGGTACGAAGATATATTGTGTGTATGCGCTAGAAAATGTAAATGCTATTTTTACCCACTTTTCCGTACTTGTCATTGACTTAACCGTATATCCAATGTCTCTGTGTGTGATTTATCTTACGCTATATCATCAAGTGTGCGATACACGGTAGCAATTATTTATCTATTTTTAACTTCGGTAAGAGAAAAAAATCAAGTATCAAAAAGAGAAAAAGAAAAAAGTTACTGATCGAAATAACTCACTGACCAACGTCGACGATGTGTTGAAGTGTTGGAAAGCGTCGTTTAACACGCAACGATATCCTCTGCAAGGTGATCACGTATGCGAGTACAGCATACCTCACTATGTTCCGCCTCATAAGACGTCCTCGTTCGTCCTGTGCCAATCGTTGTGTTACGGCAATCGTTAAACATTTTTCTTCTTTTTTGGCGAACGATAATGATTATGTGCAGCTTACGTTTCCGGGGATAGCAGCGCTGATGAACAGGGCAAGGTTGTCAGGCCAAGGTAATAGTTTGTACTGCTCCCACCATCGCTTGACAACGAGACTCACGTAGAAACCGAGCACGAATGACATTGGTATCGACTCGCTCGAGTTGCCGAAATAATAGCGGATCTTCTCGAATATCCTGCAGATAACATACATTTGAATGCTTTTTTGTACATTTTTTCGAAGCAGATTGACAATCTTGGCTCGACTTTTCTGCTAAGATCGCGCGCTTCTCGTCTTCTTTTTTCTCTTTTAAAGGACGTTGACCGCTTGTTAGGTTCAAGGCTAATACGTGTTCTATCGCGGAAACGACCAGATTGGTCCGAAACGAAAGAGTAAAAGGCTTCTATACAGACGCAGCGTTAACATCCGCAATAAGAAATTTGAATTTTCATTAACCCACTTTTGCCTGTCCCCATTTCTCTTTCGTTCGCGCGTCTACCACAAAAAGCACACCCGCGACGGCATCGAACTCACGGCAATTGAGTTTCCGAGCGAGGCGAACCGCGAAGGCGTCTCCGTTATGCGAATTCCATTCAATTATATTTCCAGTCGGCCGAAAACGTCCATCACGAACCGCGAACGCGCGCAGGTAAGCCGCAGTCCTGCGGCCGAGCTAGCTCATAACACTTCCCGAGACGATTAGCGAGTCGTCGGAAAAAAAAGCCATTTCACTCTCTCCTCCTCCGTTGTAGCGCATCGAGCTCGAAGATAGATTTCTCATGTTATACTGTACTTCTGCTGCTCCTCGTCGAGCGCGTAGCGATAGATGAAGTTGATGATGTAGTAGGCCAGCAGGTAGACCAACAGCTCGCGCCAGATAAGCTTGTACACGGAGCCTCGCCATCTGTGAGCAGACAAATTACCATCGACTATTAGACGTATATCCTCTTGGGATTCCCTTCGTGTGTGATGCCTCTGCTTTGATGACTTTATTCCCGGTTACGCTTGTTTGTATAGATTGCTGCTAAAGTTCGCTTGCTGATCATTGCAATCTTGCGCGAGCGAATATTATTTCGAATTCGTATTGTATTCTATTTTTTTTTTATTTTCCACGATAATGCTATCCACGTTCCATCGAGTTTTTTTTTTAATTCACCGATATACGCATTTCACTTCAGACGCAATTAGGCCATCCAGTCACGATAGTACGTTACCAACGTTTTCTTTTATTTTTACAGCAGCGAATAAAAATAGTCGCAAAACGAAAAAGTAAAATGGAGAACTTACTGCGTAAGTGGAAAAATAAACAGAGCGTTATAGTTAATAAAGCTTTTCAACCTAACAATCACCAACGTCACTCGTAAATCATACCGTAAAAACTAGTCGTCACAGATGTATATCCTTATGGATAGTTATATAAAAAACAGGAGAGAGGATTAAAAAAAAAGAAGTCCGCATCCACGCATAATTAATTCCTTGATGACAAGCAAAACGCACAATTTACATTACGCACCGCTGAAAAAATAAAGCACTCCTTATCTCTCGTGTATGCGCGCCTCTGTTCCCTGGGAAATGCCGCAGCCGCGTTCTCGCGGAGAAAAAGAAAGTTTTATCGAAAATAAAAGTGTCATTATGTCATCGCTGGCGTGTGCTGTGTAAGAACGAGCGAAATATTCAGCGCCGCGCCGCGCGCGGGCAGCGAAAGATCGGTGCGTTCGGGATTACGGAAGTCCGGTCAGCTATTAGCGAGCACGCTGCGTGACTAAAGGGCATTGTCGAAAAAAATTTTTGTTTAGCAGGCAAACGCTGTTGCGCAATTTTCGACGCGCGACGCACGCGGGTTATGTGTGTTTTTTGGAAACTTGGAGTCGAGCGAGTACAATTGAATCTAAAGACGACAAAATCACTGAATTAGCTGACGCAGCGTCGTGTTAACAGAAGTTGCACAGCCGCACATCGATAGGAATCCGATAGGAAGCCGATTACTTGCTTAATTGCGCTTGGAAATTCTCGAGTGAAAAAGGCGCCTAGACAACGAGTTAATTAGCGAAGACGATTTCCGTGAACCATAGCAACTCGCGTATACTTATTTTCGCGACTTTGTAATTCACTGATGTAATAATGCGCCAGACACCATCGCTGAGATTGACAATTATTATCGTCCCGCGTCGTCGCACTGAGGAGTCTAGAATTGTTTTTTTTTTCGAAAAGAAAGAAACAGCACTCGAAAGGCTTTTCAAGCATGACGAAATTTGTTGACGTGGCTCTTTAGAATCCCAATTCCCGAGACGATTTTTTTATAAATATCGAGAACCAGAATGAATTTTGTAAGCAAAGATAAAAGTTTTATGGATTTATAATTACAATGATTTAAATAATCTTTAAAAGACGCTTGGCAATGTGGACACGGCAAACTCGTTCGGGCGAAAAATAAAACAGATGTATTCGCGAAGGAGGAGACAAAAAAATCGATGGAAAAAAGGAGAGATGATTGCACAACAATTTGACAATCCCTCTAGAGAAAAGACGCGAGATCCCGCGGTCGTTAAGGCGAAAATTCATGCTCATTAGCGGGCGATTTCGTTTCCTCGAAGCATCTCCGCGAGGATGCGCGCACACAAAGTCAAATAAATTTTTCCTCGCAACGCCGCGACGTTTAATGAATTGCGAGTCCATAAAAAAGAAACATAAAACACGACTCCCATTGGGAGCTTATTACTTATTAAGTTACGTAAATTCGTCTGTTATTGAACGTTCGGATGCGCAAAATAGAATGATTACGGGCATGCGCGCGTTCGCGCTTTTGTATGTCAGTCGAAAAAGTGGAGCTAACGGTGTCTAAACAAGGCTTTTCTTCCGATATTGACGACTTCCGCCGCGGGATAACTCGATTACCAACCGACGAGTTTTTGCCGGGGTGTCTGCGCGTAGACACATACTACGTTAGAAATAGATCGGCGACGATCGGCTTTTTTTTTCATCTTCTACTTGACATTGTTTATTGGTTGTCGGCGTCTTTTCTCTCTCGCGTGCGATGATTGGCCGTAAAATGAGGATGGAATGCCAGAGCTATTCGCAATTTATTACCGGGTTTAAAAAACGGAAAAGGAGGATGAATATAAACGATCGGTCAAATTGAAACGGACGATAAACATTCGCTTTATCCACGTTCTTTCCGCGTTTATTTACATTTTAATTGATTTAACGATAATTATGAAGTAACTTTTTTTTCTTTTATAAATTCACCGATAATATATTTTGAAATCGGTAGTTAATATAAACTACGGCATGTCTTTGTTTTGCCATTTTAATATTATTTTTTATAACCGATTCACATTCACCAATGTGATTTGATTAGTTTCCTGTACATTTATTTCGTCTACTTTCTAAAATAAAATTTATAGCTCCAACGTCCATTTTAAAAACTGTTCGAAAAATAAATGGATTAACGCCAAGACGAATGGCGTAAAAAACATGCAGTCGAACATATTGAAATAAGATCGATTGAAATGAAGATTCAAAGCAATAAATTGGCCGTCTAAGCATCTGTCACATTAGCCAGTCTACTTATCCATTATCAGAGTCGATCACCTTTAAAGCGCGATCCGTTATATGTAGTATGTATGAGCATGTCCAAGCTAGTGGAAAATTGAATAAGTGTTTGGTGAACGCTCGAGCAGTCATGCACCTTTTTCCTGAACTGCAAAATGTGTCTCTTATATACACAGCGACTTCTGCGGACGATTTTCTTTTTTTTTTCTTTTCTTTTTTATAGAATTAATTATGAATCTGACTTTATAAAAAGGATTAATTTAGGACGAGTTTATGGTAATCCGCTCGTTATCACCTTTTGATATTTATTAACTACTCGACAATTTATTAACTGCTAACAAATGAGTTACGTCATGCCGCAGCAGAGTTGTTAACTAATTGCTTATTTGTTAGATGAGTACAATAAATGTTGCTCCATTCGAATTTCCGCAAAGCAAAGCTATTCGAAAGTCGATAGCAAAATCCTGATGACCTTCCCACGCTTATAAAAACAAAAAATCAATCCTTGCGAAAATTCTACAATTACGAAACTTTTATGGAGAAAATATTAAAACATTATTACTTCACACACATCAAGCGTCAATAAAATCTGAGCGCACGCGCTCGAGAAACGTATTGCACGCGCGCGCACGGGCAACAAAATCAGCTCGGACAAGTTCGAATTACGAAGGTCGTACACTATCGCTTTTCGCCAAGGCAATGCTCACTATCATCTCCCTCGCTCCGCCTCGTTAAAGAAAAGCACGCGCGCGCGCAAGTTAAGCCAATAAATACAAGCAACGATAGATCGCGAGCAGCGCGTAACGGAAAATCCGTACGGTTCGTGCCTCTTTCGTTTTTCTTTTCTCCATTCGACTCCGTCGCGCGCCACATTTTCGCGCAGACGCGTTGCGCCGCGCATGACACGGATTGCGAAAAGCAAAAAAACTCAACGCTCAAGGTTTGCATCGCGCGCGCACGCGCCCCGATCATCCGCGACGCACCGCGCGTTCGAAATGTCGATCCACGAAGTGCGAGTATAATTCTAATCGAAAAAAAAAGAAAAAGAGAAAAAGGAAAAATAAAGGGGAAAAAAAACCGACGACGCATATCAAAATTGTAACCAACACACGCGCGGTCGTGGCGTGGCGCGCGCGAAATTCGCGATTAGCCGGCTATATAGCATACCGATGAGAATTTGGCGTGACACATTTCGACTCGCCTTGCAGCGCAGCGGCGGCGAATAAAATCGATACGAGAAAAGAGGAAACGAGATATCGAGCCAGTGCCTCGCCGATCGACGAGCGTATCAGCCAATATAAAAATCCCCACTCGCGGATGCTGATATGTCAAGTTAGCGTTTGTACGCGAGCGAGCAGTAAATGATTTGATGCTCCTCCTTACGATAGGCCTGCTTTTGCTATTGGTGCTAGAAAGATTTTTCGCGCGACGCACTTTGCTGTTATCGGAAATCGGAGAGTATAAAGAAAAAAGGAACGCGAAACACGGGGCGCCCAAGATTGTTTGATACGTAACAAGGCGTAATCTTCATCGATATTCACGAGAGATATGCGAGTAAATCGCATACGCAAAATTGATGAGCCGGCTACTTGCAGCTGACGTAAATTGGCTTTTGACTATTTATTCCGTTGGCTGCGGGCGCTTCGCTCGTATGCAGGTGGTGACGCTTATTCATCGACGTGGCTTGTTATAGAAAAATCATACGCGAGCAAAACTTTATCCTTGTCAATACTGTAATGTCAGCAGTATACTTTTCTTTATTTTTACATTGAAAAGTTCAACAAGTGCTTTATACTGAGGAATCTAATAGTCAGAATGACTCTGAAAACAAAACACAAATTCACGAAAAGACATTAAGAAGGAGATAAAAGCAATTTGAACATCAAAAAGCTAATGAATAATTAATTATTCTAACCATTGAAATTCTTTCCAATTTGAATCAAAATAAAATCGAACAAAAATTCTCTAACCATCAAACGCTCCTGTGTGCGACCAGAGCAAAAAAAAAGGCGCAAAAATCCAGTCTCGTGCGAAAGAATTTCGTCCTCATCCCAAGTGGTCAAACTTCACGCACGCGTAAAAGCGAGTGAGCGAGAGAGAGCAACGAAAGCGAGGCTTCCAAAGTCCAACTTCTCTCTCTCTCTCTCTCTCTGGTACGCTCGAGCGAAGAGTCAAAATCGGCAGCGAGGTGAATTGCCGTGAGCCAAGGCCAACGACCGGCCTTAACGGCGAATCGCGGGCGCTGTGTGTATCGACAGCTGATTTATATGATCTTTTTGTCTCAGGAAATCGCCTTGCTGCGATCGATCGCTTGCGTTTTTCGTTCTTTAGTAAAATATCGCTGCAAGGAGGAAGAGCAATTTGCGCAGTTTGAGTCATGCCGATGCATCCGCTGCACGACGCGACTTCGTGCAAATTTATGCAGGATTACATGCTCTTTGTTTTTATTTTTTTTTTTACATGGGTAATGAGAGTTTTTATGTGATCCTATCAGTTTTTGTCATTTATCTATTGATTGCGCTACGATTTGATCATACAGTTTCTTACATGGTGAATTTTCAAGAAAATTTGAAGTCAATGTTAAAATTAAGTATTAAACAGTATTAGAAAGAATATTAGAAGTATTTATTTGATCATTATGCAAACGAATACATTAAATTGCCATATTGGTGATTTAGAACGAATAATTTCCAACAAGTAAAGTTGTAACGAATCGAAGTTGAATCACATTGAAAACAAGTTTACTCATTAAGAACTGTATATTCTAAATTTCAATTTAACGGAGGGAGTTAAAAATTCCCAAGCGTCTTGTAAAACGTCCAATAGCGAAAGCGTTCGCACTCTAAATGTCTTGATATTTAAAGAAAGAAGCAGCTTGTCATCAGGTGGAAGACTAACACGTATCGCCCATCTGGAAGGCATTGCGCTCAAAGACGACTTTCGCAAGTATACGTATGCAGATGTGGTCGAACGTCTGGAGCGCTCGGTGCTCGCGCGCATCGCAATAATAGTAATCATCTCGTCGAGCTTGCGCGGGCAGCCTGTCCAATTTTCTTATCTTCGCGCAGCAACGAGAAAATCAAATGGAGGTGCATCGTCGTACGGCTATTAAAAGCTTAATACCTATTCCGAGTAAAATCGCCTCGAGACTGCACCACGAATCGACTCGTTGTGTAAAAAGGAAAGACCGCGGCTTGACTTTTCGGTCGGAGTGAGAAGATAATTTCCACGCAGCAGTGGTGCAGCGAAGGTCGAAGAGCAACAAAACGTTGCATAACGGTCACGCTTGGTAGCAACCACAGTAGCGGCAGCGTCGAGAGTCTTTAATCTTTTTTTTCATTCGATCTGTGTGCATGTATGTGTGTGTGTGTGTGTGTGTGTGTGTGTGTGTGTGTGTGTGTGTGTGTGTGTGTGTGGCGCGCGCGTGTACCCCGAGGATGCATAGAGATTCTGCTTATCGCTTTTTTGGTATGCACCTGTGTACGAGGCTGGAACAACTATACCTGCCGGAAGATAAGTATCAATGACGCGTGCGAGTCAGGAAGAATCGAAGGGCAACATCTAAGGAGGCCGACATGCTTTACAAGGATCTGAGAGATTTAGACGCTAGAGATGTCGGCTTTGTTTGAAAACGTTCGCGAGGTTTTTGCGTGCGATGACGCGGTTGCCAGAATGCGCTTCGCAATGCGACACTCTTCTTTTGCCTTCCAACTTTTTTGTTTTTTTTTGCGAGTGTTCTAGTTTTACGAGTCTCGTCAGCAATTGTAATGACACAAACTGCAGAAACGTAACATAAACGAAAATGGTAGAGGTTATTTGTTTTCGAAGAAAATTCAACAATGCAGAACATCCCACTCGTGATATTATAATCATCAGCAAAGTTCTTCAACAAGCTGTTTAGTAATTTATGCAAATGTAAAGAATATACAGAATGTTACGTGAAAAGAATGCCAATTTACATTTTCCCATTGACTTATCAATAATTTTCTAGTTGCCTTTAACGCCTCTGTCGGGAGAAATTAAATGGAACAACGAGAGAAGACCCTTGCAAATAAGAGAGAGAGAGAGTAATTTTACTACCTTACAAGAAAACCAAGAAGAAAGTGCAGTGTCTAAATTCGAGGTCGTGTAATGCCTGCCAATTACGCTTATCCGCGAGGAGGAGAAAGAATTTTCTATTCCTGGAGGCGCCGTTTCTATTTATAGAGCGAAATAGGCGGCGCCCTCTTCGAGCATATAACTTCCGCGCGAGTGCTCCAACATCCTGTGAGCAGGAAAAGTGAATATCTCTCTCTCTCTCGCGCGCGCGCGCGCGCGAAAGTGTGTGCCAGCGGATAATTACGACGCCGGATGATTATACGAGACGGAGGACGGGAGCTTTCGGATCGATTTGCGCTTAAACCTTTAAGCGAGTGCGTCGACTTCTGATACGGTTCTCCTCGGAGAATTTTTTTTCCACCGGTGAGTCATATTCGCTCGAATTATCATGATAAGAGCGAGAAGTAACTCGGCGAATTCACCTTCTTAGTTTTCCTCTCGATTCCCTCGGCTAAGCGTACATGTGCGCCTCGCAGCGCGTGATTTATTTTTTATTCGAGAATAAACATTCGGACATTCCTGGCGATAAGTGGCTTTTCTTTCTTCGCGCACCGTTGCGATTTGGTGTTTACTTCGGTTGCGCCGCGTCGCTAACAATGTTATTCAATCGATTCTTCATCGCGGCATCGCTTCAAATCCGTTTCGCTTTTTTTTTTCTTTATTGCACACATCTTTCGTTCGCGTGTACTCATGGTAAATACAACAATAATAACATTATACTCTGTCATGAGCGATCTTTTCGCATCGATCATCGCGTAAGTTAAAAAAAAAGGCTTTGAAAAGCTAATTTATTGCTCCGATTTCTGCGAAGAAGCTGCACACATACGCGTACGCTTGTTTACCCGCAACAACGATGAAAATTGTTTTCACCCGGACGTCGTAAAAAGCGATCGTCAATTGGCAAAACAGAAGAACGACCCTTTTCCAATGCAACAGAAAAACAACGTGATTTATTGTTGTGGGCGGTTTACGCGGCCTTCGATTCTTCATTTTTTTTTTTCGATAAAATCGCTGATCATAGACTTATTGCAACGCACACGCATGCACATATCGATGCATCTTTCTATACTTTGGAACAGCTGCTTGAAAGCGCGAAATGCTAATTCCTCGAGTATGCGCGCATTATGACATCGAATTGTTTTGCCCACACACGCACACATGCGCACGCGGGCGCGCATGCACACAAGTAACAGCAGATATATCGTTTCTTATGAAACCATCGCCAGCCGTGTCCGACATTCACTCTTTTGCTCGCGCACTAATTACCCGATTGGATGAAAAAATGGAATCGATGTCACCCCGATATCCCATGCACAATTGAAAGCCGGTGGTTGCACAACCATTACACTACCCGCCATGTTCTTCGACATCGACTGTTGTTTTTTGTCTTTCCGTTTTTTTTTTTTTTCTAATTCCCTCGTCACCGACCAACCGATCGCCGTAGACAGAGATGAAGAAGAAGAAGAAAAAACGAACTGGTTTTCTAGGATGGTAGTGATCCAGTCGTGGCGATCGTCGTCGGCGAAAGGGAATCGAAAAATATACACCGCACACACAGCTGTTAGCTGCTGGCGGCGTTACACAGCTGATCGACCTGACACACACTGGTACAGTGTCCGTGCATTCGTGCATATACTTACTTGATGAGGATCCTCCAAAAGCAACCGAATGCCGAGCCGTTCGGCACTTCGCTCGCGTACGAGATTGTCATCCTTGTTGCGCACGCGAATCCTCTCTCTCACTCTCTCGCTCTGTCCTCGGCCTGTTCGTCACATCGGGTAGTGACTTTTTCGCTCGGCAACACTACGGCAGCATCAAAGAGTCGCTGTGAAAAAGGGATCGCCGCGGGAAAACTGAGCGGAGCGAGTCAGCAGCAGCAGCAGCACGCGCCCACCAGCTGCCTGACTGACACTACTCGCGATCGAGCCGAGCCTCGGAGAAATGGTTGCGCGCAGCCGAGAAAACCGACCAGAAGAGAGGGGCCCACCTGTGCCGTGTGCCCGCGCGTATGTGTGTGCGTTTCAGCTCGTTCGCTCTCCTCCGTGGTGGCAGAGCCGTACGCAGGCGCTCTGGGGGCCCACAGTTGCGGATACGCGCTGCCCCAGCTTCATTGTTGCCCGTGCGTCCGTTTAAACTTGGTCACGTTCGACCATTATTCCGAGGGTTGACGGTCGTCATCGGTACTTTTCCACTGCGAAGCTACGCGCCGAGAGGATCGATTTCGCTGAGGTCACTCGGCAACTCACGCCGATTTTCGTCAACGCAGATACCGATTGCATTTCGCTTTGTGTTTACGTGCAAACGACTTCGACGCGTTATTCTAGCTAACCGATGTCATTTGATAACGATCTCTTCCATATGTACTTTGAAATAAGTATAATATATGCGTGCGCGCTTTTATCACAGACAGATAAGCATTTTTGATAAGGAAAGAGAAGACCTGCATAATTTTTGGGCATCTCGTACATTGACTCGGTTCCCTTATTACTTCAAGTGAGAGAGTAAGAGTGAGTGGGAGGGGGAGAAAAAGAGAGGAAAATAGAGGGAGAGAGAGAGAGGGATAGAGATAAAGAAAGAGAGAAAAAGCCGTTTAATTTTGAGTGTCACAGCGACACCTGGCAACCGATTTAATAAGCTCGCACTCACCTTGCCAAGGCCTAAGCCTCGGGCGCTATGAAGATTTTACAGTTTGCATTTGTCTTTGTTTCTTTTTTAATAAGAGAGAGAAAGAGAGAGAGAGAGAGAGACAACGGAGACAGAGGGACAGACAAAGAGAGAGACAGAGGAAATTGATTTTAATGATTCTTCCGCCTTTCCGCGAGGCTATGAGTTTCTTTGAAAAAGTGAATGGCGATCTTTTTGTGAGGGGGTTCGCTACGTGTGTGTGTGTTAGAATGTAACGTGAGATGTGAAATAGTTAGGCCTTATTTTATGTGTAATGTTGACCATTTACAATTTGATTTTTTTTATTAAAAAACCATAAACATGGAGTTTCAAACATTTTTCTAGTTATATACGTATAAACTAAGCGTTTTGCTAAACATGGTTTTAATGTAATAATTCAATATTTATATGTAAACTACAATGAACTACATTTAGCATCGATTTTCGTAGAGCCATTTTAAAACCACATGGATAAGTTTGTTCAAACTATATCTTTGAGCGTCTTTGTACTTTTGCCAGAAGTAAAAGTTCTATAATTTTAACGTACTCAACATCCTCTTGGAGTTTATACCTTAATTAAGGCGACAATTATCGGAATAAACTATAAAAAAGCTTCAATTAACGTAATGATAAGACAACGAAACAATAAAAATAAAATATTACTTACTTTCCAATGCTCAAGACTTTATTTTGATGCTATCGCGACTTTCTTCAGTTTGAAAGCTTTTTTCAGTTGAAAACTATTTGTTACACCACAAAAGAGAAATGAAGTTTTACTTTCAGTTTTACTTTGTTTGTGCTTTATCTCGATAATTATGAACCAGCAAGGCAAGTATATTTTTTTATTGTCCGAAAAATTAGATCTGTTGAAAATACAGTACAGTTTTCTTAAGAATACATTTTAATAATTTAAATTGATTCTAAAAATTAATTTAAATTATATCAAACTTTAAAAAAACGAGAGTAAAGTTGATAAAAATCAAGTTGGTTTCCTAATATACGGAAATTTTCAAAATTTTGGATCTCCTCGTCTTTAATTATAATAATATTCGAATTGCCATCAGTAACAGACTGAAACATTGAGATTTTTAATACATATTTCAAATATTCAAATAAAATATATTCAGTTTGAAAATAGCTTATTAAAATTGTTTCCATCTTATAATAGTGATATATACATTAAACGGTATGTATTTTCATAAAAAGATTTTAACAAATGACTAGCCAGAGTTAAATTATTCATGAATATGTTAATTTTAATAATAAATTAATTTTATTAAAATTAACATATTCATGAATATGTTAATTTTAATAATAAATTAATAGTGAACATGCCAATGATAAATTTTATTTTGTAATTATGGAACAAGTGATCTGTAATATTCAATGCCATTTCATTATAAAAATATCAAAATATGTCCATAATTATTATTTTATATAATTGATGCAATTTTTTTTCGTCCAATTTTTACCGGTGATATTAAATGTATTCCATTATTAAGATAATAAATATTTTTATCTATAACATTGGAAAAATGACAATTGTAAAGATTTTTTTTGCAGTTAAGGCTAGTTGCGACAATGAAGGATGTAATAAAAAATGTTCCCGTCGAAGGGGAGGAGGATAATGTGGGTGTGGAAGTGAATATACTCTATGGGATGCAGCATGTTTTTACAACAAGATTAGTATTTTCAAAATAACTTACGGATAACAATTCAGTGATAGAAATGTTTATAAAATATTCAATTTTTGGAAACGTTCATGTATTTCTAAATATAATATAAAAATAAGCTTATATTTGAATTGAGGAATGTACGTATTTACATAAGAAACTTTTGACAACTCACTAGCTAGATTTTAATGATTTATGAATACTTTAGTTTCAATATTAATAAACATGTCAGTTATAAATTGTATTTTATAACGTTAAAACAAGTTGTCCGTAACTACATAAATTTCAATAAAACGTTTTCAACAACTCATTAGCCAGAGTAAAATTATTTATGAATGCGTTAGTTTCAATATTAATAAACATTTCAGTGACAAATTTTATTTTATAAACCTATCATTTTCACGATCACTGGATTGCCCACCACTATATATACAGCTTCAGTCTTATAAACATGCAATTTATCATAAATTAATAATTAAAGAATTAATATTTCCAATAACAATTAATAGGAACTATAAGTTAGTAATGATTTTGACAATGAATTAATCTTGGTATATTTATAGAAAAGAAGAGTTACTCTGACTCGGAGTAAACTTTCCGAAAGAAAAGTCATTACTACGCAAAATATAGCAAATATAGCATATAAAATTATCTTATACAACTTTATTTATCTGTAACGGCATGTAATATAAATGTCATTGTCATTCTTCAGGACTTGTAAGCTTCAGTGCATGGCTGATATGCTATCTTCAATATCTTATATAGATATTGACAGTGGTAGTATGTTTATTCTAAAGGCTGACCAACGATCACTGAATTCCGCAACAGCACCAATCAAAGAAATTAAACACGCTCTCATCACGTACATAATCCTGAGGTACTTTACCGAAAAAATATTTTGCATCAGGGTCAGCTCTTATCTTGTAAATGATATCCAATATTATCACCGATTCAAAAATTTTACAGAAAACAAACGAATGATCAAACTTTTGACAGTTACTGAAGAATTCTCTCGTACAGTAGATGAAGATAAGATCTATATTAAGCGGCGAAGTGCAATGACGTATTGTCCTCCTTTCATCAACGTTGAAAATCAAACAATCATTCCCTTGCATCAACGTTGGCTCCGTAATTTAGCAGCAGTTCAATTGCTCTCAATGATGATAAATCGTTACGTAGAGAACGGCTCGGGCGAGCAGATGCAAAATATAACTACGTGAAACCAGAATAATATTTAGAAAAATAATCCATCGTTTAATTAAAATTCACGTCGAGTTTTAAATATCTCTCCACCACAGCAACGATCGTTATGCGTACAGGCCATGTGAAAGTGAGAAATTCCTTGATGATTGACAGGATTAGCAATGGTTTATCGAGCTCTCTCTCTCTCTCTTCGTTAGAAAAATAATGTATCTTTCATCCTCTATGACAATATCTGTTGCGTAGAATAGAATAAAAAAATTATAGTTAAAAACTTGAACTCTTTCACATTTACAACAAATAATTAAAATTAAGAGCGAGTGCGCACTTTGTATGTTCATTAAGATTAATTTATATTGGCGTTTTGCCGTTTACATCAGCAATTATAACATCAGCTCTGTTTCTCAATAGCAAGCGCGTTATCCTGTAAGTGTTCTTATGCTTGGACGCGTTATAAAATATACGAGAAAGGTGTGAAGCGACGTATATCCAAGCCAGATCTTTGAGTCACTGTGAACTTGAGCATCAACACCTGCGCCCTTTCACGCGTAATTATCTCGTTACACAGCTGACACGCTATGTGAAGCTCTGTCACACTTTTTTCTTCGATCAAGTGCCTTTCATCGTCCTCGTCAGCGGTGTATAGTGTCGCAGCAGATAATCTTTCGTAAAAATGCCATCAATCGGATTTTCTCTTTTAGAGTTTTCAGCAAAAACGTCAGCGCTGTGCGTTGGAAGATGAGCCGCAGCTTACTCGGTCCAATCATCAATGGTTGCACAAAGCGGTGTGTTATCTTCGTATTCAGGAAAGATGATCAAACTTTTATAGCCATATTAGCATCAGCAAGATGACGGATGAACTCGTCGATAGCCTTTGGACAATCACCGTAAGAATCAGTATAGATAACTCAAGTCATTAATTATACAGTCCTTTGAAACAAGCGAAGACAGTAAATTTTCACTTATATTTGATTTCCAAGGCGGATGCTCAAATAGAAGATTTAACTCAGTCAGACTATTGACGTCTTTGGCATTCAAATCTGAACTGGCTTCAATCAATAATTTCACAATCACTGGACTACCTAATTATAATATATTCCTACGTTCATGTTAAACCGTTAGCATCTTTAGCTTCCATATCTGCACCATTTTCAACTAACTTTCTAAAACGTTTGAATAAGCTACACTTGATAATTTTTCTCTTCCCTCGAAATCAAAAATTAACTAAGCAACGTTGTGGTACAGATGCGCTAATTTTTTTGTAGCTTCTTGAAACAATCGACTTTTCTTTTCTTTTTTGTGCAGATAGCATTGTTTTATTGCAAAGAAAATTTGACTTAAGTATAAATGGACTTAATATAATTATCCATCGAACTTCACTTAACTTTATATCTTTACTTTTTCAAGCTCGTGTCAATAGAACGATAATAAAACTTTTATAGAAATTTGTACTTACTTATGAGTTAAACAAATTTCTAATTACAAACGGTAGACTCGGTAAAAAATGTATTAAATAAAATTTTCAAGTACACTGACATCAGCAAGTAACGACGTAGTAAATTTTTAACCGCCGTATCGTAATAATTATTATAATTTTCATATTTTTCCACCTTATTGCTTCAAATGAGATGATGCATTCAGCATCACTCTGTGCAGTATAAATGCTATAAATAGCCATGCAGTATCTTAACCTCAACCGATTTCCATGTCATCGGATAGAATTATATTTGAAAACACATTGTATTCGATGAAAGATTCGTGGTTTTTTTCCGATCCGGTAACAAAACCGTACTTTCAAATAACGAAAACTTCTAATTAAAACATCGATTAACTACTCTGCCACCTGTCAATAAGTGACCTAACGGTGATATAGTTCTGCGCAACTGTAAAAACGCGTGCGTTATCCAATCGTCCCTGAACTTCGCTTCAGCTCCATATCCCGACGTAGAGCATTCCCCACTTTTGAACTACATTTTTAACTCTCTCTCTCTCTCTCTCTCTCTCTCTCTCTCTCTCTCTCTCTCTCTCTCTCTCTCTCTCTCTCTCTCTCTCTCTCTCTCTCTCTCTCTCTCTCTCTCTCTCTCTCTCTCTCTCTCTCTCTCTCTCTCTCTCTCTCTCTCTCTCTCAAAGAGATTTAAAATTAGTTTTGTTCAATTCAATGCTTTAAAATTATAGGAAATAGTAAGACAATTTGTTGCTTAAGATTTTTATTCATAAATCTAAGTATTGAATCGCTTCAGTAACAATCAACACATTTTTTTTTTCCTGACTGGGTTTGACCTTTGCTGTCGCTTAAACTACATACTATTTCTAGTACTAAAAAGTAATACATTTTCTCTGGATGCTTGATAGAAGCATCGTTTAATGATCCATTGATGTGATGTCTATGCTGTTTTTCGTACATTGGAATATATATCTTCTGATGACCTGACAACTAGTGATTTAATCATTCTGATTTTTTGTTGGTAGGTTCAGTCCTATGATTAAATATTATATTCAGCTGTTATATTGAGTCGCAACATCGTATGACTGACAACAGTTTAATTAACGAAATTTTGAGCAATTGACGTTTGACACTCATTGTTTGAGCCAAAAGCTCAATCGATGTTGTGGATAGTTTTCGTTGCTCAATATGTTGTCTGATTACTTCTATCTTCTGAAAAATAAAATTGTTTGCTGTTTTTTATCGATTCAATAGATCATGCATATTTATCATTACATATTTTTTTAATTTGTGCAATTTACTTAATGACCTTCGTTTTATCGAGCATTTTAGGACAATTCAAATATAAACGACGCAGGTTAAATTTCAATAGCGCAGGTTGCACAAAAGCGGAAAGAAAAAATGAAATAATCGTTTGCGTAAATATCAAGTAATTTATTAAATCGGAATTAAATGGATTAGATTTTGATGGTCTTTTGAACGTTATACACTTGATCTGCAGAAGCCTGAAGCATCTTCTTTTCAGCCTCGGTGATACGCATCCGAACAACCCCACTGATGCCGTTTTGGCCAATTTTACATGGAAGCGATAAAAAAATCTCGTGACCAATTCCGTGGTGTCCCTGTCACAAAGAAATCACAATGTTGGCGACCAAGCGATAGATCGATGGACACGTATGTTTAAAGCATTTCGGGTCTTTGTATACCTGTACGAGGGTAGAAACAGGTTTGACAGACTGGGCATCGCGCAAAATATCTTTGGTGATATCAGCGACCGTCAATCCCACCGCGGTGTTCGAGTATCCTTTTAAGCACCTGACCGTAGCTCCCCTAAAGCAAAATAAGAATAAAATAAACAATCTCATCAATCACCGCTGCACTATCATCCCTTCGATCGCGGCGACTTCCTCTCTTGAAGGCTGAAGGACTTACGCTTTGACGACATCGCTGGCGACGTCCTGCCACTTCTCATCGTCGGTAGACAGGCCAACGTTAGACTGCACCTCACGCAGCTGTACACCTGCCACGCTTACTCCCGACCACAATGGCACTACGCACGCAATTTATTCGTCATGTGTCAACGTGTGTCATTTGGTTGCTTTATTTTTTCGAACGAAATCGAAAGGTCGGTGGGTATACGATTTACCTTGGCTGTCACCGTGCTCGCCGATAATGTAACCGTGAACCGAAGTCGGGGCCAAGCCAAGTCGATGGCCGATCATATAACGAAAACGCGCGGAGTCTAGATGAGTGCCCGAACCCATCACTCGGTTTACTGGTACACCGCTCATTTTCCAGACCATCCAACTCAGTATGTCCACTGTGTGTAGGGGTTGATGTTTTAGGAAGATCTCTTTCGATTTTGACTCGGGAAAAATTTTTGCACATCCTAATCAATTTTCAATCTCCGTCCAAGCAGATACTTTTTTATGCAGAATACATTAGCAGATTCATGTAAACTTGAATAAAAACAGTAGTTATATGATTCGCAAGCAAACTTTCAGAAGAGTCATTTTAGCGCACGTCCCCGTGACAAAGATTATAAAAATGGAAGCTCACATCGAGTAAAAACATTGAAGAGCATGGTGGAAAATTACTAGCCTGGATTGGTGACAACAACGAAAACGGCTTTAGGACTGTACTCAACCAGCGGCATAATAATACTCTTAATAATGTCGGCGTTGCGTTGCAGCAAGTCGAGCCTCGATTCGTTTTTCAATTGTCGCGCCCCGGCCGTGATAATCACCACTCGCGAATTGCTACTTATGCAGAAGTCTGAAAGGCATACAAATTACGCGCTCGGCATTGTGTGATACGCACACATGGCCTTGCATGATCTATGGATTACGAATTAGACGCGATCGTCTCGTTGTTTTCTGGCTTCGACTCACCGGTGTCGTACTCGATGCGAGGATTGCCCAGGAATACTGAACCATGCAGATAGTCCATACCTTCGCCTTGTAGTTTCTTCGGGTAAGGGTCTACTAACGCGATGTGGCTGCTGATTTTCTGTTGATATGTACGCAGTCGGGTTTGTGCAATTTGTTTGTGTTTTCAATGTTCGAATGCCGAATCGCCACGAAAAAGTACGTTATCATGATTTACTTTTGTTTTTACTTAAAGAGTTAGAAAACTCAATTTGCCTTAATATCATTTGAATATGAACAATCTTAGATTCTAATATCTTACGCAGCTTCATGAATTTCATTTGAAATTTATTCGAGAATTTCTGTTTGATAAAACTCCGTCCTTCATTAAAAGTATCAACGAGATTTCGCTTATTGAATTCAAATTTATTCTTTGATGTGATATATTCGATAAGGTATCACGTTGACATTCAACAATGCTCATCGACGATACAGCAGGAGGCTTCACTTACCTGGAAGAGAATTGCATTGAGGCAAGCAATTCCTACCGTACCAGCACCTACTACGGTCACTTTATTCATACCATCCTGGACTCGTTCCACGACATTGCATATCAGTTGATCTTTCAGACACGGTGGCGATTTCCTAGAAACGACATAATCAATCAAATGCATAATTTAATTTTTTTTACTTATTAAGAAAGATTGTACTTGAAAGATTGTGAATGTAACATTGTCACCCGATTGTATGAATTATTCAGAAAATCAATTTCATCTGTGAAGAAACATGCGGCTAATGAGAGTAAATTATTGTACCTTAATTAGGATAATTAATGATTGTGAAATGAACGTTTTATTGTTAAATAATGGATGATCGTAATTGTAATGATTCGATGGCAGTAATTATCTAAAAGTTTATATCGTACGTGGGATCATTGCAGTAATTTCTTCTTGATGTCGACGATAATAATATTTTATAAATGGTAACATTGTCTAAAAGCGTTGGTAAACGTGATCCGAAAATACGGTTTACAAACTTAAAATTAGAAAAAGTTCTTTGTAAATTGATAGCAAGCACCATTCTATAACACGTGCTTTATTTGTTACATTTTTTGTACTTTCGCAACTCAATAAATGAAAAAAAACTGTAAAGGTTGATTGTAATCAAAACAAACCAAAATTGTAATAATCGCGTGAATTTTGCCGTTTATTGGTATCATTCTGTTTTTGATAACTTCAAGCGTCTCGTTCAAAATAAAAACTTGTTTTAGACAATAACTTATAATATTATGAAATGCAAAGTAATACAACGAGGTTTTATTGCGTGACATTTATTCGTCAATAAATACAAATAACACCGATCCAGCAGATTTCAATGTTTTACTTTCACAATACACAGACACACGCAAGTGCAAATGCAATAAATTATAAAATAATATTGATAAGTATTTGGTGCATCACTTGACGGAAGGAACTTTTTTTATGATACTTTTTTCCAAGGAACTACGTCGATCAAAAATACTGATGAAAAATCAATGTGAGAAAAGAAATTGATGGTATTTTAAATAGAAACAAAATAGTTATTACAGTAAAAAGTCATGGTGTAAAAATTATCTAAGTATTTGTACATCAATTAAAATTTCAGTCCTTTTTGAACCTCATTAATGGTTGCGGAGGATTTATGAAGCATTTCACATTCTTTGTCTGTCAATTTTTGATTAACAACAGACTGAACACCTTCAAGGCCAAGTGCACAGGGCAGCGATAAAAATACTTCGCTATTTATTCCGTGATATCCCTAAAAAAGAAATATAATTTTTTGAATACACGTTTTTGACTTCAATTCAAAGACAACTAGAAAGTTATTTTCAATTTTACTGTCCGAAAGACGGAGTTTTGATATTTTTTGTAAAGATTTAAATTAAAAAGTATTGTAAAATAACTGATCATTATTGTTTGTCAATTGATAAAAAAGATTATTTTTCACTTAGAAAAGAAAAAGGATTGCCTTTAATCTTGAAGAGTCAGAGACTTACACAAACATTGGTGGAAACCGCATGAACTTGATTGGAATTACGTAGACAGGCAGAAGCGAGATTGCAAACACTGAGGCCAACAGCCCAGGAAGTGTAGCCCTTGAGTTTGATCACCTCGTAAGCGCTGTCAACGACTTGCTTGTGAATCTCGCCCCAGTTCTCTTTGTCGCACTCGGTGCCGACTTTTTCATCGATGTCACGGAGCCGTACGCCGGCAACGTTCACGCCTGACCACACTGGCACTGCAAGACAACAAAACTATTTCAATCAGATTTCCTTGATTGGACCTTGATTGATGTGATTTCAATTGGCAAAGATATTTTTATTGCTAGTTCTGGTTTTATCTGGTAGTGAATTCTTCTGCTGTTAATTAATTTACGGATCTGATATTTCAAAAAAGAAAGGATTTTATTTTTTTCCTTATTTCCTTTAAAAAAAGTAAATAAACTGTGTACTGCTTAATTCAAAAATATAAAGTTTTCGTTTTTGCTTTAATCCAACTCCGACCAAAAAACTTACCACTCGTATCTCCGTGTTCACCGATAATCCAGCCGTGACAAGAGGTAGGCGCAACATTGAGTTTCTGAGAAAGCAAGAATCTGAACCTAGCCGAGTCAAGATTAGTTCCGCTGCCAATGACACGATTCTTCGGGAAACCCGACAATTTCCACGCGACGTACGTCAAAATATCCACAGGGTTCGATACCACAAGGAGAATAGAGTTTGGACTATATTTGACGAGAGGAGGAATGATGCCTTTGAAGATATCAGTGTTGCGCTGAACAAGGTCTAATCTTGACTCGCCTTCGCGCTGACGTGCGCCTGCAGTGATGATGCATATCGAGGAATTAGCCGTTGCGGCGAAGTCTGTGCTCGCGTTTATCTTGGCGTTTTTTAGAAAGGAACTGCCGTGTTGCAGATCCAACATTTCGCCCTTCAGTTTGTCTTCCATCACGTCAATCAGCACTAGGTCGCTCGAGACATTCTGCAATTTCGTTAAAATTATTTGCGAAAAGATTCGTGCACGATTTCCTTCGGGTTGAAAGCGAATCGTTCAGCGCTAAAGTACAAAAAAAAATATTTTTCTTGCCTTGAAGCTTGCGCTTTTGCTCGGAAATTCATTTTTGGGCACCCCAATACGGACCGAGAAAACATTTTATCAATATATTTATAACTTCTGCATATTTTGCAAATTTTCCAGGGTTTTTGGCTAACTTCCAACTCAACCGTTCAATCGCAATCACGAAGATTCCACATAAAAATACTAAATTAAATACAATTTAGAGAAGAGAATGAAATGACTTCATCTTTTTGAGTGGTCGAAACAAACCAAACTCGTTACAATTATAATTTATGTGCAATCGGCGAGATTGGTTGATTAGAATAAATAAGCCTTACATTGGTTAATATGCTGAAGGCACAAGCCATGCCGACTTGGCCAACACCAACGACGGTGACTTTATTGTTGCCCGTTTCTGAGGGCTCCTTCACTGTGTGGAGTAGTTGCTCTTTTACGGATGCCATCGTACAGCTGAAACACAAACAATGTACAATAAAGTTAATCACCTTTCTCGTGTAGTCAAATTGTGATTAATGTAAAGTTTGTGTGGGTAAGTAACTCGATAGATGCATCACGAAAGCGATGAAGGTAATTAAAACTTTGTCGTATGAAACTTCGAGAAACTCAACTAGAAACCAATTTAGAAGACGGCCATTAAATTATTTATTCTCGAATATATATTTAACAACAAAAACTTGTAATGTTCAGAAAAATTAAAACAAAATAGTTCTCACTCGAAAAGCCGACGTCGTATTCGAGCAAATATATCACTATTCCGATAAACTATGTTTAAATTAATTTGCGTCGCGCAAAACAACTTTCACCTATGCACAGATAGCTTTAACAAGAAGAATTTTATGTGCGCGATCCACCCGTAAAGGTCGGAAAGGTCGAGACTGTGAGTATAGTCACGTTTTCCCTATTTTCCCCCTGTCTGTTAAACACTCCAATCGATACGACGGCAAAAGCACGTGCACAGGCCTCACTCGCCCGTCGTTTGAAACATCGCACAATCACAGATGAGAAAAAAAAAAGCAACGACAAAAAAGAAGGAACGAGGCATGAAAATACAACCTCGCGGCAACACCGGAGGTGTATCTTTTCTTAGACGTGAGGCCGAGGTGATCTGACGGCAATATAAAATAACCGGCGCGCTGCCGCTGCTGGAGCTCGTACAGGCGAAGAGTGTATTGATCCCTCCCGTAACGGCCACGTGCCTCGAGCGCGAAAAGTCAAACGAGCGCGCAATCGCCGCCCCGGATTGCGCATTTTTGCGTTTGCGCGAGGATGGCGCGAGGACGACGCGAGGATTGCATGGGTTTTCGTGCGCAGGATACGAGTTACGCTAGATTGCGGTGGCAGTTTGCTTCAATAGGACGGCGTATACGACGTGACTTCCTTTTAGCGAGGTTACAATTGGATGATATTTTATTTTATATTGTACGTCTGCTATACCTCGAGTGTTCAACTTATTTTCTAGCTTTGAAAATAGATTTGATTATTTGGAAAGACAGTTAGATGGTGTATCGATTGCGTTTAACGATAACCTTGCCGGTGGTGGGCAACATTGCGAGCAACAGCGAGCGAGGAAATCTTGCGACTTGAAAGTAAACGTAAAACTTTTCTTGAAATAAATATTTGAGAAAGCTTTTAGGGAAAATGATCTGCATTGTAATATTGCTACTTCTAACATTTTGAATGATTTGAAAATTATAAGTTATTGTGATGTAGTGAGATGACAAAACCTGCAAATTTGACGTACTAAATACTTATTGGTTAGATTGGAAAAATAAGCATATTATCGACAGTTCATTTGTTTTTGTTTGCCAACGTTATCATTAATAAGTGAATGAATGATTTTAGTTTCATTCAATCAAATGCAACCTTTGACCATTACAATATTATATATATCGGATATACATCTTATCTCTGAAAATAAGTAATTTTTCGATAAACAACATAGATTGGAGTTGGATACGACTAATAACTAATTGCTGTTATAATCAGTAATTGGCAAATTTGACTAAAAAGTCGAATATAATTTTTAAAAGCTCGTTAACAAAATCTTTGAACTAAACTGAAAAAAACTATTATTCAAATGTATCTGAAACAAAGTATGTATCAAATAGCAAGTAATCAATTATATTATCATTCTCGGTCTCCTTGAAATATCCTTAGCCCAGTTAAACGAACTGAGTCGCAGGCAAGTATATGTATATATACAGAAATATTTATCCTATGTAAAATGGAAGTCGGCGAGTAAACAATCGTACGCATGATGACACATCCAGCAATAAAACCAAAAGAAAGATGAACAATAACAGTGATGAAATTGTCCTGGATAGCGTACTCACATTGTGATTGTGCTCCAAAATCCTCAATAGACTGACACGCACCTGCAGGCAAGTATTTCTTCCGTGGGTTGTAGCACGATAGGAACCGGCACGACTGACTTATACTCGGCAGCTGTGTGTAATTTGGAGGAACTGGCCTTGCCTCCTCTACTTTTATACAGCCGCGAGTATGCGCGCCGCGCGCGCGCTACAGAACGTGCGGCTTCCTACGTATACGCTTTAGCGTCATCCTAACCTCCAATGATATTTATATATATATTTGTATACTTTCTCTACACTTACACTTTTCCACTGTTTACTTGGCAATGATTGTTGATGTTTGCGCGAATATTTGGTATGATAATAGTATCAATGTTTAGTAAACATCTCGTTGACAAATTCGAAGCTTCTTATTTTTAACGAGCTGTTGTAATAGTCTTGATACCTGTTGAAACTAATGTATATGTATAATATGACGCAAGAATACTGGAAGTATTTCGAATAACATGGTAACACTCGAAATTTGTTTTCGCTTTGTTGAAATGTGTTTTATAAAATAATATGGTTATTCTGCAAATAATGAAATTAAAGTATAGCGAATGAAACAAAATGAATGAAATGCATTGAGACTGAGAAAAGAATTCGCGGAATTATGCAGGGAACACGCATGCGCAAAAAAGTGTGCGAGCTTTTTATTGGATATTTCTGGCGGCGACAAATAAAACGCGGCGAAAATAAATTACGGAGTGCAATTGATTGTCTAAACTTTGATACTTCCCACGCGGTTAATGCGAGAGTGATATGATTCCTGTGAAATGAACGATCGTCATTCTGAATGCACCGACGAATTTGTGCACCGATCAAATAAAGCAGGACTAACTCGCGCGTTATGGAGTGCATCCCGTGAATAAGCGCGCAAGCAATAGTTGTGAGATCTACTGCAATCGCGCCTGCTGCGTGGACTATCTCACGTACACCTCAGAGAATAGGCTGACGTAACGTAGCAGAAGGGACGCGTCGCCGGATGGTTCAAAAATACATCCCGAAAATCACGCGGACCTCGGAGTAACGTGGTTTGCGGCACAGCCGGCCGCAGATCGTTTGTTTAGATGCATATAATCGCCGACGCGACGCGCTTGCCATCCGAGGATTTGAAATTGAAAACGACGCGCATAATACAATGCATCGATTGACGTGCACGACGCAGACGACAATGCATGCCTGTTATGCAGATCGAGCGCTGTTATTTGTCTCTGCGGGATGGCCTATCGATCGGGGTTTTGGTCGGCGGAGAGATAACTAACGGCTTGAATCTTGGTTGACCGTATAATAATTGCGTACGGTTGCAGTAGATGCATTATGCAGGTATACGCTGGTGGTCAAATGCCGCTACTAACGTCGGAAATTTGTTTTATGCACAGTAACGAGAGAATGTCTTTGTAGTTTTATGCGACCGACGCACGATGAAAGTTTTACTCTTGGCATTTGTCATGATATTGGCGAGCTACATAACGTTCCTTATGTGAAAGTTTCATTGAGTGCTAGCTATTCACTTTGGCACTATATTTGAGCAGTTATATTACTTTTGGCGTAGGCTTTTTAACGCCGAGTGGAATTCTCCACGGAGGTCTCAAATACCACGGAGTGATATTTGATACTCATACGTGCATTTTTCTCAAATATTAATACATCAATCTTATCGATCAATCTAATTTTGAAACGGTTTCAAACGATGTCTTAATTAACTTTGTGAAAGATCTTTGAAAATGAATTGCTTACTTCGTCGCAATCAACCTTTAAGCTATTCAAGTCTAAAAGTGAGCCTAACTGTCGTAAACATTTATTTTACTATTAAACAAGTAGCAAGTAGTTCGTAACGATTATGGCGTAAATCGTAATTACAAGGTAAGGTAGAGTCGGCTAGAGCTTAATTGTACTGCATTAGTAGTGCAAGCTCGATAACCCAGAGTTCGCTAGCCGATAATGGCTCAGTAATTACTGCAGAGGGGAGACCAGAAAAAGATACATACTGCTTAATAAATTCGATTTAAAATGCCGTTTTTGCACACGACACTTCAGTCACGAAGGAAAAGAATTGCTAGCTCGTATATTTGGTGTAGTTACCCAATTAAAATGGACGGCTAGGGCCTCCTTTAAATTACGAGAGCTCTTGGCCGGAAGCTCATGATACAAAGATAAACACGTCCGTACAATTATCCGCAAACGTCATGGATAGTCTCACTACATATCTACGAGAAGTTACACGAAAGTTTGAAATTGTCATTAAAGATGTTGTATGCAATCTTACGTCAGCGTGAAAATTCAAGCCTGTAATATTATTTCTTTCACAAATAAATTCAAACACGAGAAAAACCATTCTCGTTAACGTTCATTTAAATGTCATATTTTGAGTTCGGTGTTTTGCAACTACTAAAAGTTCAGGGACTGATACCATGATGGAGTTTTTCGATGGACGATACTTTATTCTTTACCGTAGATTATAAAGCTGCTCTAACGTTATAAGACGTTCTACTTTATTTCTAGCTACAAATCAAACGAAAATTCAAATGAGTGCATGTCGGTCACGAATTTATTGCACCGAAAACGCATTATAAGCATTTAGAGCGAAATACGAAGCTTCGCGCTCCGCCGAAAATGATTGGCAAGTCAGTTTCAGTTCACGAGCTCCGTACAACGCCATTTCGGCAATTGACTAATACATTCTATTCTGTTTGATACAACTCAGTACGCTGATTATCCTCTTTGTATTTAATTACTTTATAATTTCGTATAAATAACATTGTTAAAATGTAGAATTTTTAGTGCTTAGTATTATTTATTTGACTAACGCCCGGTTCCATTGGACTCACTTCGCATTGCCATCACTACTTCAAGATACAGTAATAGTTACTTTAACAATATATAACAGAATACGCTTCAGAGCCTATCCATTAGATTTCATATTGGTGCGCCTCGAATGTTGATACTAACGTTTACAACTTAACACTGTCACAATCCATCCTTGGTATTCGGAGAAAGTTATAGAACGCGCAACGCTATTTCTTTTCATTAGCATTGCTTTTGTAAAACTGATCACTCTAATTTTTGCTGAAAAAATTGTACATGCATAGCTTAAATTTATCACGAATTAATTTTGACTGTTGAAACTTCTTTTGCAGTTGAAATCTACGTATAATAAAATCACCGACAATGGGAAATTGTTGTCAACAGAAAAGAAAGAATTCATTTAAATATTCTGATAAAAGCCGAAAAATGGGCGTACAATTTTAGAAGTCAACTACATTTCATATTCATCAATTTTTATGGCTTTTATGATAGTTTCCTATTTCGTAGTAATTCTGAAACCTTTGATACCCATTATTTTAGACGATATTATCCTTTTCGCGGAGCCAGAAATCACGTATCTACATTTTTATGGCAAATTTTTAAATGATAAAAAATTTTAGAACTTTCTATTTTATTTGGATTATTTCGTTTTGGATTATTTTGAGTTATTTCGAATTGGGATCATTTCGAATTTCAATAACTTACTAGTAGTAGCGTTCTTGTGTAAGACTATTATATACAAGTATGTAAGTATACTTAGCCGTATTGAAGTACACTTATATGTTCTATCTCTGCCATCCAAGGCAAAAATTCGTTAACATCAGTTACAAGATTTTTGAAGATACGTAAGTTCGAAATAAATAAATGATTGCCAAAATTCAGTGTGAAATACATTTCAACAGATATTTCAGTGTATAGCTCAGCCAGAACGACAAAACTCTTATTATTTTTCATGCTCCGAAGTACAGGAGGAATCATTACGATGAACATAGAGAATTACTTAATAGTGCAATAGATAAGATGTCTATTTCATGAAATTTCAGATAATGAAAACTGTTGTGTCATATACATACTGTGCTCGTATCCAGGTGAATTATTCATGATCCGAGAAAATCTGCTCAACACCTCTGGTTTTTCGAATAGACAAAGAACCAACAAAAACAGTAGCGAATGTGGGATTGCGAGAAAATATCAAAAATTACCGGGCACTCCTACCTCACTAAGCTATCAAGTGTGACAAAAAAGGAACTTTTTAATAAATAATAAATACCGCAGTTTATCCTGAAATTTATCATGTGTAATTAATACGCAAATGTTGTATAGACCACGCATGATAAAATATTTCTTCACAAAATGATTAAAACGAATACTAAAATCTTAAAACCTTCAGATTATTTTTAGCAACAAATAGTGTGCAACTATTCCGTAATTTTTTCTTTTCATGATTTTCACAAGTTCTCACACAAGATATGATCTAATGTAATAAGATCTTTCTTTGAACGAATTATTACCAAAAGAGCACGGGTCGATAAATTGGTTTCCTAGCTATCATTACCATCCCAGCGGTAGATATTCAAGTGCCGGAGTGCCCCATCGAAACTCCGCATAGCAAATACTCACGTCGCCACTCGAACTCCAAAACCAACATCCGCATGCACGCCGCACTACTTGACGTGCCGTATCACATCCCCTGCGCGCCTATGCGTCAATTAAACCGTCGGAGCGCGCGCAAGCCTATTAATTACAATCAGAGGCTTTAATCACTTGCCAATAATCTCGCGTGTGCCGCAAAACTGATTTCGTCGGCGGCGTATATGCGGGGCCAATATGATCAGATCCATCTAGGCGCAAAAAGAAAACTCGGCACGAAACACGGATCGTACATTAGGCTGCCGTCGCGCGCAGCAGATTAATATTGATGAAGTCCCTCGCGAAATGAAGTTGTTGTTGAACCGGCTTCTATCGCTTTAATTGAAAGCTAGTTTTCGGTGCCTCGCTGAAATCCATTCATCAGCGATGTGCCGTTCGCGCTCTGAAATCCGGTGACAAATCGCCGCAGCTCTTTCTTTTTCTTTTTCTTTTTTAAGCATCGTCGGTGACGGCGACGACGACGAGGAGAGAAAGCTGTCGAAGCGGGTGTGAAGTATCCAAGGCGGAGTGGTTTTTTACCTATGCGCAGCAAGGGGAGGTGATGCTGCCTTGCTTTTGGGATGATGATGATAGGGGGAGTTCAAGTGGGCTATGCGTTTCGACGACGACGACGACGACGCGCGTTATAAGGTTTTATGTAGTGTAGCTGCGCATGTGTGTCGACTAGCGGTGAGAAGGTGCGAATATTTTTTAGCTTGCGGGCGCGGATGGCTTTTTTTTTCGACGCGGCCTTGCTTCGGG